CAAGAAAAACCCAGCGGGAAAAAAGTGAGAAACCTGCGGGGGACCCACACATTGAGAGAGGGATCCGCTCCACACGGACGGTTGGGCTATAGATCCAGGACCTAAGCTACATTACGAGGACCAGGGCCACGCAGCGGCCGCAGAACATGGACAGGTCCGGTGCAGGACTTAAGCGCTCCCAGGCGGGTCGGGCAGGGCAATCCGCAAGTGTAGATGGAGGAGGCCAGGTCCAGAGGTACCGTCATCATACCATGAAACAGACAATGGGACAACGGGTGAATAGCAATGAACAGACTACAGTCAAAATCCTAATAATGCAGACAGATAGAGTAGGAGAGAGGAGAGGATAGTGCTCAAGTTACCATACTTCTCCCAGCAAACTGACTCCCTATGCAGCTTGACTGACAGTCTGAGGAGTTTAGCCTTCCCTGAGTCTTACCTTCCTAGCCATATGCTAACTAAAGAGGACTGTTTTAGGCCTAGCCTTGAATGTGGAGACGGTGTCCGAACGAAGGTGAGACATCAACAGCCACGGCTAGGCTAGCCCCAGCTATACAACAAGGATTCATGGATTACACACCAAGGTACTCACGCATTAATAAGTTGTGTGTTTGTACATGGTTTCAGACCAATACATAGTTACCAACCTACAAAAACTCCCTGTGTTTTGATGAGTTCATGGGAGTGTCAGCTGCTAAACTGTTTCATCTGACCATTTCAGAAGCCCTATCATTAGTGATTATTGATTATAGGTCAGTAAAGTAACAAGGTATTTATATATTAATTCAATTCAATTTAATTTGTGTATTGCCCTAAATCTCCTCAGCAGTCGTCTTGAAGGATTTTACAACAACAGATCAGATAATAAAATGGTTCAAACAAAGGAAATACAATAATAAGAAACACATAGAAGCCATTGGTTCATAGTGTCTCGGGATGACCAATGTCAATAAATTGTAATAAATGTCCTTCAATGTCATCACGGTCCTTAGAACATCCTCAAAAGAAAAATGAGAAAGCTCAGGGAGGCCCTCATTGAGAGAGCTGGATTTGCTCCCACTGACAGAAAGGCTATATAGAGACACGACTCAGGCTGTAGAACGAGGACTGAGGCTGTGTGGTGCAGGACAGAGGAGGCTCCACGGCAAGGAGGGGGGTGCGGCCCACGAGTCCGGGCTGGGGACGACCCGAACTCAGGACCAGAAATCTAACTGGGACCTCAAAAGCATGTGCTGTTGCTCCACCCACTATACCTCCAAACAGTGTCCATTTCAACCCAAACACAAACCATGCTCTGAATCTAATGTGAGCATGTGAATGATGGTTAGATACAGGCTGATGGCACACATATACAGCCTCACTTTCATGATTCTGTCCCAGGGCAACTGCAGCTGACCACCTCTTCACATGGATTGTATGGACAAAGATTTCATTGTAAGACTTTACTAAGATGCTGTTCCTTCATCGATAACATTACTGGATCCGTTTTTTTCCCACTTCAGATTTGAGTTGAACTGCATTCTAATGCTGGGGCACCAAACATTTTGTCGCAACAGACTGAGAAATTTGAAAGAAAGTAAGAACAGAACATGCTGTCCTAATCTTATCAGAACATTATCTGCTGCATACTGGTATGAAAGAGCATTGTGAGTCACTATTCGACTATTAGAGCTGAGTGATGGTGGTTCTCTCTTTATCACATTTCTGACTGAAAAATTATGGCCCGAGGTCAAAACTGCTTTGAAGACTATAGAGATTGCTCGCGTGACGTCACAAGGGCTTGAAGTCGCGAGGCCTCCGTCATATTGGAGGATAAGCAAAAAAATAGTGACATTTTGTGCCCTTTTTGGCTGCAGCAATAGGGGAGAAAGGGACAATAAGTTGTTTTATCGACTGCCAGCTGTCCTTACTTCACATGGCTCCAAAACAGAATAAATCTCAAAGAAACGAGAGAGAAATGGCAACAACAACAAAAAAACAACAGCTCAAATCATTTCATTTCTGCTAAGTAAAATTAATTTGGTGGCAGATTTACTGTTGTTCAGAAACAATCAGAAGTTTAAGGATAATAGACTTATCACTGTCTGACTGCAACGTGGGGTTGCTCGTGCACCGGACCTCACCCAGCTCACAGGGCCTCACCCAGCTCACATTGTATATGACATGCCGAAGGCCAGCAGACGTGTGAAAAACTGAGTCGTGCTCTGGGCAGGGTACGTATTTATTCATAAAATATAATAAAGCTCCATTGATTTGAATGTATTTTCATTATTTCCACGCTAGTGTAGCCAGACATACATGGTGTAACAATAAACACATTTAAATGTTAATCGGACACATTATACATATACATTCTTAGCACATGCGCGGAGGTTTTCAGAATTATTTGTTATGTTTTCATGACAAAAAATACTGTTTTAATGCTACAAAATGCGACCGCGGTAAACCCGGAAGTAACTATTAACAGTAATAATACATTTTAGGACTCATTTGCAAAGGATATGATTCATGGATTTAGGATGAGTATATATTTGGGGTCACTAACTGCTGATTTTTAGAATTCTTTGTTCAGTTTACATGTTGTTCGAGAGAGTTCTAGTTTTGAACGTCCAGTTATAAGTGGCTAGCATGGCTGTTACTCGCGTCGGTTGTCATCCATTATGGCCGCCGTGGCTACTAGTCACCGTAGGATCCCTCTATAGGAACTATTGCTTTTATTACATGGTTCACTTTGTTTTGGTTTTGTACGTTAGGTACACAAAAGCTATAAATCCACACACAAGTTTTCAAAGTTTTTAATCAATCAACTCTATACAGGACCCATAAGAATTTCTCAAGGAAACAACAGTCTACATTTTTAATAGGAAATTGAAAAAGTCATATTTTGATGTTGGATCTAATTAAATGTTTAACTCAAGTGTTCAGTCTAGCATCATCCAATTAAACTTCAGGATCAAACAGGCTGTGACTGCAATGCTCTTTATTCTATGGGAATTCTCACACTTTTCGACCCTATTTGTTTTTGCGTGCCTGTACTCGCTAATAGGTGATTTTAATTGCCCCAAACAAGCATATCTTTATGAAACACATTTGTGCGCTGCCCACTACCCCACATCCTTGAACAATGACAAGCGTTTCGGAGAGGACGGAATTAAAATTCAAAGGCAAAGCTGGCTCATTTTAGTTTCCAGGAACTTGCCGTGTGAAAAACACTTGACTGATTTTAATCACATTCTTATTTATTTCAGCTTAGGGCTCGGCATGACTTTTCAACAGCAGATGAGATTTCCATGCTGAGTTTGATGGTGCAACACTGCCCTCTATAGGCCAATTGAGGAAGTACCTGCCATTATGAAAAAAAAAGGAACAAAAGAAACATTTGATCTCGCTTTTTTGTGTGTTTATCTCTTTCTCGCTTCTGAAGCGCACTCAGTACGGATTTAGAAAATAGGAACACATATTTAGACAGCTGCCTCTCTTGGAGAAATGTTGATTCACGGTTTGGAAAGTTAAATGACAAATACAAGGAAATATCACAGAAAATAACAGCACAATTTACTATTTACATTTGTCAAACTAACAGACTAACAGGAATAGTATGTTAACAATACAGCAGTAGTATGTTCTCATAAATAACTTAGCTAAATATTAGCTTGGGAAAGCTAAAAATAGCAGATCGTTGGTGCCATTCTAAGTAAGTAATTAATTATTATTTCTACAGCACCTTCTCACAAAGCACTTTACAATTGTTTTTTTTTTTTTAGACATTTTGTCTCTCACTCCATAAATGTATACATTTATATGTATCAATCGATATTAATAATATGCATTAACATTTTCTAAGTTACAAAAAAGTTTAAAGCTGCTGTGTCTAAACTAGAACTAATAGAACTATGTAAAAAATCCATCTTCTCGCTCCTCGCTCCAAATCCGGTGCTCGACCTGAGGTGCCTTGTCCTCTCCAGCTGGAGAGGTCCTTACTCAAGTAGAGGAGTTCAAGTATCTCTGGGTCTTGTTCATAAGTTAGTTAGTTATACTTTATTGTCCCTGTGGATACATTTGTCCTTTGTATTTGACCCATCCTCACCATAGGACAGGATTGTGTATATAAGTGGACTAGCTTGTAAAGTGGCTGTGCGCTCTCTGAGGGATAGGATGAGGAGCTCAGTCATACGGAAGGAGCTCGGAGTAGAGCTGCTGCTTCTCCATGTCGCGAGGAGCCAGTTAAATTTTCAGGTGCCTACAGCCCCCTGGGGAGATGTTATGGGCATGTCCCACTGGGAGGAGACCAGGAGAAGACCCAGAGCACACTAGAGGGTCAATGTCTCTCAGCTGGCCTGGGAACGCCTCAGGCTTCCCCCAGATGAGCTGGAAGAAGTTTGTATCAATGGGGAATGGAGTTTTCATATGCAGGTATTCTTGGCCTCTGTCATTTTATACATGTATCAGCTTTGTCAGACAGAAACGTATAAAAGAGGTTCTCTGAATTGTTCACAAAATACTTTTTAAAAACTATTTCTATTGGCAGGCAGCCACCCTTTAGGAAAAAACATCATCCATGCTGTTTATTCTCAGAAAAGATAAAAATAAACAGAAATAAAAAAATAAAAGAATGAGTCTATGACACAAAAATGTAATAGAAAAGCAAGTCCTATCAAAGACTTATGTTTGAATATTTCTTTCCAATTGAATCCATAACTGTCTTTATTGCAATCTCATGATACCACTAAACAGGCCTTCTTACATGTGCGGCCCATGTCCTGTGCATAGGCTCTCATTAAAAAAACATACCTCCACAAACAGTGTCCTGACAAGCCATTGGATATCACTCATTAAATTAACCAAAGGGGACAGACAAGCAGGCAGGCAGCAGGATCAAGTTCAATGGATGAATTTTTCAAAGTACCATTAGCTGCCCGTCCTGGCTGTATGCTCTGACAGCGGTGTTGTCTACGTCCGCTGCCGAGGCGTGACACAAGCCCAGGCAACAAACACACAACATGGACACCAGCATCGTGGCTCTACTGCTACATATGCTGCTGCTGCTGTTTGACCGGGTGCACTCCAAAAAAGGTGAGCTGGTTTGTCTTATTCATGATGGATGTATCGGATGTTTGCATGGGCCTGTAGTAAAGGATTGGTGGTGTAAAGCTACAAGCACAAAAAGAAAGGTGTTGAGCTGTTTTTATTTTACTCATTTCTATTTTATTCTTATGTTATGAAGCTTATTGTTAGCTTATTTACACACTGGATAAATATGAGCAGCAAGAAACCGAAGCAGCCTTAAAAAACCTTAACTATTGTCCAGCTATGCGTTATGTGTGCTTATTCTACTCTAGGCAAGGCAAGTGTATTTGTATAGCACAGTTCCTACAAAAGGCAGCTTAAAGTGCTTAACAATACATGATAGAAACAATCATACAAGGCATTCAAATCATCAATCAATCACTGTAATCACTGATTTTGTTTGTTTGTTTGTAAGCCCTAAATTGCAACCGCAGTTATCTCGGAGGACTTTCCAAAGTTGTTGATTCGCCTACTACAGATAATAGAATCAAAAAGTTCAAACACAGGATATGCAATGATAAAAAAAACACATAGAGCCATTGGTCCATAAGGGGCAGATGACCATGGTTCTTAAATGTTAAAAAATGTCCTGGATCATCACCACTGTCCTTAGACCGTCCAGCATCGGCAAAGAACAACTCAAAAACCCAGTGAGAAAAAGTGAGAAACATCCGGGAGGTCCACACTGAGGGAGGGTCCCACTGACGTATGGGCAAAAGATCCAGGACTCAGGCTGTAAAACGAGGACCAAGACCACATGATGCTCAACTGAAGCCTGGGAGGGGAGTGCTGCCAACGAGTCGGGCCGGGGGACACAGCCCACAGGTGCAGATGAAAGAGGCCCTTGGTCCCATCATCACACAATGAAACAGACAACGGGACAGCGGGTGAATAGCAATGAACAGACTACAACTGAAGTCATAATGATGACAGATAAAGTAGGAAGAGGAGAAAATAGTACTTACAACGGCTCCAGAAATGATTGCTTGGAAAAAAAAACAACGCTCTGACTGATGTTTAGTTGACATTTATTTACAACAAAGCCACCTAAAGCACCGTGAAAAACTATGGTGCATGAAAAAAAAATATTAGCAAAACACACACACACAAAACAATATACAATTATCGTGTGCACCTTCTATCTAGACACTCTGGAGTTGTCGGTACTTTGAAGTACATATGAAGTCAATTTTCAAAGTAACTTTATATGTTGCTTGACCGACAATCATTGTTTTTAGACTTAAGGTTGTATTTTTAAGTTTTACCTGAGTCTTACCTACCTAACTGAGATTTTTGACTCTCTAGGAACCACCGGAAATCTTCCGTTTTACGAGCGCAGTGCTCGGTTTGGTTGACAGGATACTAAAGGGATCTAGAGATAGGAGGGAGCCTTATACCAAAAGATAGATACCAAAGAGTGAAAATACAGTCCTTCAGTTGTATGTACAGCTAAACAGGATTGATTTTAACCTGGAACATTGTCAAGTAAAATCCTGTTCTTAAAATAGTTAGAAAACTGTTGCATGTTTGGAAAAAAGAGCATTCTGAGTCACTGTTTAAAAGTGTTTCTTAGTGCTAAGAGCTGATTGGCTGAGTGAGAGTGGTCCTCCATTTTTTTAATTTTCTGTCTGAAAAAGCAAGATCCAAAGATGTGACAGAGGCCAATAACGCATACACGTGAAAACTCAGATGTTTAGGTTTTAGAGAGTTTTTTGTGTTTTTGTCCAAAAAGGGAATAGAAGCATAAGTAGTGTGTATGTCCTGTTTTCCTGGTGCCAGGCCTCACATTAGGTTGTTGTTCCACATGAGATTGTATCAGTTGATTTATAAGTGTGAGCGTGGCTTGCATTTTGCTTTCACTGCTCGGTTTGTTTGTTCCATACTCGCTCATGCATTATTAAATATTAGAAAGGATATGAACTATGCAGCTTCAAGGAACACAGACTGGGATTGATGGACTGTTGGCTCTTTAGACTGAAGAAAAAAGGGAAGTGTGTATTGAATAATGGCTTATACTTCATCCAGTTTGATCTGGAGTTGTTATACTTTCGTCAACATTTGTCTTGTTTCCTTTTTTTATTTACAAGTTAAAACATATTGCTTTGAATTTGAGTAGAATATTGAATTTATATTGCCATGGGATGGGTCAAGAGTGTCCAAACCTGTTGTTGAGGGCTGCTGTGGCTGCAGGTTTTATATCAAACCAAGCAGAAGCAGAGCAGACTCAATCCATTGCCTCAAATCTACACGACTGAACTCACTTGAGACGATGGAGTCTACTCTGCGCTAGCCTGGTCTTACCACACCATAGTACAAATTACATCACATCTAACTACAACACCCTCACAACAACACAACTCCCGCACAACACAACTCACGCACACGCTGATTGGTCGGATGGAATTCAATTGATTGTAATCACAAACACAGGGACCAGACCCAGATGTTACATATAGGGAAATTATAATTGAGCGGAGTGTACAGATGGCTAAGGCCAGGCTTACTCTGCGCCTGCTATCTTTGAAAGAAAACCTGCAGCCACACCAGCCCTGTCCTACTACTACTACTTTTTTTTTTTAGATGGTTCAAGATAATATAGCACAGAATGTCAAAACAGTATTATTGAAGTGGCTCCTATTGATGTCACAGGTTTAAAAGTGTCTGTTGAGGGGGTGTGATCATAAAAAGAGAAACTGGATAAAAAGGGGATAAAATTTAATAAAATATTTACAAAAGGGATCCATAAAAGATGATTAAAAGCCCAGAGTCCGTCCCCACTGTCCTCCGCTCTTCTCACCCGGGACCGGGCCGCAGTTCCGCCAACCACTAGCCGACCACGGGTCGGCACCGGGCACCCGCGGGGGAGAGCCGGCACATCCCGGTCGTCGTTGGGCCTAGCCCGGGCGCGCACGCGCCTTCATGCGCTGTCAATGCGCGCCCCCCTTACCGGTGCCGCTCCCCCCGCTGGCCTCAGTGCACCGTGGTCTCTGGCTGGCGGTGCTCGTCCTCGTCCTTGGCCCGGTCCCGCGTCCTCCTCCTCTTGTCCTCCGTGTTCCCTCTCTCTCTGTCCTGTGTGTCTCCTTGTCCTGCAGTGCCCGCCCCCAATTAAAAGGTCTTGATTAAAAAGCAGGTGTGGGTGATTAGGGGAAGTGTCCAAGGAACTGTGATTAAAATCCATGCTATAAAAATATAAAAACACAAAACACATCACACAAATAAAAGCAGTTAAAAGTCCTTGTTAAAAGTTCACTTTCCCACATTGACATACATTGAAAAGTAAACTTCTCCAGTAACCGTTCGTGTCATACTCACCATTTTGGGTTCAAGAAAACAAAAGCCAGAACAATCTCCCATAATGTATCAGGGAAAATTGGCTCCAGCTAGCTTTTGTTCAGCTCTGCATTCAGCAAACAGTATAGTCACGTCAGGACTCATTAGTCCACTCCTACAGTCTATGGTCTGGCCCTTGGGACTCTATCCGTGAACACAATTCTACATCATTTGAGTGAAGAAATAGTTCTGAAATTGTTGCTTGAAACAGAAAATGAAGGTATGGACCTGAATTCTCTCTCTCCAGGTGTGAAATGTGGCGGCATCCTCTCTGCTCCCTCCGGAAACATCTCCAGCCCTAACTTCCCCGGCTTCTACCCGTACAACATGGACTGTGTCTGGCTCATCGTGGTGGTTGAAGGCTCCTCCGTGCTCCTCACTTTCCACCACTTTGACCTGGAGTACCACGCCACTTGCGCCTACGACCACGTCAAGGTCTACAACGGCGTTTCTCAGGACGAGGGCAACTTGCTCGGGACGTTCTGCGGCGACACCATCCCGCCACAATTCACGTCTTCATGGAACGTCATGTCCATTATCTTCCATTCGGACCGACACGTGGCCCACAGAGGATTCAGTGTTGGCTTCAGAAAAGGTAGTACGTGATTTTGCCCGATGGAAAATGGCTTGGAGGGATGCCATTTTTCTCACCGTGTGGCAGAAAAACAACTTTTGGCTTAGGGGGGAACAGGACTGTATCAGCAAAAACACAGCTTTTAGTGGTTTTTATTGCTGCAGAAGACCTTTGGCTTAACATCAAGTGATATCAATCTGAGTTGTGCGTGCGCTGGAAGTGCTGAGTTGATAAAATGCAGCAACTTCTGAGCCAAGGCCGAACAACAGAGTTAACCTAGAGGCTATCACTCTTATCATGAGGACCAAATACTGCATAATTCAATTTAATTTCAATTTATTTGTGTACAGCCAACTTTAAGTTGTTGATTCGTCAAAAAACTTGCAGAGACACACACGAAATGGAGCCATTGTTCCATAGGCAGCAGGATGTCCACTGTCCATACAGTGCACATAGCACACATAGGTGACACTCCGGAAATTAAAATGTTGTTCAAAGTTCCTATACTTTTCTAATTCAACTTACATTGTAAAAACTGACATACAGAATGACAAACCGGTGCAGAGGGCTTCTCCAGAGGAAACATCGGGGATTCAACAACAATACAAAAAAAGTCCATCCATATATCCTTTTTTTTCTCCTTAATCCATTTCTGGGTCGGTCGGGGGGGGATCCCTCACTGATCCTCCTGCAGGTGGTGAGTCCACAGGAGCTTTGATCTTTCAGCGGGGGCTTCAGGCAAAGTGGGGTTAAGTGTCTTGCCCATGGACACAATGACTCACAATAAAAAAAGGAAAACATTAAAATGTGAGACTAAAAAGAAAATGGCAGCTACCTAATATTAATAGTAACAATAGTAAATGGCCAAACAAAAACAAACAAAAATGTGTAAAAGATAAATTAATTTTATAAAATGCAATAATAAATACTAATCAAAAACTAATTTAAAAAGGTGTGTCTTGAGCCTGCCTTTAAAAATATGAATGTTCTTTGCGGCCCTGAGCTCCTCCGGCAGACTGTTTCAGAGACGGGGGCTGTAGTGCTGGAAAGATGCCTCGCCGTGAGTGTTTGTCCTGACTTTGGGAATGCCAAAGTGCGCAGGGGCCGGGAAGGTTCATAGGATAAAAGCAGTTCTGAGAGATAAGGCCCAAGATTATTAAAACATTTTAAAAACAATATAGCAACTTTAACATCACAGAACGATTATAACATACAATGTTCCTCCTGTGGACTCACCACAAACTGAAATATCATTTTGAATGTCCAGAGAAAGAATGTGGCTCCAATGAGAGACAACAGTCTACTTTCTGACTTTAGTGTTTGTTTAGACACAAAGTTAAAGTTCAGTTATATTTGGATTATGAACTGCTAATTCTAAACCCCTGACCCTAACCCTACTTTCTAGTTTCAGTGGTACTTGAGTTTAACAAAGTGAAACTTAATAGTGACCTAGAAAAACACTTGCAGACCTGGATCCAGACAGTGATCTGGATTACCCCCAAAATGTATTATTTTTTCTTGCCCCATTTCTGAGCTTTACTGAAAATGTGGTAAAGCCCAGCCATAACTTATTACAATTACACATTTAGGTTGTCTGAATAAAAGAGACAAGACAGAGTTTTTGCGTAGTATATTTTATGAATTTTTCACCACAAGGAAACCCCTCAGTGGAAGTCTAGTGTCATATGGTTATCAGTACTGTAATTATTTGACATAAATATAAATATACAAGCGCAATATAATAGTTTTTTTTTAATGTTTTCATTATGAAGGTGTTTTGACTGGGTTTTTTTGACATGCGTTTGGATATTATTTTTTGGAGCAAGAGAAGTTTACTATTTGGATTGAACAAAAAATAAGAGATTTAAATGAAGACTGATAGTCCAATGATTTATCTGTTGTACTTAATTATCTTACTTCTATTGGGATAAACATTTTTAGAATACATTCAAGTATTTGGATGCTTTACTGAGAAAATAATTGCTAAAATTAGATATAACATGCCATAGTAACACATCAATTGTCACGAGGTGAAAATGAGGAAGACTCAAAACGCAGCAATTCCAAAATAAAGCTTTTAATAAAACAAAGTCCAAGGCAAAGAACAACTCCAAAAATCTAAAGTGACCAGGACAAAACTAGACAAGACAATGCAGCAGCAACAAGGGGAGAGAAGCACAGGGTACATATAGACACAGGTGAAACACATCAGGGCGGGGCAGACAATCAAGAGGTGAACAGGACATGTAGGAAAACTGAAATGAAACCAGATAACTAATGTCAAAATAAAACCAAATACAGAAATAAAAATCCACACCATGACATCAATTCTCTAAAATGGTCTGGGTTTGACATGCCTGACCTAGATTAATCGTTCCAGCCCTAGTTCAAACATTTATTGTAATTGTACACATTTGGACAAAGATGTTATGTGAGAAAAGAGGGAATCCAATTAAATTAATTAATAAAATCCTGTATTTAGTGTCAAGAGTGCCTTGGATTCTCTCTTTTTTTTCACTACTGATCCTGATAAACACTTGACAAAAATCGAACCACACTTAGCCCTTTTTTTTATATATAATTAAGTGATTCATACATTATTTTGATCTTTAATACCTAGCTAAAACTGGTGAATACAATTATAAAACAGCAAAACTTAGTCCAAACTCCTTCATGGTTGCTGCGGTAACTGGCATAACCAGTCAAGGACAAGGATTGAGATAATCATAAACATAATCGCACAGAAATAAACTTAAAATACAGAAAAAACCACAAAGTTATGAAAAGTTCCAAAATGAAAAACCGTCAAAGTGACTGCCCTGGGAGTTCTAGTGTTAAACTTCTGCTACTGTATGTGTCTCAGATATGTGCGGTGGCGTGCTGACCGGCCTCTCCGGAGTCATATCCAGTCCAGGATACCCTCAGGAGTACAGCAACAATGCAGACTGCTCCTGGGCCATTCACGTGTCCAACAGCAGTGTGGTCAGCCTGGTCTTCCTCGACTTCCAGATGGAAAACAACGAGGGCTGTAACTTTGACTTTGTGGCTCTGTTCGACGGCCCCACGGTCACACATCCACTTCTGGGCAAATACTGTGGTGCAGACATGCCCCCAAAAACTGTCACCACATCCAACCAACTCCTGGTGGTGTTTAAGTCTGACTTCAATATAGGAGGACGTGGCTTCAAGGCCTATTATTACTCAGGTGAGAAGATACTGGATAGATAAACAGATTATGTATTCATTATACGTTATATTTTCACATGCATCAAAAATAATCACACACTTGTCTCATATTATAGAAAACAATTAAAAGCAGTTTTATGAGATGACATGCTTTGGATTTAAAGGTGGCGATAATGTAAAATAGTGTTGCCTTGTTGCTCCTATTTACAGTTTATGGTTGCTCCCCAGTGAGTTATAACGTTAAAAGTGGGGTACCCACTTTTATTTCTGCATAAATAATTAGTTTGTCCCAAAAGAAAGGAGTTTCGAGCCATTTTTATACACACATGTTTATTACTATACATACATAGAAAGAAAAAAACAAGCTAATACAGAAAATCACTATTATAGTGAACAAAGAACACCACAACATTAGGTCTTTATCTTATTAGAAAGTATTGTAACTTTAAAGAGTTTTCTATTTGAAGTCACATTTTAAGTAAAAATAACAACTATAAGATTACATTAGAACGAGCGTACGAAAATATGAAGCGATCAATGCTTTTTGGCCCCTTTTCGGTTTGCAACAAACTTAAAATTACAATTTTCTAATTGCGACCATGGAAATTGGTGAACCCATTTGGCATGCCCTCTCATATTGTCTCAGGTGAGTGCCAGCAGGTTCTGTCCGGTATTAGCGGCAACTTCAGCAGCCCACACTTCCCCACCATCTACCCCAACAACATCAACTGCCACTGGAGCGTCAGTCTGTCGCCCGGCTACAGGATCAAGCTGTTCTTCACCGCCATGGACCTGGAGGACCGGAACAGTCTGAGTGGCCACTGTGACTATGACTATGTGGCGGTGTACGATGGAGAGAGCCAGGCCGACGCGCTGTTGGGGCGCTGGTGTGGGACGGAGCAGCCCCCCTCTCTGCTGTCCAAGGGGAACAGACTCCTGGTGGTCCTGAGCACGGACCGCAATGAGGCGCATAGAGGCTTCACCGCATCCTATCTCGGAGGTAAGGGGTTTATAGTTTGCAGAAGAACAGAAAAAGACAATCGTAGTTTCAGGACATTAAGCCGCTACTTTTTCTACATCCGTGAACCCTGCGGCTTATATAGCGATGCGGCTAATATGTGTAATTTTATTGCAGTAGAGTTGTCAAAAAAGTTTATTGACTTATTACATCATTATTTTTACTCCATCAACTTTTAGTATCTATAGAAGACATGTTTATTGTCAGAATAAACTGGTGAATTAGTCACAGAAGCTAACGGTTAATCTGTTCAGCAGCTCATAAATAAATCATGCTGTGAAGTGTAAAAACGTCTATCTGCCACATTACAACATAAAGACCTGCGGCTTATATTCAGGTGCGGGTTATATGTGGACAAAATTGATTTCCTTTTCAAATGTAGGTGGTGTAGCTTATATACTGTACTGGTCCTTGTAGGGCAAGAAATGTCTGCTTATTACAACAATATAAGGCGTGTTCTTGTTTTTTTTAAGTGGTGCCAGTGAACATCAGCTGCACACGCTCAGAGTTTTCCATCCTGATCCCTCAGCAGTCGCTGCCTCAGCTCGAACGAGAGAACATCTACCTGGGAAACCCGTCGTGCATCGCACAGCTCACCACCACCGCCTACAAGATCCAGGCTCAGTTTGTAAACTGTGGCACGGCCGGACAGGTGAACGGCACATCAACAAAGAGAAAGAAATCAACAGCAGATTATTGCACACATTCGGTTTGGGCAATGTCAGAAAGAGCCATGTTTATTCTATTTTTCAAGAAAAAAAATTGCTTACTTTCACAATCACTTGAAAGCCTCACCATGATTCAAATGGTTCTTTTCCAGGTTTGTTTGGTTTCTGACCTTGTGCTGTTTATTTGGAAGACTTTTGATGAAAGTATTTTTCACCCTTTTATTTTGACACATTCCCGTCTTCCCTCAGATAAAAATCTGTCACAGGTCCAAACAACCCCCCAACCATTTACACTGTTGACCCACGTCTTTAGACAGACTTTAATGATCCACAAGGGAACTTGCACTGTCACTGTAGCTCTCATAGTATTTCACAATAAAAATAACAGTAACAATTTAAAAGTAAGACACAGCACTTCAAAAACACAGGTTTTCAGTATGATTTTGCCTCTTAGATTGTAACTCTTAGTCTAGGTAAAAACAAGAATTATAGTTTCTAAACAGACAACAGGCTAAAGATAGACTCAAGTGGATGCCTTTTAAAGCCTACAATTGAGACTTATTATTTAAGTTTTAAATGTATTTGTATAGCGCATATTTTACTCAAGGCAATTCAGTGGTGGATAACATAGAGAGAGACATGCGTGGGCCAAGCGGTTAAAAATAATGCATGAATTTAAAACATTGAGATATTGACAAGACTTTTTCCATTCACACCTGTGCGACAGAAACGGCGGAACATCACAGTCATGGTGAACAAACTCTACATCGACTTTTCCGACGAGAAACACAAGAACATCCAGGAGTACGACGTGCAGTGTGACGCCCTGAGAAAAGTGGCGTCTGTCTTCATCATTTCAGCAGAAGAGCGCCACCTGGAGGAGCAGTCCCAGAAGCCTGAGGAGGACGCAGGGACCCCACATAAACACAACAGCGAGCCTCACGATCTCAGCGACATCGTGTTCATCAGCATCTGTGTCCTGGCCGTCATCCTCATGATCATCGCCATCATCTGGCTTGTTCTATTGTGAAAATAATGACCAGTGATATCTGTGGTGACCAAAACTGTTAGAACATCTGGTAATATTAATATGTGTATAATTTTCTACTACAAATACAAGGCTATTGTACATAAAGGCAATAAAAAGTAGAATACATTTGTTGTGGAATGTAGAAGATGAAGAAACAGGAGTAGAATACAACAGTTGTAATTAAAAATTACTTACAATGACAAATAATAATGTTAGGTGTTCAAATAATTTTGGCCATCGTTTCTACAGTTCATATTTGCACTTTAACCCTTTAACATTCACTCCTTGAAGAAAACAATGTATTATGTAGGAGCACTAATAAAACAAATTAGTTTTTAAGTTATTGTCTTTCTATGTTTCTTATAGACCTTTATCAAATAGATGAGATGCAGTTTGATGGTAAAAGTGCCTAAAAAGTTAGATGCCCCAAAGAGGTAGATTTCAGTTCCAAGCTTCAAGTACCTAAAGACTCAAATGGTGATCTACCAAATGGCTGAAGAAACCATTCAAAGGTTAATACTAGAACTCCCAGAGCAGTCACTTTGACAGCTTTTAGTTTCGAAGTGTAATTACTCATGTACATTCTTGGTCTTCATAACTTTGTAACTATTGTAACTATTGTAACTGGGGCGGCACGGTGGCTGAGTGGTTAGCACTCTCGCCTCTCAGCAAGAAGGTCCTGGGGTTCGAATCCCGGTCGGACCAGGGCCTTTCTGAGTGGAGTTTGCAGTGGCCTTTCTGAGTGGAGTTTGCATGTTCTCCCCGCGTCTGCGTAGGTTTGCTCCGGGTACTCCGGTTTCCCCTACCACTAAAAATATGCACAATAGTTCTGGCATGCGCCTCCTGTACTGGCGACCCCGCTCCCATCTCTGTGTGGAGAGAGGAAATGCCCAAAAATTAACAATTGTAAACCGCTTTGAGACTCAGATCTGCAGTGAAAAGGCGGTATATAAATAAAGATAAAGATAAAGAATAACTATGCAGCTTATTTCTGTCATTTTCATGTGTGGACACTGGTTCTTAACAGTTTACCTTGGACAAATACGCACAATAGACAGGATTAGTGAGTTTATTTTTACTTGCTCGGCTGCAAGGAGAAGATGTGGCTGTCCTGCTCCAAACTCATCTCTGCTCTTGCTCTACAGCCTCCATCCATCCATCTGTCCAGTTGCTGTTTTATTACAAGAAGATAACACCCACAGACAAAAAAGCCCAAAATGGCTTCAAGCTAAACCCTCCGTTGTTGACAAAACATTAGCCCTTGTTAAAAGAAAGACTTTTTACTGCGTTCAGTTAAACGTTTAACTCCTCTGGCCCAAAATAGTAGATTTCAACAGAAACACAACACAATTATATTATGATAATCTAAAACACTATTCCTTAACAACATGAAATTATCTTATTATATTTTTACCCTTAGCATTTGGTCTTCTGTTTTGGATTTCAGTTATATTCACCAGTTATAGCAGTTAGAAGTGACTAAAAGAACAAAAAAAAAACATAAATGACTACTAAAACTGGTGGAACACTTTTTTTTTTGCAATTCTTTCAGAATTCTATTCATTTGAATGGGAGTCGTCAAAAAGGCTGCTCTGGGAGTTCTAGTGGTTTCAGAATTCTGGTATAGTTAAAGATTTATGGATGACCATTTTGTTTGGCTGCCGTTTAAAATATCTTAATATAAAAATACACCTTTTTGCAAAGAGAAAATTGATATAGTTGGAGGGGTAAAAAAGATTTCTTGACAACCACTATTTCTCAATTTGCCAAACACACACGGCCTACTGTAGCTAGCCACAGAAGACAATGGCCGCTCACAGCTGGCTTTATTTTCATTGTAGCAGCCTGTGAGTCCAAGACAAATTTCCTACGGGACATAATAAATTAATCTTGAATCTTGAATCTTGAATCTTGAATATCAAATTATAGAACAGATATGTTCTATAATTTATTCTCCTGGGGGGACTTCAACGCCCATGTGGGAAACGCCAGTGACACTTGGAGAGGGGTGATTGGGAAGAACGGCCCCCCTGATCTGAACCCGAGCGGTGCTCAGTTGTTGGACTTCTGTGCCAGTCGCGGTTTGTCCATCACGAACACCATGTTTGAGCACAAGGGTGTCCACCAGTGCACGTGGCACCAGGACACCCTAGGCCGGAGGTCGATGATCGACTTTGTTGTCGTATCATCTGACCTTCGACCGCGTGTCTCGGACACTCGGGTAAAGAGAGGGGCGGAGCTGTCAACCGATCATCACCTGGTCGTGAGTTGGATCCGCTGGCAGGGGAAGAAGCCGGTCAGACCTGGCAGACCCAAGCGTATAGTGAGGGTCTGCTGGGAACGTCTCGCTGAGCCCCCTGTCAGACGGACTTTCAACTCACACCTCCGGGAGAGCTTCTCCCAGGTCCCGGCGGAGGAGGGGGACATGGAGTCCGAGTGGACCATGTTCTCTGCCTCAATCGCCGATGCGGCGGCTCGTAGCTGTGGTCGCAAGGTCTCTGGTGCTGGTCCCGGCGGCAACCCCCGAACCCGGTGGTGGACACCGGCAGTAAGGGATGCTGTCAGGCTGAAGAAGGAGTCCTATCGAGCCATGATGGTTCGGGGGACTCCTGAGGCAGCTGTCCAGTACCGGCAGGCCAAGCGTGCCGCGGCCCGGGCTGTTGCAGAGGCAAAAACCCGGGACTGGGAGGAGTTCGGAGAGTCCATGGAGCATGACTATCGGTCGGCCTCGAAGAGATTCTGGCAAACCATCCGGCGCCTCAGGAGGGGGAAGCAGTTCTTTGCCAACACCATGTACGGTGCGGGTGGAGAGCTGCTGACCTCGACTGGGGATATTGTCGGGCGGTGGAAGGAATACTTTGAGGTTCTCCTCAATCCCCCCGTCACGTCCTCTGTTGCAGAGGCAGAGGCTGAGGATGTTGGGGCGGGTACATCCATCTCCCTGGCTGAGGTCACCAAGGTGGTTGGTAGCCTCCATGGTGGCAAGGCTCCGGGTGTGGATGAGATCCGCCCTGATTATCTAAGGTCTCTGGATGTTGTAGGACTGTCTTGGCTGACACGTCTCTGCAACATCGCGTGGCGATCGGGGGCAGTGCCAATGGAGTGGCAGACCGGGGTGGTGGTCCCTCTCTACAAGAAGGGGGACCGGAGGGTGTGTTCCAATTATCGTGGGATCACACTCCTCAGCCTCCCCGGTAAGGTCTACTCCAAGGTACTGGAGAGGAGGTTACGGCCAATGGTCGAATCTCGGATCCAGGAGGAGCAGTGTGGTTTTCGTCCCGGTCGCGGAACACTGGACCAGCTCTATACTCTCCATCGGATACTCGAGGGTTCATGGGAGTTCGCCCAACCTGTCCACATGTGCTTTGTGGATTTGGAGAAGGCGTTCGACTGTGTTCCCCGGGGTGTCCTTTGGGGGGTTCTCCGGGAGTACGGGGTCGGAGGTCCTCTGCTGAGGGCCATCCGATCCCTGTATGACCGGAGCCAGAGCTGTGTTCGCATTGCCGGCAGTAAGTCAGACCTGTTCCCGGTGAATGTTGGCCTCCGACAGGGCTGCCCTTTGTCACCGGTTCTGTTCACTGTATTTATGGACAGAATATCTAGGCGCAGCCAGGGGTCGGAGGGGGTCCGGTTCGGAGACCACAGGATTTCATCTCTGCTGTTTGCGGACGATGTTGTCCTGTTGGCTCCAACGAACCAGGACCTGCAGCATGCACTGGGACGGTTTGCAGCCGAGTGTGAAGCGGCTGGGATGAGAATCAGCACCTCCAAATCCGAGGCCATGGTGCTCGACCGGAAAAAGGTGCCTTGCCCTCTGCAGGTGGGTGGAGAGGTCCTTCCTCAAGTGGAGGAGTTCAAGTATCTCGGGGTCTTGTTCACGAGTGAGGGAAGAATGGAGCGTGAGATTGACAGGCGGATCGGTGCAGCGTGCGCAGTTATGCGGTCGCTGTATCGGACCGTTGTGGTGAAGAGGGAGCTGGGCCTAAAGGCAAAGCTCTCGATTTACCGGTCAATCTTCGTTCCCTCCCTCACCTATGGTCATGAGCTTTGGGTAATGACCGAAAGAACGAGATCGCGGATACAAGCGGTCGAAATGAGCTTCCTCCGCAGAGTGGCTGGGCGCTCCCTTAGAGATAGGGTGAGGAGCTCAGTCACACGGGAGGAGCTCGGAGTAGAACCGCTGCTTCTCCACGTCGAGAGGAACCAGTTGAGGTGGCTCGGGCATCTGTTCCGGATGCTTCCTGGACGCCTCCCTGGGGAGGTGTTCCGGGCACGCCCCACCGGGAGGAGGCCCCGCGGAAGACCCAGGACACGCTGGAGGGACTATGTCTCTCAGCTGGCTTGGGAACGCCTTGGGGTCCCCCCGGACGAGCTGGAGGAGGTGTGTGTGGATAGGGAAGTCTGGGCGTCTCTGCTTAGACTGCTGCCCCCGCGACCCGGCAACGGATAAAGCGGAAGAAAATGGATGGATGGATGGAGAACAGATATGACAATTTAAGCATGTATGGACTATTGATTAAATTGTCAGCATTCAATGGTGGTTGGTTTCCCCTCCGTAACTATGGGAATGATAATGTTGCGAACAGGTGTAAAAGTTCTAAAGAAATATAAATAATTCACTTGATAAACAGTTTCAAATCACACATACGAGAGACAGTAAACCTGATTTTTTTTTCCCCAAAAGCTACATGAGCACCCGACTCAAGGACAGTTTCCATAAACGACAAGGCTTCCCACAAACGTTTGATGTTTTCTTAAGTATTTTTCTCTAGTGTACAATATTCATTATCTTCTTTTTAGTGGGGCTCCAGTTTGTATCCACTTTCAGGAGAACCACTTTTCACTTCAATGAAACAATACACATTCACGAGAAAGATACAATGATGCATTTCTGTTTCTCTACCAAATATTTCATCTTTGAATAACATTTGTTATAATACAGTTTGTTACATGACAACAACATGCACGTATACTCGAGCACTAACCAGTTTAAAAGTTATTAAAAAGCTGTTTGGGTTACCCTTGTGCCAGAGATTGTAAAAAAGAAGAAAAATGTTCAAGTAATGACTCAAAGAATGTAAAAATGATAAGTAGTAAATATTAAAACAGTTCATGTAATGCATTTTGTCCAGTCTTCATTTCTTATACTTTGAAACTAGCGCCTTGACTGACAATGTTCCGTCTTTAGTCTGAGTTCTGATTTCAGCGTTGTGTTTGAAGGCAAAGACCAGCGCTCTCACAGTCCGTCTGTATGCACTGCTCACCAGCCGTGAACTCCGGTGGAAAACTTCTCTCTCAATGTTGTCGATGAGGCCACAGTCCTCCTGTAGATGACATTACATTGCATTACATCTCCCCCTTTCCTCAATGTAGTGCTAGTGGCTGATTAAACTAATGTGCCTGCTAACCTTGACCTCGAGAGCTTCCGCCATCATTCTTCTGGCATTACTTCTCAGTGTTTCTGACTGTTTGTCGGATCTGACTTCGATAGACGGCTTATTTGAATTCTCTCCAATGAAGGTTCTCCACTCTGTGTAGACTTTAGCAGCCAATGAACTCACTTCTGGATCTGCATGTTTTCTCATCTTGTTCACAGCGTGGCCTTAAAAATAATGAAAAGAAACAGAATTGAAACATGGCTAATTAGTTCAGCAAAATTAGAAGCCATGGAAATGTTCCCATAGAAATGCTTGTAACTTAATTTTATGTAATTAGTCAACCAATAAAATTTTTGTTTGACTAAAGATTGTTAACTGGTTAATTGAAAACAAACTGAAAGCACTCGTTATTTGAATCATTGCAAAAATCCTTCAATCAACATTGACAGATATAGTGCATATTATTGTTGTTATATACAGTACAGACCAAAAGTTTAGACACACTTTCTCATTCAATAAGTTTCCTTTCTTTTCAAGACTATTGACGTTAGATTTACACCCAGGCTGTGTAAGGGCTATTTGTCCAATAAGGAGAGTGGTGGGTGCTGGGCCAGATGACCTGGCCTCCACAGTCACCGGACCTGAACCCAATCCAGATGGTTTTGGGGTGAGCTGGACCACAGAGTGAAGGAGAAAGGGCCAACAAGTGCTAAACATCTCTGGGAACTCCTTCAAGACTGTTGGAAGACCATTTACCTCTTGTAGGTCATCAAGTGAATGCCAAGAGTGTGCGAAGCAGTAATCAGAGCAAAAGGTGCTACTTTGAAGAAGTAGTTCAGTTGTTTCATACTTTTTTCTAAAGTACGTACATAATTCCTCATGAGTTAATTCATAGTTTTGATGCATTCAGTGTGAATCTACAATTTTCATAGTCATGAAAATAAAAATAAAACTCTGAGTGTGTCAAAACGTTTGGTCTGTACTATATTTTTATATGTGGTTATTGGTGGGAGGTCCTAGGATCGAGTGTGCCACAACAGGTAGAATTCACCACCAAAAATAAAATAAAAATCTTACCTATCTTAGTGGATTTAAGCACTTCTCTGGATGGGATCTTCTGGATGAGTTCAGTCAGAGCTGACAGAAGGTTTTCTTTGCTTTGTCCTGGCAGCTCCATCATAGACTTCCAGCGGAGAATGTCTTCAATCACCACAACTCTCTGAAAAGTAAACTCGAATAAATTCGCACAGCTTACACAGTTACATGCTGCAACATTAGGGTTTGCACCAATTGCACTTACCTTTAGAGACTCAATAGTAGCTTGTCTATACACTTTCCCTGTAGTATTTGTCTTTTTGGGAGTGTCTACTCGTGGTGAGCGAACAACAAACTTATCCATGGTGTTATAAATAAGTACGGTCTTTGTATGACTTTGTTATTGCCACTTTTTTTTCACCTGCTAGAACAAGGCTAATGCTAGACAATATTGTGCTAGGCTGCTATTAGCAATATTTGCCACTTTTGCTTTTCTATTCGCCGCAAACTAGTTCCACGACCCAACTAAACGTTTAGCTGCTAAAAATACATTTCTGATCTTGCAGACTTGATCAAAGCAATACATTGAAGAGACGTGAATAATGTGTTTCTCTAGACTCCTCATATGAGCCCACAGCATGTATTGCGCTACATTTAAAGACCCTAGATTAAATAAATACTCACATCGCCTTCACAACAACACAACAGGGAAGACAAACAAAGAAATGTCAAGTTTGGTAATTAAATCATCCAAGTATATTAGAATTTATTAAACAGTCGCCAATAGACTCGATCTATAAATCATGCACAATTCTTTCGTTTTAATATTTGGAAGAAGTTAAAATATCCCAGGAGCTTTGAATATAGCAAACATTCTCTCTATATCGCGAGCAGTGCTGTTATCGCGAGACTGCGGACAGCTCGGAAGGAAGAGAAGTCCGCTGTGTGTTTGTTGTTGGATTTTCGCAGTAGCAAAAATGGGGGAAACTTCCTCTTTCGTCCGCATTGTAGCCCTTTTTACTCTTCTCGTCTGTGTGTCTGCTTCCAAGGATGTGTTTGACGCGGTGTTGGGGCACACTGGGTCTTGTCGAAAGTCCTGTGAAATGACGTACAGTTTGCACACTTATCCACGGGTAAGCGCTTTCCGAACGGCGCAGATAGTGCTAGCTTACAAGTGCCATCACGGAAATCCAACGCTGGCTAGTGATCTGGGTGATACATTTTTTAAGCCTGTCATTATGAGTAAACATTGTGTTCTTGTATTTGTCCTTCTTGTAGGAGAATGAGCTCTACGCCTGTCAAAGAGGATGTCGTCTGTTTGCCATTTGTCAATTTGTGCGAAACTCGGATGACCTGAATCAGACTAAAACCGAGTGTGAATCATGTAAGTAATGAACATGTATATAGTGTTGAATAAGGTAAAATAACGATGAAGGTTTCTAGATTGTAGACTATATTATTCTATGACTGATGGTGTATCCAGTCAACAAAAGCATATGGAACCTTTTTATAGTCCAAAATTTAGTTATGTAGTTATGTAATTGTATGTATTTGTCTCAAACATGCACAAGAGACACCAATTAATTTTCACTGAAATAAAAATTACCTCTACATGGTTTGAAAAGGGATTGGATGAAGTAAAAAGCTTATATTAATCCGATCCCCAGCCAGCCAGTCAGACACACACCAAATAAACAAAGAAGCAATACCCTACTGTACACTTAAACAAATTATTACAAGACTTTTGGAATAATAACGACTATTCAAAGAAGAAAATACACAATATAATCGAGATAAATTACCATGATTTTATAGAAAAACTAATGTCTCTCTCTGCTTGTCAATCTAAAAAATCTTGCATAAGTTGAACAATAGGACTTCAAAGCTGAAGCTGGTTTGTTCTGACGAATTCTTTCTGGGAACACACACATCAGACCACAACATGCTGTCTTTATCTTATTAGAGAACATTTTATCTTTGACACACTGCTGATTGGCTTGATGAGAGCTTTTCCTCTTTTTCACTGAAAAAGCAGATCTACAGATGTGACTGGGGCCAAAAAACTTGATAATACAACCATATTGTTTTGAGAGCCAGGAACAAGCTGGCTCTCAAAACAATATTTGTGGTTTCAATGGTTTTTTTCCAGCTTTAAGTCCACTTGTTTGCAGTCCAACTCCAGAGTAATATTTACACAAGAGTTTATCAGAATAAATATTTTGGAGATAAAGTGACTAGTGAGGGGGCGCATTGAGATACTGTATTTTGTGCGTATCAACCTAAAGCAAAAGCAACTATTGTTTTCTTACAGCTTGTAACGAAGCCTACCGCCAGTCAGACGAGCAGTTTGCCTGTAACCTTGGCTGTCAAAACCAGATTCCGTCCACAGTGCAGCGCCAAGAACAGGCAAGTCTCAATATGTGCTTTCATTAAACATTACTCTTTACATTTTCCCTCTATATTCATTGATCAAAACTTACATTTTGTGGGACTTATGTTTAGTTTGGCCTTTACCCCTGACTTGATGAGACAGAATAAAAAATCAGTTACAGCCAAGATTTGTTGTTAGATAATAACATATAATTAAGTATTTTGCAACGAGCAATTTGCAAAGACTTGGGTGACATTATTTATTTTACAAACAAATGATCCCATATCATTTATATAAGAATCCGGTAACACTCTGAAACGCCACAAAATAATGTATCTGCGTGAAATAAGTACTACTAAATACTTCTACCTCTTGAATTGTGTGTATTACTTTTTAGAATAAGATTTTGAAGTGGACAAAATCAAACAAGTCCAGTTTTATTTCAATATGTTTTTGTATCGGGTCAAAACGAATCCCATATATACGTACAACAACACTATTATTTGTGTAAGGGGTTTGAAATCATTTAAATTTAGTTTAATTGGGTCTTCCTATCAATTAATACATATTTTTGGAGTGTGCTTTACAAAAATCAACACAAAGAAACAAAAAACAATGTATTAAATTGAGTGAAGATACAATCCTTTAGTTGTATGCACAGCTACACAGAACTTTTTGACAATTTTCAAATCACGGTTAAGAGTAGAAGTCTGTCTCTTTCTCCGGAAGAATGTTTAAATTTTTGTCTGCATACATCTGAAACACTCCCTGACTGCCACGCTGCCCTGGCACCAGCAGGAGGCCAATCCTTGTCCTCCTCAGAGTCCTACACACCAAATTTCATCTCCGTCTGTTCTTTGTGCAATCCTGTCTGCAGACAATAGTACTCGTTGGGATAATTATTGTAAAATTGTGTGGTTCTCGCTGGGTAGGCCATTAATACTGAGCATCTAAGTAGGTTTCTGATTATAAAAAATAAAATATTGAATTACTAAAAATCACATTGGACTGAAAAGCATTCATAAAGTTGTCATTGAAAAGCCTTGTTTTGATGGTGTTTGTAGCTGGATGGGATGGTGCCGCGGATGCATCTGCTCCACCCCCTGACTCTGGTGAGGGGCATGTGGGAGGACATGATGAGCCAGGCCCACAGCTTCATCTCCTCCTCCTGGACCTTCTACCTCCAGGCAGAAGACGGGAAAGTAGTAATTTTCCAGGTATCTTTTTACCAACAACGTTCAGTGATTGGTTTTGTGTAGCATGAGCGGCTTTACTCATAAAAGCACAGCGTAACCTCATCCATAACAAGGAAATCTTATGTGGCAGATGCTGTGATTATAAGGAATGTCTTGCTATTCAGCCAGTAGCATTAGCAATGTGTTTAGATTCTTAGGCACGAGTAGGAGGACATATAAAAAATCTTTCTAGAAAACATTTGAACTGAGCTCTTATAGTATCAATAAGCATTCACTGATTTTGTGAAACACGTTTTGTGTCTTCAGTCTGAGCCACAGATTCGAGTTTTCACCCAGATAGAGATGGATAATGACATCAAAGAGGAGCCGCAGAACAACTGTAAGTCTGTGTGTGTGTGTGTTTGTATTGGGTGTGAATAAAATAAAACAAATGAAAATACAAACTGTTGCTGTTGTTTTTTAATAGTCATGACCAGTCCAATTTACAAAGAATACCACCGCACTTTGATCCAGGAACGGGACAGAGAGATGAGTGAGCGCACTTACGATGGAGACTACAATATCTTTGGTTGTTTGGCAAGGTAACATAATATATAATCTATAATCTCATATCATTCTGTTGTCGTCCTTTGTGATTTCTGTTTTTAGGTAGAGTTTGCCATTTTAAAATACTCTTTCCTTTTCCCTTCTGAATTTTTACTGTAACTGTCCAATAGAAACCCGTGGCTGCCAGGCTGGATTCTGACCACAACCCTGGTCCTGTCTGTTCTGGTCCTGATCTGGATTTGCTGTGCCACCGTAGCAACTGCTGTAGACCAGTACGTCCCAGCGGAGGTAAGACAAATCAAATCGAATGAACAACCCTCCAACAAATAAGACGTCAAGTGTTGTATTAGATTACACATTTTCATAGAGACTAGGAACATTGACCACAAGTTGGACATAAGTTCAGTTTACTCTGAAATGTTGAGGTCAAGACCATTATTGCATTCCCTGTGTTCAAACTGTTCGATTTATGATCTGGTGTTGCTGAATTATTAATAACAAAACAAAAAAATGTGTACTAAACTTGGTCATCATGTTTGAGCTGCCACTCAAGAGCATCCAGCAAACGTCCAATCCACAATCAATCTAATATTTTAACTTTATAACTAAGTTATAAACAGTCACAGTTATTTATAACATAACTCTGACTCTGAGGAGCTCCCGGACTGGCCTCATGCTGGTGCCCAGAGTCTGGACTAAACAGGCATCATCTCAGATATATGATCCTATAATCTGGAACAATCTTCCTGAAAATGTGAGACAGGCTTCTCCTCTGACAATGTTTCAATCCAGGTTAAAACAGTTCTGTTTAGCTGTGCACACAACTGAAGGATTGAGTCTTCACTCTTTGTTTATGCACTGTGATTATTTATGATTTTATTTCCATGTGTGATTTTAACGTTTGGTTTGAGTTCATGCTCATGTGTATGAACTGAGCTACATTAATACACTTGCCTTTTTCAACACTTCACATAATTTTCCAAAAAGGCTTCATTTAAAGAATGTAACCTGCTGCACCATTTTGCTACTTTTCAGATGTAATGCTGTTGAAAATGGTAGTTATTTATGCTTTTTATAAAACATATTCTTGTCTTCTCATTGTAGAAACTCAGCCTTTATGGAGACAACGAGTACCATGATGAGAATAAACTAATTCCTTACCCACAATCCTCTCTGCTCATCATCACCTCCAAAGCATCTGAAGAAGAGGCAGGACCACTGCCCTCCAAAGTGGATCTGGGGAAGTCTGACATCTAGTGGACACATTACGGAGGGGAAATGTTTTTTATTTGATTTGCTTGGGGCTTGTGGTCTAAACAGGGATGCATCTTGTTTTCAATCAGTGTCTGACTTTTCCTATTTTAAGCTTCAAGGCTTTCCTTTATTTCATTAAATTAAGACATTATGAGTTCTTGTTGCCAGTGTAGTTTGAAGAACTTTAATTTTGTCGAGTGCAATCTATTTTGAGTGCTTATTTTATTTTTCAGTGACTTGAAGTAAACCACTTTTCTCCTAAAATCTCACTTTGGTAAACACAGATGTGGTGATTGTCTACCTTTTCAGATATCATGTTTGTATGGCTGTAACTTCTATGGCATTTTACTATTAAAATCTATGATGTTAAACATTATCATTGTTTTCTGTTCATGTCGATCTATGAAGCAAACAAGCGGTAGTCTCATTTTACATGAGCAATGGTTGGACTTGGGTTTAGTTAAACACGTTTATTTCAAATTGTTAGGGTCTTGCTAACTCATCTATTGTCACATTACATGACAAACAGAACTAAAAACAATTGAAGCACACTGAAACATGCTGACCACGTCCTAGTCAAGGTTTATCAGAACAAAAATACTTCTGTTGGATAATTATCTGGGTTGAGGTCATGTCAATATTCTTATTATTATTATTACTATCAGGCCTCCACAATGTAGTACCACTATTGAATAAAAAATGAAATACCCCAAATAAAATCTCAGAAAATTATGTTTTGAAAATTGACTAAGACATATTCACAGGTGTGTCAAATTAAGAAATAAATTCACTTTTAAAAAATATTCTATTTTTAGAGAGTCGTTTTCAATAGTGAGTAATGATTTAGAAACATTCTGGCACTACCTGCATGCAGAAGCAGGTAGTGCCAGTACCTTTGAATCTAAGCAGGGCACTGTAATGGGAGACCTCTGGGAACCAGGTGCCGCAGTAGGGTTGCTGTCGTGTCCTTAGGCAAGACACTTCCCCCACATTGACTAGAATGTGAATGGTTGGTGGTGGTCAGAGGGGACCATGGGAAATGCTGGTTGCCTTGCTTCTGTCAGTGTGCCCCAGGTCAGATGTGGCTACAGTAGTTTACCGCCTGATGTGTCCAATATACCCCCAGTGCATTATTCATTAGTATTTCACAGTAGTAGTAGTTTAACATGCTGTTCACTTTTTTGTTTTAGATTTGCAATTCTGGTAACACCGATAACAGCTAATATATTTATCAAGAAAGAAGGCATTTTTCTTAAACTGCATCAAATATTATTAAACGTTTTATTAATAAATCAACTTAAAAACTAAAACTCGTAAAAAAAGAAGAAAGCCACAAATATAGAGAAACAGTTAATAGCTGTTTAACAAGTCCATGTCTGCTGCGGTGAAGGCGCCAGATCTTTTGGAAGGCGGGTCTTCAGTGTCTGGCTGCTCCGTCTGCCGCGCTCTCTTGTTGCTCGTGTTCAGTAAAGCCTTGTCTTCAGTACAGGCTGTGGAGGCATGCTGTTTTTCCTGTTTCGTTGAGTGATCAGCTTTGTGGAATTGTAATGTGTCCTTATTGGCATCGTCGTCCTCCTGTATCAGAGGCGCTGCATTCAGGATGTCACGCACAAACTTCTGCCTGCCGACTATACACAAATAGTAATTATTAGTATCAAGTGTAGATTGGCAAAATCAGATAAGCAAAGTTTGCAATGAGGGTAAGAAACACGTACAAAAGCGTAGTGCAGATGTCCTAGACTCTTCAAGTTTCTTCAGCTTTGGCATTTGTGTCCCAATGGTTTCCCATTGGTTTACCACCTAAGATCGAGCAGACAAAGATTTGTGTTTTTTACAAAGGAAGTAAAAAAAATAAAAAAAGGAGGAGTATGTTCATATTAAATCTACATAACTTATTTTTATGTCACAAAAAAAACACAATTAGTATTCATGCATGTTTAGCCACCCCTGTTAAGCAGCTTCTTCACACACAAAAGTGAATCGGGGTAGAAGACCCCTTCAGCAGCCAATCAGCTGTCTCAACCCAGTTGTACAGTCACAAGCACAGCTCAGTCACAAATTATAAGGTAATTTTGTTTCTCATGAAGAATGTGTCTTGGTGACAGAGTAGTCATTGTTGTAACCATGTTCTGCTTTTGAAATATACATGAGATAATCATTTAATGTATTTTATGCAGATAAATCCTGATATTCATCCTTTGTAATAACAAATTTGAAACTGTCCACTTTTTCTTGCTGTATTAGGTGCATTTAGCACAGGATCAGGATATGTAATGTTAAAATGCAGTGCCCTGAAGAAAAGCTTTGTATGCAAAGTCTGCTAGTGGTGCTGCAATTAACGTTCCTGGATCTTGATAATCAATTGATCTGCTGATTATTCTCTATTAATCAGGTTTTTATACATACAAAATCCTAAATTGATTCTTCTCAGTGATAACCTGTATACATTTTTAATCTTCCATTAACCCCCACCTTAATATCGTTTTACCTGCTCTGCCCATCCTTCCGTTTTACATTTGGAATGATCAAATTCGTCCAGTGGTTTTTCAGAGTGGATGAGCCCGAGGTAGTCGCAGATGCATCTCTTAAGCCCTGGACCGAGCTGAAGACATCAACAGTCAGACTCCAGTGACGACACAAATGTATACAACCAAATATAACATCATACCTTCATACCCGTTCCAGACACGTCTAGTTTTTCAAGTTTTGGGAGGCACATGAGGTATCTGAAAGCTCTCTCTGTGACTGGGTTGTCTATTAATGGAAAGTAAAGAAAATTCTATTTTATTTTTCCCTATGGAGATGCTAGTAATATGCATTACGCTTTTATAACTTACAAGAAATGTCCAGAGACTTCAATGAGTCCAGCCCTTTCTTCATCATTCTTACTGGTGCCGTAAGTCTCTGGAGGCCCATATCTGAAATACTGTTGCCACCAATACACAGTCGTTCCAAGCTGCAAGAAAATAAATAAAAAATATTTTAAAAATGCACCAAAATAACTTTATTTTAACTATATTCATTACCACCCCATCAACATATACAAAGGCAGTAGCTGCTAATGTCAGATGATTAGTGATTTATAAAAGACGGTTTATAAGGTTGTTAACCTTCCCAACCACCTGGAAGCCTCTTCAGTCCTGCACCGCTCAGCCTCAGTTATCATTCTACAGCCTGAGTTCTTCTATAGCCTGACATCCGTGGGCGCGTATCCCTCTCTCAATGTGGCTCCCCTGAGGTTTCTCACTTTTTACACACTGTTATTTTGTTGTTGAGTGGTTCCTTGTCAATGCAGTTGGGTCTAAGGACTTTGATGATTCGGGACATTTAAGGACATTCATGGACATTGGTCATCCCGCTCCCAATGGACCAATGGCTCCATGGATCTTTGCATTTCCTAAGTTCAAACTGTTTTATTCTCTGATCCTGAGGAACCGACAACTTTGTTAAGTTCTCAGAGACTGCTGTTGTTATTTAGGGTTGGGAAAAAATTGATCTAATTGAATAAACCCATCTCTCACACTTTGTACTTTACCTTGTCATCAGGCTGGATGTCAGGTGCTGAAAAATCTCATGATCATCTCCAAGTCTGCAGCCAAACAAATCCAACATCCTCAACCCGTGAAATGTTTTGATGTCATTCATTTTCTCATGAAACAAAGGAAACCTGCATTGAAACGCATTCAAACGTTAAATACAAGTGTCCACAGAAAAACAAAATGATTATAATGCCTTACTTATTCCGTAAACATAAAGACTTAAGCACCAAGTCCCCATAGGCGTCATTGAATAGCTGCATTGCTTTTGGAGACACATCTGGGTTGGAAAATATCCTGTTCTCCTCCACTGCTGAAAATAGTTTGTCTCCTATTTGGTCAGGAAAGCCCACGAGAGAGTCTACATGCTGGATATTATCAGCCACAAACAATAGAGCAATGTCAAAGAGGGATTTGGAGGTGTATCTCAGGCTGCCTTCCTCATTGTAAGTGAATACAAAATGCTCTTTTCTGAACACAAAAGGATTCGTCCTTCTGCATGATGAAGACACAGGTTTGGGCTGAGCTAATACTATGTCACTAACACGGCGAAGGTTGCCCTTTTCACGCACATAAATGGTATTGCTGTCCATGCCAAGGTCGGAGGAATTATCACTAGACAAGAAAGTGGAAAAAATGACAACTCATGCATCCAATACGAGCTACTTTCAGTAAAATATGCATGGAAAAAACAACTGGAGTTTGACGATTATAAATAAAGTCGTGTTAAATTGGCAGCACATGCTCAAACAGCCTGTGTGCTAAATTATACGTGATTTTGCATTATCTCTAACAGGTATTTCGAGTTCTGCCATGGTACTGCCTAGCTTACTCTGAGCATACTCCGCTAGCGCCTCAGAGCTGCGCAAAGACCTTTCAAAGTAAAACAAAAGAGTTTAAAAGGCATTCGTTAATTGATATATATTACACTTTATTAAACATAATACACATATGGTTCTTGTTTTTCTTTTATAAACTGTGAGAATAAACCAAATAGAGGGTATACACTAGCTTTAATATTATCCTTGAATTTTATTGTGAAATGTGTAGGAAAACGTCATGTTTACAAACCCAGCTTCCGTTTCTTCTGTAAACGCAGGCAAAGTTGAAACTGCAATGATTTTAGATTAGCTAGCAGCATATTTGCCTATAGCTATTTGTTCAGGACTAAGCTTTGTCATTCGCACGATTTATCTTTAAAACAGTTTACAACGATATTTTTTCTTGCGATTAGACTGAAGTAAGAAAAGTTAAGAGCTAACACAAGATAGCTAAACTAGTGCTAGCAACAACATATTTCACTTTTTTTACGTATAATAATTTAAGATTTTGTTGCCAAATAAATTGTTGGGCTGGAAACTTAGGTAACGGCATAGACACATAACAGTGTGTTTTTAATCAATACGTGACGATAGATTTGTTCTTTTACAATCGTTTTCCTATCAATGCAGCTTAGGTTAGATTTTCTATCCCTCGGAACTAGCTGTTAAATCATAAAACATGGCGTCCATGAAAGATCCTTTTGAGTTCCAGGGTGAGTATATAAGACAACAATGACATTATTGTGTCGATAAAACTCACAGAGCAGCCAGCTGTATTTATGAGTGCGTTTTATATCTTTCTAATGGTAGATTTTGATGAAGACTCTGGTAACCTTTTGGAGCCCAGGAGAGATGCAGTAACTATCAGCATTGAGCATGAAGATGTCAAATTTGAGAAAAAGTCTGCTCCTCCTAGTGCTGATGCATATGAGGAAGACCCAGAGACCAGCGATGACCAGGCCAAGGTTATACAGACTAATTACTTGAGCAAGCGAGTAAGGATGTACTGTTTGTAATGTTTGTTGTGTTGTCTTTTGTATGTGTAGCTTCTCTCTGGACAGAAGAAAACCCCTGCTTTCTGGACCTTCGAGTACTACCAGAAATTATTTGACGTTGACACACACCATGTAACATTTAAATATGTTTTTGCATTTATTTTTTTGCATATACAAAAATGTACTGATGTACATCATCATCATTTTTAGGTTAAGGAAAGAATAATAGGCTCTTTGCTGCCATGGCCTAGGAAAAACTTTGTCCATACCTACCTTCGAAGAAATCCGGATCTATATGGTTAGTGATTTCTTTGATCACAGAGAGAAGAAAACCAAATATTTGATTTATAATTTTTTTCTTGGTCTCCAGGGCCCTTTTGGATCTGCACCACTCTTGTATTTGCAATTGCCATCAGTGGAAATATTTCAACCTTTCTGGTGAATTTAGGCAACTCCAACTACAAATACACCCCAGAGTTTCGGAAAGGTGAGAATAACGCCACTATATTTTCAAATTTATTTTTTTTGTGTGCAAAACAACCCATGCATTTCCTTGCATAATTCAGAAATGTAATGGTATTGTATATTTAAAGAAATTCATTTTCACTAAATATTTCTCAGTAATATTTAACATATTGACACTGTTTCTGATTATCGACACTTTTTTTATTGTACATAATATCCTGCATTTAACATGCACATTTCTTTCTTTTTGCACAATCTTGAGTGTTTCTATCCATACCAGATGTGACATGTAAATTTCTACTTTGTGAGATCAATAAAGTATATCTTATCTTAATTTTAAAGCCTGAAAATCAGGACGGCTTCATAAAAAAGATACTGGTCTTAGATATTTAAAGTTACTGTACCCCTGGTTACTTTCTTCATTCTTCTGAAGCTACAGGATGTAATGTGCACTGAAGCACCACAATTTTTGGATTTGCTAAATAATCTTTGCATCTTTTATTGTGTTTTTTTCTTTGAGATAGTACATATTATCAATGTGAGGACAATAATAATCACTGTCGGCTCGTGTGTGTGTGTGTGTGTGTTTCCTTCATCCATCCCCTTTTCAAACTGTACTGTTTGTATTATGTTATGCTGTATGATAAACAAATATTCACCACTATTGTTGCTGCTTTCCAGTGACAATAGCTGCCACGGCCATCTTCAGCTATGCATGGCTGATTCCTCTGGCTCTGTGGGGGGTCCTGCTGTGGCGGAGCAACAAGGTCATGAACATAGTGTCGTATTCCTTTATGGAGATCGTCTGTGTGTATGGATATTCCCTGGCTGTTTACATACCGGCTGTGGTAAGATATAAAGCATATGCTCATATAAAAAGGATAAGTCCTTCTATAAATCTTTGAAATGTACAATATCTGTTCAGTTTGCACATAGTTATTGAGCATTTTGGTCCGTTCAAAGTCAAACGTTAAAAAAAACTATTCATTTTAAATCTTGTCAAAATATTTGTACAAGGGTGTGTTTGTAAAGCACGTGAGCAAATAATAAATGGTTATGCTTCTCTTTATTAAAGTCTGTAACTCTAAATGAATTACACATTTTAGGAAATGTGTTAAATTGACCTCCTGGCCTTAAATGTTGATATAAAATAAGTCATTTTATTAATTCTAATATTACAGGTAAGTCCCGCCTTCCCTTCTCTTAGCTATAGCTCAGAATCCACGATGCCGTACACATTAACCAATCGAGTCATGCCAAGGGCTGTCAATCATCGGCGCTGATGCTCGTAGCTGCGCACATGCTCAGTTGTTTGTTTTCACGGAGCCTCCGAATCAAGCCTCTATTAGGCTCTGGAACAACATGAAAACTGAACAAAGAATTCTGAACATCTGCGCTGAGGTACTTATGTATATACTGAACCTATATCCATAATCAGATCCTCTGCAGGTGTCTCCTATAATGTGCAATTCATGATAATAGCTACTTCCGGGTTTGCCGCGATCGCTTTTTTTGTGCATAAAAACATTTTTTTCATTAAAACATTAACAAATAATTCTGAAAACCTTTGTGCATGTGTATTAATAATGTACATGTATAATGTGTTCTATGATTAACATTTAAAAGGGTTACGGAAACGTAGGTGTAGACCAATCAGAAAGGAAGGGGGAGGGAGCTTGCGTCGTTTTTTTCAAATTAAGTACCTCTCTGTCTCTCTTTCTGACAAACTCCAGACAATCACTTTAATGCATCAGTGTCATAGAAATGTGACTGTAAATTAGTTTTAGTACATATTTTTTCATAATTACAACACAATTATATCTAAAGCATTTTATCTACTAGAAGCCTTTAGTTGCCATATTGGACAACATACAATTGATGTCCAAGAGCTATCAGATATCCAAACAAGTACTCTTTCTGATATGACTTAAAAAGTAAATGTTACCAGTCGTAGCCTCTATCCTTTGTCAACATTGTCACCTATTTTGTTTTTTGTTTTTTTTACTTAACAACCGCATCTATCATCTGCAAATGTTGTGAAAGGTTATTTGCTTAGATCACATTTCCTGTTGTCTCAGATCATTTGGATTCTCCCGTTCGCGTGGCTGCAGTGGTTGTCCATTCTGGTCGCTCTGTGCCTCTCTGGGTCCGTCCTGGTGCTGACGTTTTGGCCCGCCGTTCGAGATGACCACCCCAAAGTTTACATCACCATCCTTTCCACCATCGTCACTTTCAATGTGCTGCTCGCCATTGGTTGTAAAGTAAGCCCCAGCAATCCCTGACTCGATACACTCCTGAGCTAGGACATAATCCTGGCTTTAGTCTCCGTGAAGAGCAGTGGAAACGTATCTCTGCTGGACATGAGATGCATCATTCAGTGAGATTTGGCAACTCTGTGCTCCTGTCTGCGCTAAACTGAGCTGCTCCTCTGGTCTCTGCAGCGATAATGATAAACACAGGCTTCTCATTTGTCCTGAATGCTCTCTCACTCGTCTGTCCGAGCTTTGGCACAAGTTTGCATATGTCAGTCACAAGTAACAGGCATTGTACGAGGATTGTAATCTCGCATCACTCACCTGATATGAGGTTGAGGTAATGAAGTTTATTGAAATGTTGGAATATATATTAGCTGGAATATAATGTGATGGCATTCTCAAAGCATAATTTTCTTTTCTGTTAGAATCAAAAATTGTTGTAGAATAGAGTTTAAATAGCATCTATTAAAGCTCGGGTACCTAACTTTTTTGTTTCATCAATAATACATGTTTGTCCCAACAAAAGTCTCAAACAAATCAGTCCACAGTCCTCATCTTATAAGAAAACATGTTACCTTTTGCATATTTGTAAGAGCCCTTTGAGTCACTCTTTGACGCTGAGTGAGGGGGGTCGCCTATATTCACTCTTCTGTGAAAACTAGTGATAAAACCAAACGTTTTGGATAAAATATGGGTTTTATTACATCTATTTGTTATGATTTACTGCAGTGTTCCCCAACATATTATATCAGACTGTTCGCTGTTAAATAAATGAAACTCAATGCACTGCTTCTCTTGCTCCATAACTACTTTAACTATTACTGCTATTGTTCCTGCTACTACATCTATCACTACTGCCGTCTCGTTCTGCGTTCATATACTGTATGATTGCTCTCTCTGCCCCTCCGCGAGGTTACTGTACTCGTCCCCAGTGTCAGGTTCAGTCCCGCTCCCGGATTCATCGGAAACTTTGACCGCACATTGTGACTGGTGTGAGAGCGAGCTGTTAGCGAACTTGTTAATTTGTGAGCCTTGCCGTCGCGGGGTGAGATCGTGTGTCTGCTCACATTCGTGTAATTAGTCTACAAAGTAAGCCGGTGTCTGAAGGCTCACCAAGATGAATGACTTGCCCATATTCTCAAAGCATTCTTTAAGGACTCTTCATTTGCTGCACAGTTGCCTCCAGCTTTTTGACTCATGATTGATTATGGCTGGGTAACAGAGATGAGTGGAATACAAGTACACTTTGTTATTCTAAAAGCACTTGCAGAGCTTGAGGTATCATCACTCGTGCACAAAAACGGCAGTCACTCTCTCGAAGCGTGGATTGAAGGAATGGTTATATTCATGATTTGACGTTTTCTCTTGAAGACAATTTAGTGAGGTTCATAGTTCCACTTCCTGGTTGTACATGAGAAGCAGAAATTACCTAGCAACTACGTCTGTTTTATGCAGTTTTGTCTGTGTGTGTACTGTGTTGGTAGAATTCTGTGTTACATCTTTGTCACAAACTGCCTCCAATGTAAAACATTGATTGCCTACTACAATTTAAGTAATGATTAGGAATAAGGAAATAAGTGGATGGCTAAGTTTGAGCCTTAAGGTCGTGGGTTTGATCCCCCCACCGGACCTTGTCCATCAACTCTCACTGATATCTGCTGTCATTAACATTTGACCCCACTTTGCCTGAAGCCCCCGCTAAAAGATCAAGGCTACGCTCTCATCAACAGAGCAGCCATCTAGGCCTGTCGCGATAGTCAATAAATCAATTAATCGCACGATAAATAAAATTTGCTCAATAACTTTTCTGGCCGCGATAAATCCCATTTGCATGCTTGTTTGTTTCCCCCCTCTCTCTCGGGTCAGAGAGCCGCAAAGTGGTCAGGGGAACACTAGCGGTCTAGCAAGCAGACGGAAATTACTCAAAAATACAAAATACAGCCAAAACAGGACCTAAACCAGGACTTAACCAGGATTGACAATGGGGGACACAGTAGTTGTGAACATATGCCGGCAGCTGAGTTCTCATTCAGGCTTGATTAGTGACTATACTAGCGCAGCTAGCGTTAGCGTGTTCGCCGATGCAGAAGTACCGCACCATACCAATAAAATAAACTTATTGCGCACCTCCGTGAACACATACTGCTGTTATATAAAGTCTCTAGAAGGTCTCTGAACACAGAGATGCTGCAGACTTGCATTCTTGGAGTAGAACTTTACACAAAAACCCGCTAGCTTAGCTGTTAGCATCAAAGCCCGCCCCGCTACTTCCGGTGGGCGCTACCGCAGCAGGACTTCTGTACGCCCCATTGGTAAACCCACATGTCAGTCACTTGTCATTCGCCTGGTGTGTGGGGAGGTGGGACTACTCCTGAGAGATCCTGTCTTAAACCACACAAAATCAACATGTTGGTATTTCTTTCTCGTAATCTGCCATAAAGTCTGAGAAATTATTGACATTTGAGGCATCTGTTTCATATTTTCTTTACAAAGGTCCTGGCAGTTTTATTCCTGGTCATTTTTTGTTAAGAGACTGAGTATTTTATTTATTGTTTTTGGTTGTTTGTAAATTTATTGTGTTCTAGCGTTAAATATTCGTTAAAAATAAAAGTTTATTTCTCTTTGTAAAGGTGTACCTGCATGATCATTGTAATCGATGCAAATGATCTCAGAACGACAATATAATCGCTTATCGCAATAATTTCTGAGACAATTAATCGTCTAGCAAAATTTGTTATCGTGACAGGCCTACAGCCATCCTCCTGTGGACTCACCACCAGCAGGAGGATCAGTGAGGGGCTTGTTGCTCTGTGAATTCATTGGCAGTTGATTGCCACCCCAACCTAGAACTGGACAAAGGGGAAGAAAATGGATGGATGGATAGAAATAAGCACTTGTAGAGCACAAACCTCTGCCAAGAGGGGTAGTTCTTCTCATCTTTGAAAAAAAATCCTGGCTCCAGATGATAATTTGTATCACCTAAATTACATACAAATCTGCCCATAACTTTATGATGTATTTTTTTACAGATTTTATTACCCCCTCTGAGGGGCACTGACTGCTTTTTGTATAGCAGTCAGTGAAGTTTTTTGGACCACTCTAGTTTGCTCCCTGTGAATTTTTGAAGTCACTTGTTTAAATGAATGGGGCTTGTGCCGACTGACGCATGCGCAGATGCGTGACTACGTCCGTTAATATATACGGGGAACCCATCTCCAGATGTTAATACTCAGCTTGGTCAGGACTACCGGAGCTGGAGGATTTAACCTAGTGAGCATGTTTTTAGTGGTAGGGGAAACCGGAGCACCTGGAGGAAACCTTGCCACTCTTTAACTGTTGTAAACTACTATTGAATCCATTTTGCTCGCTCATCAGAGTTACAACTGTCAAATGATTTCTAGTGGAGCTGCATTATAATAAATTAAGTCATCGCTAAGTTTATCTTGTGGTTGGACTGTCCACTTTACCCTTTGATAACTATTGTATGTCTAATACTGAACACTATGTTTTCCCCTCATATTTCTCTTCAGATGTATTTCTTCAGCAAACCAGAAAATCTTCCTGAAAAACCCCCCGGTCCTACTGTCGCAGTTAAATTATCAACATGAGAACGTTTGAGGTAAATAGCAGTGCTTTCTCACGGTACACTAACACGTTCACACACTATTAACTAAGAACGCAGAAAAACGTGTAACTAATCATGTCTAAACGTGTGTTGTCCTCAGCTCAAAAGGACCACAGTGATTAGTAGAAAAGAAGTAGATCTGGTGTTTAGAGTTCAAGTAATAAAATAGACGAGAGGTTGAGCCCATGACTTTATAAGAGAAAGAAAGATTAGAAGATAAAGAGGATTTCTAAAATAAATCAACAGAAATCAACAGAAACAAATAAAAGAAATGTAGGGAAATGTTTTTGGGACGGTGCTTGGTCAGGTTGTTGTATAGAAAGTGTCCTGGATGTCTAAACGGTGATATCCTTGGTGATACTTTTTTCCAGGTGTGGTATTCAACAACATGAATTATAGTTAGATTTATTTGAAACCTGTAGAAGACAATTCCCAATCTTCATCTAACCCCTTTTCAAACATATGAGAAAAAAGTCATATTTCAAGAATATATTTGTATTACTAATACGTTTTCTGACCTCGACTTTATTCTCCTAATATTTTGAGTTTATTCTCATCATTTTCCAAGATTAATCTCTTAATAATGCACCTTCGACTTCATTCTCGTAATATTTAGACTTTAAAGTCAAAATATTCTTACTTTAGTCTCATATGGTCTGATAAAAAAAAAAGGATTCATCCAGTCCAGTTTCCACTATTATTGGAGGAAGCGATTAGGAGCAGAGCAGGTGAAGTAATGGAAGTTGGTGTGGGGAATTACAAAGGGGAAAATGTTATCTAAATATTATCAAAAACACATGTACCGAAAATGGATAACAAAAAAATCAAATGTAGCTTACAGTCATTTACAGACTGAGGGGGGCAGGATGAAGGAGCTCCACCATGTCAGGTCTCTGGAACAGTCTTTCACAGGTGAGCTGCTGGCCTTATTCAGCGCTCTGGCAGAGCTTAGGGAACAGGTGAGACACAAAGGGGATTTCGTAAAGTTGAACAAAAATCCTCTTTGTGTTTTCAGCATTCTCTTTACACTATGCTTTTTTTTAATGAATCCCAGTGCAGTTTTATGCTTGTCAGGGCAGTTTTATTTGGGATACAATTACAACATATGATGGTTTCACTGGTGGAGGCCTTTACACTTGAAATCATATTAAAATTCAATATCATTTTTTGAAAACATTTTATATTTTATATTTGAAATAAGATTCAAGATTAGAGGCAAATGTGGTCGACATAAAACACAAGCCGCATAAATTACTGATTCCAATAGGTCACAACACACAACCACACCTCCTGTTGTTCACCATGTACTTTCCCGTTGCCATTTTTAGCCGTAATTAAAAAGCCGCTTCCAGTCGTATGGCGTGGCAACACAACACCACACTTCCTGCGAACATGATTTGATGAAGTGTTATTCTTTTTGTCTTATCTTTCTTGTTTTCAAATCGCAGCTTCTCCTGTTGCCTTATTACGGGGACTCGGGTTGCGGCGGTTGTGAAGTCATGGGTCGCTTGGATTTCACCGGCACTTGAACGATCTACTTTGGGCCCTTGAGAATCGGCGCCGAGCCTTGTCCAAGCTACGTGACCTTCTGGAAATGAAACCCTGGGACCGAGTATGTTATTTCTAATGGGATGGGTTCTAAACTTCCTCAGAGATGAATGGGGGATGGTGTTACACGGCACACGGGATCTCTTTTTAGCAGTTTGCTAGTTTTCCATCTAATCCTTTATTTAGCAAACAATTAATGATCGCTAGTTGAATGTCTATGTATATACCTGTAATTTAATGTTTTCTATAAATTAATATTTTGTGGTTGAGATTAATATTAACATACTTTTGTTGCTCTTTGCCTGCGTGCCTACAAACCAAAAGATGCAGTCTATATTTAGTACTACCATTTCTAATCATTTTTGATTACCTTTCGTAGTTACGATTTGTCTGTACAATATGTATATTGTGGGGATTTTAATTTTGTCAAATAAATAAAAGAGCATTATTGGAAATTACAAGTCTATTCATTTTTCACAAAAGAACGTTAAATTTTGTAATTAACAGATTTAATAGAAGATATGCATTATATTTGCATAAGACTTTTCCTTTCATGTTCTAGAATGTTAAATGATGTCTGAAGAAGAAAATATGTGGTTAAACAATTATGAAGGGTAAAACAAGCTTTACAAATGTTCCTATGCTACCACTAGAGGGAGGAATTAAAAATACACATATTTTATACAAAATATATTTATTTATTTTATTTGCTGAGCATTTTTAAAGAGCATAATTTCACCTGAGAAATTGCCAGACCTAAGTTAAGTGCAATTATTTTGTTTTAAAAAGGCAGATAACTGCTCTATTATTATTATCATTATTATTATCATTATATTATAACAGCACAATGACATCATACTTTTACAGTGTACTGAGCAACTAAAAACTATTTGCAGAGAAGCCAGAATTATAGTGGTTTTCAAACAATGTATTTTAAAAAGACAGTTCTTGGACGTCAAACTGCTAGTCAACAGTTTAATGCCATTCTGTAGAGAATTCTTGGGCAAGCTATATGACCTAAAAAGCGACAAAGTGCAACATTGTATTATCATTCAGTTTATTATTTGTTTAAAAAAACAATCAATTTCAAATCCATAGATAAAAAAAATTACGGACCAAAAATGTTCAGCCTGAAAGGTATCACTTGGTTCGGCAACACCCTAAATTAGTCTTACAAGATGAAGCAAATACGCAGACATCAAACTCTGTAGAGCAGGTATGTCCAAACTAAGGCTGCGTGTCATCCAGCCAACTTCAGCTCTACCAATACAGGTATGTTATACCTTTTTTCTATAATCCAGCGATTCACTTGATTTGTAATTTGTTTTTGATTGTGTCACAAAATTACTTGTATGGCGCTAATGTGAGATGGTAAACATTTGTCATTCAGCCAACTTCAGTCCTGTCAAACGTGAATTGATTATGGACATGTCATACCTCATTTTAAAGCTCAGAACAGCTTTGAAATGTTGTCTGCCCCTGGCCTTTTCTGGTGAACTAAAGTGGCCTTCTTACTAAAAGTCAGACACCCCTGCTTGCGAGCCTTAAAAAAAAAAAAAAAAGTGCCAAACACAGTACACATTTAATTTACATGAGTTCAGCAATTTTATCTTACTGGTATTCTATATATTTATAATTGTTTTTATTACTATTTTTTTTAAGTATTTCTATTTATTCTAGAGCATGGGTGTCAAAGTCCAGGCCGGCAAATGAATTGTGTTTGAAGGAAGTATGTTTTTGTCTGAGAGCCTGTTGAAAAATGTTTTCACCTGAAATGACTGACAGCCATACAAAAATATTGTATTATTCATTTAATCATTAAATAAAATACAGTCCACTGTGTTAGGGCTTGGTTCAATAGGTTATATGCAATAATGTTTTAATGAGCATTGAACCAGTCCGGCCCTCGGCTTGTAGCATATGTGTTGTTTTGGCCATATGATGTATTTGACTTCGACATCCCTGTTCTAGAGCAGAATATGTTTCTTAGAGGTATTTTTAAAGGTTCTTCTACCTTTGTCTCACCCATAGATTGCCTCATCCTAGCTCCCACACGTGCAAGTTATCTGACTCAGGGCGACCTGTCTGCGGATTTCAACAGTTTGACTTTTTAAATATTTAGTGTGAGATTGAAACTAATAGGTTGGACTTTATATAACATCCAGCTCTGAAAGCAAACATTCAGCCGATAAGATTTTCCTACTCATTCATCAACAACTGTCTACAGGCGCTAATCGACTCCATTATGTTACGCTTTAATGCACAGGTCATTACTAGTGGAAAATTACACCTAGTTCCGCCGCTAAATTTGGCCTGAGCTTGCTCCGACACCACTTCCACAGGTCTTGACCTGTGTTTTTTATTTCCACCCAGAAGTGTTTTTACATTAATTAAGAAAACAGAAAATATGTGTCACTTGAAACTGTGTCAAAAGGATGGTGGCGCCCTAATTAATGGTCATTCTAGCCCCAGCTTTGAGTTACACCGGAGCAGCCTGTCACAGAGAGATATCCCTGTACCCAGAATGTCACCTGCACTGTAGCCTCAGCCATGCCAACGTCCACCTGCGCATGCAAAAGGATTTATCAAAACAATGGATATTTGGATAATGTAACGTTTGGAGTTTTTGTATTCTCTTAAGACAATGGTTTAGTGCTCATAGATCTTTCATTGTGGTTTGGACAGCCTGTTGAAAGATGGCCTCATCAAATGGAAAGGATTCAAAAGTTTCCAAGTTCGAGACGCTCAAACTTTTAGAAAAGTGCAGGAAGGAGCGGGATGACGCGCTGCACAGAGAAAGTGTTTTGAGAGAAAAGCTGAGGCAGTATGAGTCCCGGATGCGCTCCACCGAGGCACTTAAGCAGAAACTCAAGACCTTGACCATGGACAACAAGGAGCTGAGGAAACAAGTCAAGACACTGCGCACAGAGATTGGACTAGAGGCCAGTCCCAAGTTCAACGGCAAGACCACCAAGGACCTCATCACCGACCTCCATGAGAAGGAGAGGGAGTGTGGCTCTCTGGTGGAAAAAACAGGTAAACTCAGTCTGACCATCGATGATCTGACATCAGAGCTGGCCAACACAGTCACGTCCAAAACACTGCTGGAGGACCAGGTTCAGAGCCTGCAGCAGAACCTCAAGGACATGACCAACAATCAGAGACGTCTGCTGAAGCTCTGGGAGGACAAGAAGGTGCAGAGGGAGCAGCTCGCGCTGCCAGCCATCAACCACAAACCTGGACAGAAACAGATAACTCACAGACATGTTCAGACTGAAATGTCCATCGGATTATCTCAGAAACTTCCTGCCAACGCCTTCGAAACAAAGCCATTCACTCGAGACAATGACAAGAAGACTGTACTGGATAAACACAGTTTCCCAAGTTATGGAAATGGTTATCACCATGATAAAGGGATTCATAACTGACCATGGTCATTTTGTACATAATTTTCACCATATATATAAAGTGATGCAAAGGGATTACTTTTTGAAAGATGGGCCTCTTTTATGACATGTGATGGCATTAAAATGTCATTAAATTATTTGTCAACGTTTCATTGTCTGAATGTCCAGGCCTTAGTTTAGTTATTTACATTTATTGTATAAATAAGTCTGTTGTTTTAATCTTGAGATCTTATTACAACCTACCTTTAATCAGCACCTACCATAGACTAAATATTAAGCCCCTACGCAGGAGGAGAATATAATATGTTTCATTCGATCATAGACTATGCCATAGACAGGACAGGACACGGTACAGACAGTGTGTGCATCGCCTGCTGATACCGTAGAATGGATGGTACGTCAGGAACACTTGCTGCAGGCTTTTAGTAGGACAGCTCTGCCGCGGGTCTTGTGGGGTCCTTGAGTACATGTGGCGCGATGTGGGAAACGCAGGAGAAAACAGATTGACAAGAGGAGATTCACACATTTTTGTGCCTCTGATCTTCTAAGAAAAACGCCAACATGTCTTCAGTGAAGCAGACGTGTTGGTTTGTCCGTAAGGTAAGTGTTCACGTTATTTACGCGTTAAAGCAAAAGGAGTGGTGAAGGCTGTGTGGTGTTGTTAGCATTAGCTAGCTGACTGATAACTCATACAAAGTAAAAGCATTAGTTCTGATCTTTGATTTGTACAGCAACAATAAGATCGTTTGCATTTTTGTTTAAACAACACAGTTACAAAAAATGTATACACTACATATCGACAGTACTGTCAATTTGTCCAATTATTTGTAAATTGACCTTAAAAATACATGAGAAAATATGATAACGAAGCACTTTATGGACTTAGTTAATTAGTGGGTAATAATATTAGTGTTTTTTTTAATAATCAAGCCAAGATCAAATTAATCAATGGAGGATAATAATATTAATTATGACTTCTTTTTCAGGTGATTTGTTGGAGAGCTGCTGCAAGTATTGCTTGGTCTGTCCTCTTGTTAGTTCCAACATCAGCTATTTTTGTTATTCTTGGTCGTTTCAGTATTTTTCACCCAGTTCAATGGTTAACAGGTAAAATTGCATATAATTCTCAAAATGTACCTTTGTAAAAAATATTAACACTTATATATTTATTTTTTCTTACAGAGTGTTTCTCCCTCATGTTTAGTGTTGGTGCCATGTTTTCATTGGTCCTTTTGTGTTTTGTTGTCATTATGATCAGCGTTCTCAATCTGGAGTATTATACAGGTACTGGCATGAGTGGAAAAGTACAATGTGAGAACCTTTTGGCTCACAAATAAATGTCTGGCCGCGATGAGCTCTGTAGTGTTGTCTTCTCATTACTCATAATACATTATTTACAAATTTTTGTAAGAGGCTTTATTTGTGAGTTTTGTGTCCAAGTTAATCCCAATGCCAAAATAACGCTTTTTTAAGATATACAAACAATATTCAATGTATAAAACCAAATACTTTTTGATAGGATGTCATTTTTAACTACTTATTGTGTGTACATAAACTTTTAAATGCTCCCCTAAAGTGATTCTGACAGAGATTCAGACAGACATTTGGAATACTGAATGTACAGTGTAGCTTTTTTTTGACTTATGATTGTGTCAATTTTAAACAGTTGAAACGTATTACCTCATTGTTGCTGTGTTAGAATTTTTACAAATTTTGAAGTTTTTTCTTTTTTTCCTACAGTCATCCCTACAATCGCCTGCTCCAAAATTTCCCAACTTGGACAGCTCCTTCATCCAAGTCAGTGTGTGCGCTCTATGGTGCATTGCGTTACGGGTGCGATAGTGGCTTGGTGTTGTGCTGTCACCATTGGGGGCAGATATGAGACTCTCTGTTACTCCTGTCAGCAGAGTGATGCGTAAGTGCCTGTAATTGTACACCAGCCAATTATCGTATGCATATTGTATGTTTTGTGTCAACTAATGGTTTTGTTTTTGTCATTTCAGAGGAGGTGGTCTCTTTCACATGTGTCTGAACGAGTATCAGCTTTTCCTCCTGCTCGCTGGGGCCTTCGTGGGCTTCTCTCACAGCCTGTTGGGCGTCGTACACAACATGAACTACGTCGCCTTCCACTCAGTTCAAGTATGTTGTCACAGTATTTCGAGGAGCAAGAAGAAGATGGCTTGAAAGTGGACTGGTTTGATTTAATAATTCCTTCAATGTTTTGCCCCTTTTCAGCAATATAAGTATCTGCGTTTCAAAGGCTCCGTTCCACTGCTTCTGAAATGCAGCACCACTCAAGCTGTCTATTCCGTCAGGAACTTCATTGCAGTTTACTTCTTTCTGGGTATGTCATTGTTATGAGTACCTTGGTTTTAACATGTATCTCGGTGATACTCCCAACATAAAAACTCCACTCACGTTTCAAATCGAGTTCCTGATTCAGAGCTAAAGGTTCTTGACATATCTGTATGATATATCTATCTTTGGTCATTTTTTTACACATTGGTATCGATGTACGGCCGATTTGAGGAATTATTCCTCATTCGCAGAATGGGCGTCCATTTTTATGATGCAGAAAAAAAACATCTTGTCTATAGGTAAAAGATTTGCTTTATATATGAAATATTCTTCTGCTATACCCCTATGATATGATCCAAACTGCACTCATAAAACACAGTTGCTCCTAAAACTTCTTGCTTCAGATTTTACTGTCACAAAATGGCAAATGATATGGTTTGAGAGTCCTCCTCTAGCTTTAGTGTCAAATCAAATGACAACTCCGCTTTTTCTTTTCTAAAGGTTAACTCTAACTCCATGCTGTCTCTCTGGTCTCTCCTCAGGACATGCTCCCAGATCCTGGCTGTGTAAAACTCTAAACCTGCATGTAGACAGGTCGGTGGATTCGGCGATAACATTTTGACATTATTGACCTCCCACTTGATGTTGTTGGAATAGATTTGTTGAGTGTGAATAATGCATGTGTGTAACCCCAGCTCCGCACACTCCCTGGACTCTGTGGGTGGACTGCTGGATCTCTGCTTACTCTACCACACATGGATCAGCGCCTCCTTCCTCCTCTTCACCTGGTACACGTCTCTGCTGCTCTTCCGGATATTTGTCACAGAGGTACGACCAGACCACAAGCAGCTGCTGTTACAATAGTAATGGTTAAATACTGACAAGTTAGATCTATAATTTAATGTAAGTTGATATGAGTGCTGTAGTCGTCCAAAGACATCCTTGGTGATCTTAGAATGCATACTTCTTACAACAGGGGTGTACAAACCTTTTAGAAAGATGGTCACTTTTGTTAACCAGACTTGTTCAGGGGCAGACAACCCAGATCGTGAACTGGTTTGACTGGATTTGGGCTGTTCTGAGCTTTATAATTGGCTATGATGGCGCTGAAGTTGGCTGAATGACACATTACATTCTCACCAGCTTTATTAATGCCATTAATTGAATTTTGTGACACAATCAAAAACAAATGTCAGCATATACAGTTGAAGTGAATGCCTGAATTCCAGAGGTTTTGATAGGTCTGAAGTTGGTTGAATGACAATGTGTTTTTTTGTGTGACGTTGGTTAAGTTGGCAACATAACAAACACGCGTGAAAACTTAACCCTTTGTAGAGTATGTTGGGGTTTGCTGGTTGGTCAAAAATACTGTGAATGTGTTAGGATATTTCACTAAAGCTTTCATACCTTCTTGTCTTTCTGAAGTTGTACAGTTTCCCGGTGCAGACATCTTTTACCGACGATGCTCAACAGTGTCTGCCCAAAGTCATCAGCGAAAAGCAACCTATGATTTTGAAGGTAAGCGTTGGAATTAGAACTGGTGTTAGTATTAGATAGCAATATGGCCTACGTGCAGGACTGTACAAGGACTCTGAAGATGACTCCATGTTATGACTATGATGTGACTGTCTCTGTGTGACACGTATGTCTTTCGATGTGTGACGTGACAATGACTATATAAACTGTGTACTGCCTTTATTCTGTCTGAGAGAAAGAAACAAAGTAAACCACTGGAACTTGAGAGAAACCTAAATAAACTTCCAGAGTTTGGCGCACCACGATCCGTCTGTCTGCCTCATCCCTGACACTACTACTTACTAAAATAAATCCTGTGTTTTTTAAACTCTTGCTTTAGTTTTTAGCCCTGCAAGACTTGGCTCTTCTCTCTCAGCACTCCCCAATGCGCCGCGCTGAGGTCTTCAGTCTGAGTCAGCCAGGTAAAGGATAAAGTCTTAAATAAGTGTTGAAACGAATCACATTTCTTGCTATTTTTTATAAACAAAGAAAATCGTATTCCCATTGAGGCGGATGTTTGTATTTCTAGTTTATCAGTAAGTACTACTGTGGAAAAAAACTGGGCAAATAGGGTTGAGATTATTAGGATAAATATAACAAACATGCAATCTTAAAGCTGGGGTATGTAACTTTCAAACTAGACTAAATGGAACTCAATGTAATAAAAATCTTAATAGAAAATCTTACTAGCTCAAAACACTTTGCTTCTATCACATGAATGTATCTTTTTGTACAGAAAAGTAAAATAAATAGACAGCCCTCGCTCAGCTGCATGGACTCGGCAGCCTTTGGCATTTTTGAAACAGTTTTTTATGCTTGTTTGATTGTTGAATTATGATAAAAATGTTTATTCAGTTTTGGGCAGAGGTGGGACAAAGTCATTGTTTAGCAAGTCACAAGTCAGTCTCAATTCATTGCCCTCAAGTCCCGAGTCAAGTCACGAGTCAAGACAGGCAAGTCCCGAGTCGAGTCCAAGTCAAAGGCCAACAAATCTCAAGTCAGTCCCAAGTCCTACGGTTTGACTTTCGAGTCCTCTCGAGTCTTTTTGACCGCGATTTGTTTCTTGTTGGTCTCCACGTACTTTTGTAGGCAAACAAAATAATGTTAGGAATCATTTTGCTGGTGCATTCTCGTTGGTCTCTGACCCATGGACTAACAGTTTGTTCCATGTCGTTGGCTGCTGATAAATCAAAACTATCTACGTGATCTAATTGGATGTTGTGCCAGATGCAGGCTCAGTTACACATGCACAGACCACACATAAAATCAGAGCAGTCCGTGTCAACATACTTTTTATCTTTGGGGTTTTTAATGGGAAGTAGCAAGTGCAGTATATATGAATATGAGTATTGGGCTAGGACCTGTATCTATATAATCAGTTTAATGTCCGTAGTGGTTATTGTTCCAAAGGACTGAAGGGACCAATGGAGGGGAAGGACCCTGGCCTGTATGAACTGGACCAGCATTAGTAATATCTCATAATTACCAATATATCATTACATAATAAAATGTCTCATATAAATTAATTAAATCAGTCAAAGCACTGATTCTCATATCAATGCACCATAAACAATAGTGCAAATATTAATCTAGCTTAGTGCACATAATCAAAACAACTATCTAATGTATGCAAACTTTAGCAGGAGGAGCACAGCAAAAACATACTCATAATAATAGGCCTCGGCGCCCACACAGAAAAATATAAAAGAGCCAACAGAGCAGCGCAGGCTAGCGCTAGTTTGACTCACCAGTTCCTCTTTAAAACACGGCACAGAGTGTGACAACTGCGTCGATTCAATTGTATGAGGCGCCTGTAGTGAAAGCATATCAATTACGGTTTGTAGAACAAAATATGACGTTAGGTCGCGATAAATACCTGCAGCTCGCTCATTTCCAGCTCCCCTAGACAACACACCCACCGGTGAATGCAGTGCGCTTGTTTAGGGAAGTGTTGCTGCGCGAACCGCGGGGAACTCACGTTCGAACTCTCTCGCGAGCGCTACAACTACCGCGAGGCTTTGTTTCTTCAGAGACGGCATAGATAGAAAGAGAGATGCGGAGAAAGGTAAAAATGGCCCGGGTTACGCAAGTCTTTGCAAGTCAATTGGCGCAAGTCCAAGTGAAAGTCAGAGTCATTGATGTTAAAGTCCAAGTCGAGTTGCAAGTCTTTTTACATTTGGTCAAGTCGAGTCTAAAGTCATCAAAATCATGACTCAAGTCTGACTCGAGTCCAAGTCACATGACTCGAGTCCACACCTCTGGTTTTGGGTCATTTTATTAAGGTATTGCTTTTTGAACTTTAGTGATGTGAATTGATCTTGCATGGAGTGGTAATCGAAAAGAGATATATATATATATATTAAAATATAATAAATGGTATGTAATCATTATGAAAAAGTGAGGTACCCCAGTTTTAAGGGGAAATTGTAAAGATTGTCCCCGTCCACAAACTACATCCTAGCCTGGCCTTAGCCATCCGTACACTCCGTTCAATCGTCATTTCACTGCATGTAGCGTCTGGGTCTGGTCCCCATGTTTGTGATTACAATTGGTTGAATTTCGACCGACCATTCAGAGAGCGCGGAAGGCAGGTGTTGTAGTTAGATGTGGGTGATGTCAAGAGTTTGCGTCAAACAGGCAGGTTGTAGTTTGGTAATGGCGAAAAATGCGATAGTAAAGTAATCCGGTCTGGTACTATCAAGAAATTGAAGCTGGCGCAAGGGTAATGTTTAGCAAATGTAAACGCTGGAAAAAATTGTGGCGCTACTCCCCACGGGCTCTGTTAGCGGCAAAGAAGATGGCTAGGCTAAATGCTAAATTTGTACTATGGTGTGGTACGACCAGGCTAACTACATCTTACAACAATAGTATGTTGGGGGCTTTAGATTGGTTATCATGCTTGAGTTGTAGTAAGTGTTCTCCCCCTCAGGTGGACACCCTCATAACTGGAATGCCGTCAGTAAAGAATGCTTGTCGCTGCTGTCGGAGCTGACGCAACGGCTGGTGGAGCATCACGACTCGGTGGCCACAAACGGCCGAATGAAGTCTGGGTCCTCCGGGAGTGAGAGGAAGAGCTCCTCTGAGGCCTCAGGTGATGTCACACACTGCTTCTTGCAAGTTCTCCCCATGTCTGCTTAGTTTGAGTGTGACTGTGTGAAAGGTAATACAGATGGAAATTACCTGAAATGCAATCATTATGACACACTGTTCCATACAAATAAATACATCAACTCGTCTCACCTCAACGCTATCAAATAATCTCAAACCCTGCTGTCTGGAGGTAAAAGTATGGAAATGTACATTTTTAATGTTATGCTAATGCTAATTCTCTAGTAACTTTGTCACTAGTCACTGTTATCAGTACTACTGCATTATTACATATCTGATATTTCTGCCTTTCATCAGTCACTTTACCTGTTGATATTATTTCTGGTGTTTATTCTGCTCATATTCATATTCTCATATTCTCTGGTGCTAATGTATAATTTAGTCATCTGTAAATACTTCCGAACCAAGTGCAATTATAGCCCAAGAGTTTATTATATTATTTTTTATCTTGATTGTATTGTCTATTATCTTAAATAATAGACTTATTTGATGTGTGCAATCTGAGTTCTATTTCATCCCTTCTGACCGCCAGAGGGCGGTGCATAGCACTGAATGTTCCCTTCGCGCATGCGCAGTTCGAGTAATAATACCAAATGAGTCACACTTGTGACCCCTTGGATGACACACCGGAGGTAATAAAGTCCAGCGTCATCCAGCACTCTGTTCCTTTTTTCTTCTCGCATGCGGTTCGAATTGTTGCTGCTTGAACCTCGTCAACGTCTGTCGCTGAATCCCTCTTCATCGGAGCTGCGGTTCGCCCTCCGTGGGGCGCGACGGTAACGTTGTCCTTCGGGTATTTATTGGTGTTTTCTGTCTATATACGTGTGTATTGTTTGGTGTGAAGGCTGCTGTTGCGCCCGCTCCTCCATCAGTACTTTCTTTTGGTTACCTATTGCTACATGCATTTCGTGGTGTGAAGGCTGCGGTTCGTTGTCCCGCTCCTCCATCAGTTCTTATTTGGGTTAGTTTTTGCTACCGGTGTATTCTGTGGTGTGAAGGCTGCTGTTCGCGCGCCCTCTCCTCCATCTCTACTTTATTTGAGTTGGCATTTTACTGCAGCTGCATTGTGTGGTGTGAAGGCTGCTGTTCGCGCGCCCGCTCCTCCACCGTGCTATATTGGCTTTTCTGTTGTGAAACTGCAGTACGTTCATTCGGTTCTGACGTTTGAATACCGTTTGGGATAAATTAAATATTCAATAAAAAAATAAAAATAAAAAAACCTTGTTATGGACGGGTCACATGCGTGTGTGGGCTGCGGGTCAGCACTCGATGTTGATGACGGCCATGACCTGTGTCCGGCGTGCCTCGGCCCCACTTACTTGAGGGAGGCAGTGTCCGATAACCCGTGCATGAACTGCAGCTGCTTGCCCTGGGCTGTTAGGGTGGCGAGGCTGGCTCAGCTGCCTTTGTCTGGCGACGGTGGCAGTTTGCCAGTGGGACCTGCTGTGGCTCCGCCCCCTCGGCGTTCTAAGCGCCGTGCTGAGGCCTGTGCTTCAGGGGAGCGGTCTGATGCCCATGGTCCTTCCAAGCAGGCCAAGCCGGATGCTGTCCTGGTATCGAGGGTGGAGCAGTTATCTGCAGAGTTGGAGGCGATGAAATCCGCATTTCAGGCACGTTGTGCTGCTGATGCCGTCTCTGGGGCTGGTTCTTGCTCCATGCCATCCCTCCATCCGGAAGAGGATGTGCTTTCTCTGGTGGCATCTGCTTCGTGCTTCCGGGACGAGGATGATGCGCGGTCCCTTTCGGGGGACGATTCTTATTCTTCCGCGCATAGTGTGTCCAGCCGGTCTGGTGACGGCTCAATGCAGGAGGTTCTTCGCAGGGCCTTATCCCGTCTGCAGGTGGAACTTCCCCAGTCGGGACAGGCTGACCCTGGCAGTGCTTTTTTCAGGCGTGGTGGTTCGTCTCCTGCTTTTGTTGTGCCCCCGTCCGTGGAGTATCTAAAGGAGCTACACGCGTGCTGGAGGGACCCCAGCCGCCTCTCTAAGCTTTCGGCTGAGGGTCGGGCTTTGGCCGCGATGCACGATGCCTCTTCGGCTGGCCTGGATTGCATGCCTGCTGTTGAGCCAGCTGTTGCCTCCCTCATTGTTTCCCCAGAGGAGTCCTTGCGGGAGAATGTGAGGTGCCCTCGGAGCCAGTGTCGTTTGACTGATCACTTGCTAACAAAGGCCTACAATTCTGGTGCTCGAGCTGGCCGTATTGGTAACTCCTTAGCGCATCTGCTGCTTGCCCTGTCTGCCTCCCTCCAAGAGGGTAGTGCTGTGGGCACTGATGTTACTGCGTTTAGCGACGCAGCTCTGCATGCGTTTGCCTTGATGACCAGGGAGCTCGGACGGGTCATGTCGGTCCTTGTACAGGCTCGTCGGCAGGTATGGCTGGCTTAGTCTCTCCTGACTGAGGCCTGTCGTAGGACCCTCCGTGACGTGCCTGTCGAGCCGGGTCAGTTGTTTGGGACGGCGGCCCAGGAAGCATTGGACCGGACTGTCCATGCTGGTCAGACTAGACAGCAACTTTCTAGCCTTAGCAGGGTGGTGCGCCCTCCCCAGCAGTTTTTGCGCCCGATGGTGGCCCCCAGTGTTCGGCAGCCTCCTCGGGATTGGTCTGGTGCTCAGCGTTATCCCCAGGTCAGGCCTGCCGGGAATTTTTGTGCCCCACCCGTACATAGCAACCCAGGGATTATTACTCCCGTTATTTTCTTGTGCCCAAGAAGACGGGGGGTTTTCGACCAATTTTGGATCTGAGGGGCTTGAATCATTTCCTGAAGGTCATTCCGTTTCGCATGCTGACGACTGCGGAAGTCCTTCAGACTGTTGGGGCCGGGGAATGGTTCACGATAGATTTGAGGGACGCGTATTTTCACGTGCCCATTGCGCAGCCCCACCGGCGGTTCCTCCGGTTCGCCTATCGGGGCGTTCACTGGCAGTTCAGGGTTCTTCCCTTTGGCCTCTCTCTCTCCGAGGGTTTTCACTCGGTGCTTGAAGGCGGCTCTGGCTCCGCTGCAGGCCAGTGGCATGAAGGTGTTGCCTTATCTGGACGATTGGCTGATCTGCGCTCCGTCCAGGGCACGGTCCTTGGAGGATACGGAGCGCCTTCTGACTCATGTCGCCCGCTTGGGTTTCAGGGTCAATTTCGAGAAGAGCAGCCTGGTGCCTTCGCAGGCCGCTGTTTTTCTTGGCCTGAATCTGAACACGGTGACTATGACGGCGCGTCCTTCAGTGCGCCGCCTGGTTGACATCAACGGTGTGGTGTCCCGTTTCGGTCTTGGCACCCTGCACAGTTACATCAGCTTTCTACAGCTGGTGGGGAAGCTGGCCTCGATCTCTCGTGTGGTTCCACTCGGGCTGCTTTCGCTTCGCCCGTTGCAGAGGTGGCTGAACGGGTTTCCTTTGGATGCCGTTCGTCACCGCCACAGACGGTTGCAGGTGACGTGGGCATGTTTTTGTGCTTTGGCTCCATGGAGGGACCGGGGTCTCCTGTCACGTGGGGTCCCCTTGGGGGTGGTAGTGTGCCGCAGGGAAGTGGTCACCACCGACGCCAGCCGTACGGGATGGGGTGCTGTGTGGCAGCACAGGTTGGCCCGAGGGGTTTGGTCTCGGGCAGAGCGTTCAGACCACATAAATGTACTGGAGCTGCGGGCCGTCCACCTTGCTCTCCAGGAGTTTTTGCCTCACCTGCTGGGGAAACATGTCCTCATTCGTTCGGACAACACCTCGGTCGTGTATCACATCAACCATCAAGGGGGTGTCCGATCGGCTCGGCTCCTCGAGGTGTCTCAGGCGCTGCTGGTTTGGGCTGCGCCTCGCCTGTCTACACTGCGTGCAGCGTATCTCCAATCGCGTGGCGGACTCCCGCGGGAGGCCTGCCCCGGGGGATTGGTGTCTCCATCCCAGTGTGGTCCAGAGGATATGGGGCCTTTTTGGTCAGGCACAGGTGGACCTATTCGCTTCGGTGGCCTCCACTCATTGCCCTCAGTTTTTTTCCCTGGACGGGGCTCCGGGCTCTCTCGGCCAGGATGCCCTGGCGCACAGTTGGCCTCAGGTCCTCCTGTACGCCTTCCCCCCTATTCCTCTGATCTGGCCCACCCTCCAGAGAGTCCTTCGGGCGGGGCACAGGTTGTTGCTGGTGGCTCCGTTTTGGCAGGCACGGCCCTAGTTTCCACTGCTACTCAGACTTTGTTGGGCTCCCCCCTGGCCTCTCCCTCCCAGGCGGGATCTGCTCTCACAGCTGGACGGTCAGGTGTGGCCTCCCTGTCCTCACCGCCTCAAGTTATGGGTGTGGCCGTTGGCTGGCCCGAGCTGCGGGCGCTCGATGTCACTGGCCCTGTCAGGCGTACACTCCTGAATGCCAGGGCGGCCTCTACTCGGCGGCTGTATGAGAATAGGTGGAAGTTGTTCTCCCGCTGGTGTTCTTCCCGCGGTCAGGATCCCGTGTCGTGCCCGGTGACGGTTGTCCTGGAGTTCCTTCAGTCTCTCCTGGATGAAGGTCGTGCCCCATCTACTCTGAAGGTATATCTTGCTGCTATTTCATGTTATCATGGCCAGGTTGATAACTGTACTGTGGGGGGCCATAACCTGGTGTCTCTCTTTTTACGCGGAGCTCGTAGGCTGCACCCTCGCGTGCCTGCACGGTCTCCGGTTTGGGACCTGGCCTTGGTGTTGGAGTTGCCCTCCGTATGAGCCATTGGCCCGAACGGACCTCAAGTGGCTCTCCTATAAAACTGCTTTCCTGTTGGCTGTGGTCTCTGCAAAAAGGGTCGGTGAGTTGCATGCACTTTCTGTCAGTCCCTCATGCCTACACTGGGAGCCCGAGAAGGCTGGCGTGGTCTTGTGGCCTAATCCCACTTTCCTCCCTAAGGTGCTTTCCCATGACTATTGTAACCGGCCTTTGAGGTTGGCGCGGTTTGTGTCTCCCCTGGATGGGGGTGGGGACAGACTGCACCTGCTGTGTCCTGTGAGGGCATTGGAGGCCTACGTTGCTGCGACGGCGGGTGTGAGGCGCTCAGACCAGCTCTTTGTTGCTTATGGTGGTGCTAGACTGGGAAGTCCACTTTCGAAGCAACGCCTTTCCCACCGGGGTGTTGACGTTATCAGTCAGGCGTACGTTTCGGCCGGCCGCGACCCGCCAGCCGAGGTGAGGGCCCATTCTACCAGGGGTGTCTCTACCTCCTGGGCCGCTATGCGCGGGGTGCCGTTGGGGACTATTTGTGCTGCTGCGTCTTGGGCTACACCAAGCACGTTCACCAGATTCTACAACATCAATGTGGCCACTCCGGCTCCTCTTGGCGTGGTCCTTCAGGAATCCTCTGGCTCTCCTCCGTGAGGTGTGTGGTCAAGATCCTTCGTGACATAGCTGGTATAAGGTCATTCAGTGCTATGCAACGCCCTCTGGCGGTCAGAAGGGATGAAATAGAACAAGGGTTACGTATGTAACCACGGTTCTATGAATCCCGGATGACCGCCAGCGGCGCTCTGTCACTCAGGGTCCTTGCGTCCGCGAGAAGATTCTGCAGGAACAGAGTGCTGGATGACGCTGGACTTTATTACCTCCGGTGTGTCATCCAAGGGGTCACAGGTGTGACTCATTTGGTATTATTACTCAAACTGCGCATGCGCAAAGGGAACATTCAGTGCTATGCACCGCCCTCTGGCGGTCATCCGGGATTCATAGAACCGTGGTTACATACGTAACCCTCGTTCTCTTATTTTCTTTCTCTGCTGTAATGTGTGCAACGATGACACTGAAATTTCTCCACTGTGAGACGAATAAAGGTTTATCAAATCTTATCTTAATGGTGGTTTCAAACGTTCTGCTCTACAAGACTAGAAGCAGATACACTTCTGCTGTAATTCTACACTGTTCATTTTGATCTTTGTATCAGTATTAGCCGATCCCTAATCAAAATCAATTTTCTGTCAAAGAAGAAAATCCAAAAACTGTGTCTGTTAGAGGTGTGATAAACATATTTAGAATAAATTGGCTACAATAGAAAATGCAGTAATATATATTTTTCACATATTTTTTTTGTTTTGACTTTAGTAACTTATCAATCAATGAAATATAAATGTATCAATGGTATTTTACTATTTGCGTAATGGGTCAATCTGAAAGATGCCCAGGCGTAGTGTCGGTCACTTTGGTGGTCATTTAAATCTTATCAATATTCGCTGTGTTTAATGTGTATAAATGTTGGTGTGGTTCAGTGACCTCCTTAGACTCGCCGTTCGGCCCTCGTCCTGGGATGCTGCTGAAGACTCCGGCCTCTGTGTTCTCTCGCTCCGTGCTCCACAGTCCTCTGACCGCTCCCTTCACCCCAGACCTGGACAGCCCCTTCTCCTCCCCCGCTCTGCGCCGGCTCACCGCCCCGGCCGAGCAGAATTCCCCCTGGCACGGGGTCGTCCAGAGCCCGAGCATCCTCAGGAAGGACCTCAAGCTCTGGTCCACGTCCACAGGTGAGTGAATGAAGTGTGTGTGGCGGGATTTATTTGGGGGATGATTATTTTGTTTTACACCAATCAGGAAGCGGCAAAAGGAGGTACAAGTTCTTCACAAGGGGGACATGGGAAGATTAGGATGTTTGATATGTCTTAGAGCAGTTGTCCACAGGAATCCATCCATTTTAACATCTGGAAATAACCTGGTCCTTTTTTATGTAAGCCTTATTATGTTTAGTGGATGTTATTGTTTGGTGCCTAATGATTTTGTGGTCCTCTTGTTACAGACCCTAAAACCAACGGCAGCCCTTCTCCGTCTCCTCCCTCTCTGCTGTCTCCCAAACGGGAAACGGCCAAACCAGGATTTTTGGCTCAATTTCTTCAAAACAGAAGAGAGCAGGTACAGATTTTAGTTGTGTGTGTATGTGTGTGTGCGTGTATGGCCTTGTACATCGGAACACTGAATTATATTTATGAAATGTAATTGTTAAAGGTTATTTTCAAAAGTAAAGCCTTTGTCTCCTGATGTAGAAATATGTCTTGGGCAACAGAGGTACATGTAAAAATATTGCATACATGGACAAATACAGGACATGCAAACAAACATCCAAAAATTATGCCAAACAATTGCATGTTCCCTAAAGTGCTTTTATTGCACGGATCCCAAGGGCCTCTTATCATGTATAATGCATTCTTCTTGTCTCAGTATAGCTGCCCAGTTGATTGTTAATACTGTCGCCTTAATGTTCCCATTCAGGTGAAACATTTCTTTGCAAAGAGGGTTCTGATCATGTATTTGTTCAACAAGGTAAGAAGATGAAATGTCGTTGATCATTTTTGTGACTGTGCATGCTGCCTCTTCACTTCAGGGCGGCAGTAGCTCAGTTGGTAGAGCGTTGGCCTTTGAGCCAGAAGGTCGTGGGTTCAATCCCCGCTCAAGACTTTCACCATCGACTCCCACTGACTACTGTCGTTGTGTCCTTGGCAAGACACTTAACCTCTGGGAACACCAGCCACAGTGGGGCGGCTGCGGCTGTAAAGTGCCAAACTGCCGTTGTGTCCTTAGGCAAGACACTTCACCCCCATTGCCTAGAATGAGTCTGGTGTGTGTGTGTGAATGGTTGGTGGTGGTCAGAGGGGCCGATGGCACATACTGGTTGCCTCGCTTCTGTCAGTGTGCCCCAGGGCAGCTGTGGCTACAGTAGTAGTTTATCACCACCGTGTATGGAGTGAATGAATAATGACACATGTGAAGCGTCGTTGAGTGTCCAAAAAAGCGCTATATAAAACCGATGCATTATTATTATTATTATTATTCAATCATGTTCATTCTAAACTTGAAAAGTGAAGGATTATTTTGAGACGTGTCAGGAGACATGGATTCAAATGGTTTATTCATATTAATTAACATTATAACTCCCAGAGCAGTCAATTTGACAGCTTTTAGTTTTGGAACTACTCACGTTACTTTGAAATATGAACAACTGGAGCTATTTTTAGTTGCTTGATAACCAACTTCCTATGTCCGTTACAGCCCCTTCTTCATGGTGCTGGTCCGGACTGATTCTGGTTCAGCTTGGTTTTTATTCCAGAGAAGACTTGAGTGCTGGTTACCATAGCAACACACTGTTTATTTGCAGCTGCTAGCGTTTAGCCTTTCACAAAACTGTTGTTTGTGATTTTTTTAGTTACAAGCTTTAGCTCGGCAGCCGTGGGCGGCACAGTGGCTGAGTGGATAGCACTCTCGCCTGTCAGCAAGAAGGTCATGGGTTCGAATCCCGGTTGGACCAGGGCCTTTCTGAGTGGAGTTTGCATGTTCTCCCCGTGTCTGCGTAGGTTTCCTCCGGGTGCTCCGGTTTCCCCTACCACTAAAAATATGTACAATAGGTATGGCATGTGCCTCCTGTACTGGCGACCCCCACCCAACAATTGTAAACCGCTTTGAGACTCCGATGTGCAGTGAAAAGGCGGTATATAAATAAAAGCTTACTTACTTACTTACTTACTTACTTACTTAGTAAAAGAGCTGAGTGAGTAATGGAAAAAATCTTTATAAATGACTTGCCTTTTATACATCCGTTGAAAAATGGAATTTCACAGAATTCCATTGGTTTGAGTGGGAGTTTTTGTAGTTTCATAGTGGGAGTCTTAGTGTTAATAATATGCAAAAATCAACATTGACCACTTTAAACATTCGCCTCTCACTAATTGAATCGGCCTTTTAACACCTTCACTTTCCCTCACCTGGTTTTTGTCTGGTCCTGTGTCTCGTTCTCGCTCTCGTCTGGATGCATGGTTGGTTTCCACTGGTTTGGGGTTTTCTCGGTGCACACATTACTATTGCAGGCTGTTTCCACTGCCCCCGCTGCGACCGAGCGCAACCAATCACTTTAAAAGCTTGAGTTAAGGATTCACCTGTCGTGTCCTCTCCCAGCGCTTTAATTGATCGCTCACACTGGTGTCATCCAAAACAAATCACAATCCAGATTAAAACTGGGGTGTAATAATTAGAAGAGAGTCTGTGTGTGACATCAATGCATGTTTGAAAATGTAAGGAATCTGTGTTTCGTAGTGTCATGGCTTTCGCGTCGGTCGGATTGTGTTAGGAAACGTCTAGGACTGGAACACTCATTCAAAACGATTAAATCCTGATTCCCAAAACACATTTTTCCACCAGTTTTATTAAAAGAAAGTCATTTTTAAGGTTCTTCCTTAAACTCACTTAACAAGTGCTAAAACTGGTTAAAATATATATATATATATATATATATATAACGGAAATGCAGCCTAAACAGTTTGGTGAAAGGTTACCAGATGCCAACTGCTGGCAAGTAAACAGTGTGTTGTTATGGTAACTAGGTTTTCAGGTGACCAAAAATCACTGCAATTGAATCAAATGGCAATAATAGGAATAGAGCGGTCAAGACGATTGGTCGGGGAGTTACCCCGGGGGTACTACTGACATTGAAAAAAATAAAAATAAATCCTATTTTTATGAAATTTATAAAAATATCAAAAATGCACTTTGAATGTCAGCCTTTGAATAACCACACAGCAGGGCAGTAATTTAGCTTTTTTCTTCAGCCAACTCCTTTTGTGCAGTATTATACTGTTCAAATGAGTAAATAAATGGTAATTGACCAACGATTACTATTGGACTAAACTCTTAAGGTATCTTGCTGAACCTTTAGTCGCACAACTTTAATTTCATGCAGCAAAAACACTATTTAGAGATAAAAGGCAGTACAAGTTTATTTGTTTTCTTAAGCACTTTGAGTTGCTTTGTGTATGAACTGTGCACAATCACTCAAGGCATCAATCATAAATAATCACAGGACATAAAAAGGAGTGAAGAGACAATTCTTCAGTTGAAAGCACAGCTAAACAGAACTGTTTCCGACCTGGATTTGAACATTGTCAGAGTAGAAAACTGTTTTAGCTGCATACATTTGAAATGCTGCCTCCCCATGTTCAGTCCTGACTCTGGGCAGCAGCAGGAGGCCAGTCCCTGTGCTCCTCAGAGTCCCAGTTGGTTCATATGTTGGTTCATATGTTGGTTCATATGTTGGTTCATATGGCGCTAACATGTCGCAGATGTACTCTGGTGCGAGGCCATGGAGAGACTTTAAAGAAGCTAATGCAGAGACCTGAGAACTGGACTAATGTGGTCATACAACATCTTAAGATAAATTAAGTTGTAGTGTTTAAATTTCTGGTGGTGAGACCGCTACGTTTGTCTCTGTAGATATTTTGCTCGTGATGCAACTTATGCAGTCACAATTTGAAATAAAAGACCTACGATTTACTATGTATCACAATCCGTATAAAAAAGTAAAAGAAAGCGACTTCTGATCAGATTACCCAACACGAAACTATATATTGTGTATGAGGGACACAACAGAACTTGTCTACAGGCTAAAATCATTTCTCAACCTATTGCACTTCAAATCTTTAAAAAACTAACACTATTATATCTTTTGCTTCTGCCTAAACACATGGTTGTACAATGTGTGCAGATATCATTAAACACAGGTTGCCTTTCCTGCGTGTTTGGGTCCATAGTTCCCCGTAGTCTTGTCTTTCCTGGGGGCCCCGTCCTCAGCCTGTGTGGTGGAGGCTCTTGTTATGTCTTGATAAATGATGCATGCGTGACACCGGCTAGTCTTACTAATCGGTGTTCATCTAAAGTCGAGTCAGAGTGTAAGTCCATCACAATGTCCTGTGCTTTTTTTCTCACAGCTCCCAGAAGTCTCCAGTCAGGCGCTGTTCGCAGACTGCCAGGCTCATATCTGGGCTCTAGAAGGTACGGAATATGTACTCTTGAAATCAACCTTACTAGGGCTCCCAGAGCAGTCATTTTGACAGCTCCCATTCAAATCAATAGAATTCTGATAAAATACCATAAATGTTTGCTAAAACTGGTAAATATAACTTCTACTCAGTGCTAACTGCTGTCAAGTAAATTTCTCCATTGTGAAATCAATAAAGTTGATCTTATCTTAAACAGTGTGGTGCACTGCTGACTCAACTCGGGACTAGCACCTTGAGAAAAGTTTCTCCAACTGCCATAGAATGTTGCGACCAAAATGGCTACATTTGAATTTTACACTCAAATCAAGAGAGCAGTCAAAATGACTGCTCTGGGAGTTAAGAACTACTGACATTTAAGAAATTAAAAGATAACTTCATAAAAATAAATACATGCAAAGAAAAGCTACAAAGACCAAAAGTGTACTAGCCTGGTCTTACCACACCATCGTACAAATGTCATTTTGTGCTAAGGTCTCGATTTGCTCCATTGAGCTCCGTGAACAGGTGGGAGGGGTTAAGGCCTTTTGCAGATTGAAACGATTGGATCTGAGTTTGCTGTAACGTATGTAATGCGCCCGAGTGAGTGAGGCATTTAGCCTAGCTTTAGCCATCTTCTTTGCCACAGAGCCTGTGGGGAGTAACGCCATAATATCTTTGCAGGGATGACATTTGCTAAACATTCCTCTTGCTCCGGGCCGGCTTCAGTTTCTTTTTTTGGGCCGAACCAGAACAAATTCACTGTTGCATTTGCCGCCATTGCCAGACTACAACCAGCCAATGCAGCACAAACTCTTGACGTCATCGGAATCCATTTATTTATTTATGGACATTTTATTGGAGGATAAACCCCATGAGATGTATCATCTCGTTTTTGTGGGGGTCCTCTTGATCATATCTAAAGAACATAGAACAGCAGAGTAGATACAGTCAAATAAAACAAAACAAAATATTAAAACAACAATAATAATATACAGTAATAATAGTACAACAAAATAAAATATTAATGATAATACAACAAATACTTAACACACAAACTCACACACACAACTCATGCAACACTCACACAAGCTCTCACTATTCACTTACCCACTCTTTACAGAAAGATTGCCATAAGATACAGTAGTTATTTAATTTGTGTATATGGTCATACATACATGCATATAAACAGATACACATACACACACATATACATACACAGATGGATATACACATGCATACATACATATATCCACACATACATATATACATAAACGTACATACATACTGTATGTCTAAAATCAAACACATGGAGATGGATACCATACACGTGTACATGAACAATTTTGAATACAATTATATATTTAGCTATGTAGGAGATGTTACAAAGACAAGTGTTCTTAAGACGTGTAAACAGAGCCGTTTATCTACAAACCCCGCCTCCCCACGCTCGCTGAATAGTCGGATGAGATCCAACCGAGGCTAAAACTGTCCAAAGGTCCATGAGAAGTGCACACTAGTTCTGAAAGTTCTATTGTTAATGACATATCGTCTTGTTTTCACAGGATTGTCTTACCTCGTCCAGGCCTCGTACTCGGAAGACCAGTTTGGGGTTGTGCAAACTACATTACCCAGCATTCTTAGCTCCATGCTGGTGCTACAAGAGGTAAATTATTATGTTATAAGTAGCTGGCATCAGGGCTGGGCCAGAGGGGCGGGTGGTCGATCAGAAAGGCCGATGACTCACGCTTTCGTCAGCAAAGCCTGGAGTTTAAGGCATTCTCCTCGCCATCTCCCCCTCAGCTCGATGGTCCTATATAATCATTATTCAACACTAAACTGATCCTTGAGCAAGATTCCAAAGTTTATCATTTATTTATTGGAATACCCATGCCAAAAAAGACAAAAATACACAATACGATTTTTGCAGGTGGCGGGCACTTCTCCATAAGCACAAAGTAACGATTATAAGATGAGAGAAACCTTCATTCGTTCCTTGGTGGAGAAATCTCAATCTCATAGTTGCGCACATTACAGCAGGATAGAGAAATAAGAGCACTTATGTTATGCACACTTCAATCACAATCTATTATATAAGATGATAGATGGATGGATAAATAAAACTCAAACAAGATACTGCTATTGAGAAGATTTGTGGATTGATTATGTACTTGCAGACGCAGTGACTAAAGTGAGTTGTGTCTCCTCGTAAAGGGACTATACAACTGTAATGTCAAAAGTTTTTTTCAGAACGCCTTTATCCATCCCCTGTCTCCTTTCTGCCTTTACCCGTGCGCAGGCCGTGGACAGACACTTCAAACTGCCCCACGCCTCCAGTAAGCCATCCCGCTCCGGCTGCACCATGGGAGACGGCAGCTACAAGACCCTGCGCTTCGCTCTGAGGGCCACGCTCAAGACCGCCCTCTACAGGATCACCACCACGTTCGGAGATCACCTCAAGTAAGGGCTCCGGGAGCACGCCACCTCCACACAGATGTCACACACACTTGAAACACTTATGAAGGAGCAAAACGTACGATGCCTCTGGGAATGGCTTGAAATAGACGTTAAAGCTGGGGTGCGTAATGTTTCAAATTTCTTCGTAAATGGTTGATTTAGTTTAACCATTTAGTTTGTCCCTACAGAAGGTCTTGTGTTTAGGAAAAATGTTTAGATTTGCTTTTTCAGAGGCCAAAAATATATACAATGCAGGCGAAACCTAGTCAGAGCCTGTTGTCACTCTCAAAACAGTTTGGCTATGGTGTGAAATTTGGATACCCCAGCTTTATTAAAAATTGCTTTGCACACAATAAAATACATAATACCTCAGCTTAAACCATAACATCATGATCTGGGTACGATTCTTGCCAACCACACCAAAAGGATCTCTTTATTTGTACATTGCATTCACATTGCTTTTTAAAATTAGTTACTTTGCAGAAAAACTTGCTGATAAATTGAATGAAATGGATAGTGTGTGGTATATCTGCTCAAATTAACTAATAAAACCAAAACAGTTTCTAAATGATTCACCCTTTCCTGTATATTCCTCTGTAGAAATACATATTTATTCTATTTATTGTGAGATAAGACGGTGGCGTACTGAACTATGATTCAACTATGAACTTAAGATTCAATTAGATTTATTGTTGTACAGCCCTAAAATCATTGTCGTCCCTCCTTAGACCCTCCTGCATCGGCAAGGGACAAATCCACAAATGCTATTGCTTTCTTTTTCATATTTATTTGACTAAATCTATTCATTAAAGTCACCCCCCCTCCCCCAATCTTCTGTTAATGTATTCCATATTTTCAGTCCATTGTTGGGTTCAAATATTTAAAGAATATGTAAAGTTACTTTTAGTATGTGTGACGGTAAATATGGTATACGATCCATATAAAGCCTCAAAGCTGGTTAAACTGATTATGTCGAATAGACTCAAAAAAAGCACCTTCTGCCTATTCCTTCTTTGGTTTGATGATCTTGATCTGTTTCTTTGTCGATGTGATGAGCAAAATGAAACGTTCAGGACAGTAACCTCTCCTGCAGATAATGGCAGATGTATTTTGCTAACACTGATTTTTATCCTGTGCATATTTTCCGTAGCGATGTTCAAATGTCTGCGGAACACCGGAAAAAGCTACATTATTTTCTGGAGTACAAAGAGTAACAAACTTGACTGGCGTCTACAAAAGTCCAAAGCAGTGCCTGATTTAACATGAAGACGATGGAACAGGGTGAACTCTTTACGAAACTATGGGAAAGACTTGATCGTACAAAAGGACATGGATTTCGATTTCTGTACCAAAACATCTGCTGGTGTGTGGAATGAGGGCTTTTGTAAAGTCATTTTTTACAGCTGCCGTTCAGCCTCGTTTTCTATATTTTGAGATACTGAAAGTAGTGTAAGTGAAGTGAGTTTAAATGTTTGATGAAAGATGAAATGTTCAGTTTTATTGTGTCATTGTACAGGAGTGTGGCTGTTTGTCTTTGTTAAATAAAACTTATTAAAATAACGTGAGCGTTCATTAAAAATAGTAGTATTGTTTTAAACTGTTGGGTAAAGATACATGAATGCAATCTGTCTTGTTTTTACGTTGACTCAAAGAAAATCGACAATGGAGCAACATAATCTTAATTTATTGCACAAATCGTACTTATTTCCAATCGAACTGAAATGGAGTAATAGACATTGGAGTTTACAAGATGCCAAAAGTGATCGATCTGGATACAATTGTCACAAATTATGGCTTATATCTGAAAAGGAAATGTTTTGTCTTGAACAAGAGACTCATGTTTAATACTTTGCCCGTTCTGTTTGCAAAACAAGTGTTTTTAAAGTTCTTTGTCCTCTTATACAATATAAACCTCTGTATCATTACCATTTTAGTCATAGCATTTGCCAAGTTTTTTTTGTTTTTTTACAGTTTTATACATTTATTTATGTACATATAAATCCTATCAAGACCTCTCTTAAAAATGAGAAAAGCTGGACTTTATACCACAAACAAATGACTGGAGCAATCGGATCATCCTGCACTGAGCCCCAACAAAGGAGCCCCCAGAAACATAAGTGCATTATTACATTTCTCCCAGCGAGTCTTGGGCAGTGCTTTTCTTGGTTTCAGGCTCGGAACCTGAAAAACTCCCATTACATCATCTCTGCTGAACCGGCTTGAACCACTAGGAAGGGAAGAAAAGGACAGGGACGCTGGTGGAAGCAACTATTTTTCCAATAACAGCTAGATTTCAGTTGTGAAAATAAACAGAAAAGGTTGACATGCAAAAAAAATAAATACAAATCAGCAATTAGTGCACTTTATAACCGTCTCAAAACTATCATCCCTGATGTGAGTGTACAGAGGACGCAGCATGTTGTGATGAAGTGCTCCGTGTGGTTTCAACAAACGCCAAGCTACAAATCAGACCCGAGACGGACCAGCACGAGACCGGGAACACGAGGGATTTTATCTTCAACTGTACGTTTCCTAGTCACATTTTGGTTTTAAAATAATTTCAATTTTAATTGTACTCTCACAAATAACAGTGCCCTATGTAACTTTGATCTAAGGTCTGCCCTTTGTCCACGTATGTGTTCAGTTTCTCAGCCAATTCAGATTTGGACCATCACCGGAAAAATGGGTTAAAATCTGAAAATGATCCTCGGGTCTCATAACTGCTTCAAACCGACCATGACCTGTTACATAGCACATTATTATTTCCCTTTTCAGTCGTGTTGTAGCTACTATGCTGGTGTTTTTACAAATCCTCTAATGTTGAAGTTTCCCTGGCACCACACAGTCCAGAACACACTTTCCTGTTTTTGTTTTGAAAGGACTGCCGTATAGTTGTTGGGAGCATCTTGAAGGTAGAAGTTAATGAGTGTCACAAATATATTTCACACTGTTGGAGAGAAAAGCATGTCTTTCTGATTCTCTACGTAAATATAGATCTGTGTAAAAAAAAAAAAACAACTGAAGGTGTCTGCATGTGCCTGGAGCAATAGCCATGTCCCCGTGGGCATCAGTTCAAGGGGACGACGGCTTTTTGACCGTAACTCGTAATGGAAGTGAGGGAGCGCCGCAAACTTTCTACACAAGTGAAAAATACTTGAATTCATAATGACATTAGTCTTCTGAACTAATCACCAGAGAGAGAAAGACCAGAGAGAAGGACTAGAGAGAAATCAGAGAGAGAAAAGGGTTAGAAAAAAAAAACAGAAATCAGAAAATGACTGGAATTCCTAATGTAATTTTATACTTGTTTGGGTTTCAAGTTCTAGTTTTATTCAATTTATTTTCCGATTAGGCCATGGGAGACATGGTTAAATGAATACGTGGATTCAAATGTTTCCAGGTCCAATTTGAAAGCTTCACTAAGAAATCAAGGTTTTTTAAACTTGTGTAGTTGTAGTTTTGCAGTGGCTCAGGACGACATGCACTGAACGTGGTCTGGTCCACCATCCTCTTCGTCTGAAGAGTCTGGGGAGCTCCACGACTCGTCTGTGTCGGGGTCAGCGCCTTCACGGCGAGCCTGAGGAGAAACATCAAACATCAAATCACAAGACAATAATAAAGATCATTTGCTAGAACTCCCAGAGCAGTCAATTTGATGATTGTTTTGTTTGTTATAAGAACGAATGGAAGTTTCTATTGTATATATTTTTTGTATGGATTTTATGTCCCACATTGTTATACGCATGGCTCTGACAACAATCCTACAGCCGCTGGATGTGACTTACCAAGTCCGGAGTCATGAATGAGTCTCATTACTATCCAACATGTCGTCCATCCTAAACTCATAAGGATCTGTGCCTCCTCACCCTCTGCGGCCGCCGGTTCCTCATGTGCCTCATCAGAAACCACAGCAGCTGAGTGTCGTACTGGTCGCCATGACGAACGCAGTCCTCGTCTCGCTCACGCTTGTTTTTCTTCATCACCTGAGAATGCACAGGATTTACAGATATCCACAAACACAGACATCAAGTGTTTTTTATAGTCCCTGACATCTTCATCATCATATTCCAAAAAAAGAGCAAATAGTTTCACCGACTTTCTCCCGAATAAAAAAGCCAAAGTGATAGAACTATTTGAAAGGATTTTCGTTTTCCTATCAATAGGTTGCATTCGTATGACATCAGAAAAACTCCAAAGAAGCTTTAGTTTGAATTTATGGTAGAGCGCAGGCATGATTAGTATGAAACAAGACATAACCACAATTTCCTGAGTCAATAACTAGAGGTTCCAGACTGTTAAAAAAGTAGTATTCTAGTGGTATAAGAGTGCTGCTGGAAGCCATGGTCACCAAGGTAGAATGCTGTAATGCAAACAAACAGAGTAGACTGGAGTAAAGTGGAGTGAGGCGGAAACAGGGCTAAAGAGTATAAAGTCAGACTGGCCACATCCGGAAACAACAGCTGATAAGAGACAATGAAGCAGTAGGAGCTTCTTCACTCTGTCTTATTTGAAGATATGAGCTGTGCATGATTGCCTTTGCTGGTCGCTCACCTCTTTAAGCCCTTTGAGTGCGGTGGGCGTCTCTGCGGTGGGGGCCCACAGTTTGATGTCGTGATCCAAGCCGCTGGTGGCCATCCCTGGTAGGTGTGGATGCGGCTCTAAGCAATTCACCTGAACAGAGGAAAACAGTGGATCAACACCGGGCACTTGTGTATTTATTTTTTTTCCAATCACACAATATTTAATTTTCTACGCAGCGAGCATTTTAAACTGCAAAAGGGAGCGTTTGAATTTGCGTCACACTGATAACATTATAATTCTAAAGCATTAGGTTGCGTTCAGGTGCAAATACAGCTCTACCGGAAAAGAAGCAGTTTTTTTTTTAAATATGTTAAAATATTTTCTCCATATCATTTCTCTGACAGGATTCACAAACCGGTCATAATATTCTTATCCTGGCCAAAATCATGAATTTTTTTATTAGGAATATCACCATTTCTTGACACCTCTATGGAGAAAATAATTAGCCCATAGTTCAATTCAATTCAATTTATTTGCGAATAGCCCCAAATCACAACAGCAGTCGCCTCGGAGGACTATGGATTCCTCAACAACAGATCAGAGAATCAAACAGTTGATACGCCCAGGCATTAGAGGAAACTAAGAGAGCTACCAACAAACATTTTTCACCTCTGCTCCACCACTATTTTAAACTCTAGAATATTTGGAATGTTGTGATGTTATATGAACATTTCCGTAGATTGATCTGTGCTGCTGACAGACAAAAACACGTTCGGTCTCTACTGTACATTCCAACCACTATTTCCTCATTGGACTCACCACTCCCCCTCTGTCTCCTTCCATGAACTGCACGATGCGCGCTGAGTATTTATCCCACAGATAAATGTGTCCACAGTCGCTGCCGCTGACCACAAACTCACTGCGGGGTCCGTAGAAGTTCACCCCCTTCACTGCAAGCGCACACACACACACACACACACACAAAAGACACATGCAATTAGCGGCTTGCAAAAGTACTAATAAAACAACTTTTTCACTTATTGTCCTGTTTACAACCACAAACCAACATTTTATTCTGGATTGTTTTTTACTACAATACAAAAACAAAGAAACAGACAACTGTGAATTGAAAGCAAAAAGACATGTTTTTAAATGTATTTTTGGTATAAAAAAACTGGGGCAAGCACATGTTGAATGGGAAAAAACTGTCGATCTTGAGCATGTAGAGACAAACCCGAAAAGATTTGCTGCTGTGATTGCAGCAAAAGGACATTCCAAAGTATTAACTTGTGCTGTGTGAATATTTGTGTCAGCCACACTTTTCAGTTATAAATTGTACCAAAATCCAAACATTAAAAAAAAATAATAATAATTATGATGATTGTATAGGACACTGCCTGCGTTCCATTCCATGCATCTGTAATGGCATATGGAAGGGACAAGCATGGAAAGATCTAAATGTGACTCCAGGTGTGTTATTGATGAAACATGTTCAAAAAACATTTTTGCACATCATATTGTGTCAAATAAAAGACCTGTTGCGTTATTGCGATGTCCCTTGTATCGTCTGAGGTAATCGGCCCCGTCGCTGTGGTTTGAGTCAAATAAATAAATATCCTCATCGTTGTAACTGGCCAGAAGCTCTGAAACAACAACAGCAACAAAATCAAAGAATCCCAAGATTACACTGTTCTAATGTTAATTATTTGTGTCAAAAATGTATCACTTTTACTTCATATCATGGGGAGAAGTCTAACCTTTGTACCAGTAGTTCAAAACATTTGATACTGAGGTAGAAAAATGATATCAATGCATTTGGAGATGAGCCCATTTTTTCAAATAAGTTTTTTTCAGTAAATGATTACAACAACCTCTATAGAAAATTAGACATATGACATCTTAAAAGGAAAATTATAAATGTGGGACCCAACTTCCTTGTTCATTCAATTCAAATTTACTTTTGCATAGCCTTAAATCAAAACAGCAGCTGTCTCTGAGGACTTTACAAAGTTGTCGATTCACCAACAACAAATCAAATCCTTCAATGTAAATAAGTCCATAAATGTCCTTGGGAGCGCATTGACGGACAGGCTATAGATCCAGGACTCTGTAGAACGAGGATCGGGGCAGGACATGGGCAAGTCCGAGCCGGGGGAGTGAACAGGTCTCCCTCTAGTTTCATGAATACATTTTGTTTGTCCCAACAGAAAGAGTCTTGTTAAAGTAAAATGTTGTGTACAAAACATGAAAAACATGCTAAAACTAGTGATAAACACAAAACAGTTTAGAGTGAGAAATAGTTCCTTGATCTCAAAACAGTTGTGGTTATTATTACATTACAATTTTTGTAAAATTAGGTAACCGAGCTTTAGCATCTAATTTTCAGTGCTTAGCAAGTTTTGGGATAGTTTTCAGTCCTTACCTGTGCCGTCGTGGCTGTAGACGAGGCAGGTGATGTTGGTTTTAGACTCGCTGGACACCAGATGCGAAGGACAGAACTTTTTGAGAACACCATTATTGTCGTTTTCGTTAATCTTCCTCTGGTCGTAGATCCTGAAAGCACACAGAATCTGATAGTCACATTTTGCTTGTGAAAAAGCGCAGTCAGATGAAGATGAACAGGCATACGCTTTTACCTGACGTACTGGTCTCTCCCGCCGACAGCAAAGTGATGCGTCGTGGCTGGGTTCACGTAGATCGTATACAGCCCTACTTTTTTATCTCCCTCCTTCACTACTGTTAACTTACTGCAGAAAACAACAAAAACATGATAATGATGAGAATGATGACAATAATAATACTTTTTATTTCTTAGGCTTCTTTCTAGATACTAAAAGGTTGCCTTACACCACAAGACACACAAAACCTACATTTAGTTAAAATACAGTGAAAAGCAGCATGAACAGAACAAGACAAAACAACGTCAGAGTAGAACCCTGTCTCACATTTTCAGGAAGACTGTTCTAAACCCATTCGAAATACTTTTTTCCCCTTAAGAATGAATTTTGCCGCATAAGGTAATACAATATGTATCCCTAATAAAAATGTCAGACCATGCTACTTATGATTGATAGCTTTATTAATTCCTTTGTGCCAAAAATGTCCAATAAATATTATATGTTCAGTGTTTTTGTGAATTCAAAAGAAAAAGGCTCAAGAAATAACTAACAATAAGTTTCAGATGAATGAATAATAAAAATGATTTTGGTCATCTTCTCATGTCTATAAAAGTTTTAGGACTCCGCCTTTTGTCTGTTTCGCCTGAAATTTCTGTAAAATCTCACACACCTAAAAGGGTTAATAGGATTATAGAGCGAAAGAAGCTCATAGTCAAGTAAGACAGTATGTAACTTTATCAATATGGTGCATTTCACGGACCGCGGTCACACAAAGCGCTTTACAATGTGTGGTATTAAAAGAACCACTCACTTGGCCGGACGGTCCAGGCGCAGGTCGATACCAAACACAACGGCGTCTTCTCCCGCCGACAGGAAAGAGCATGGAGAGTCTGGCTCAAGGGCCAACTGTAAAAATAAGTCATTATTAACATCAACTGACAAAACACAAACCATCCCAAAAAGTTAATTAACATAATTACTAAAAATGACTTAGTTAAGACTTTTGTTCTTAATTTCTGTAGTTTTTGACAGAAATCTATCTTTCTACAGTTGTGCTCATAAGTTTACATGACCTGGCAGAATGTAAGAAGACAAGGCAAGTTTATATGTATAGCACAGTTCATCCACAAGGCAAGGCAAAAGAAACATACAAATCATGCAAGGCATTAAAATCATAAATAATCACAGTCCTTTCAAAGAGTGAAGATACAATCCTTTTGTTTTATGCACAGCTAAACAGAACAGTTTTTAACCTGGATTTGAACATCGTCAGTTGAATCTTGTCTCACATTCTCAGGAAGATTGTTTCATATTTTAGCTGCATAAATCTGAAAAACTGCCTTCCCATGTTTAGCCCTTACTCTGGGCAGCAGCAGGAGGCCAGTCCCTGTGCTCCTCAGAGTCAGAGTTGGTTCATATGGCACTAACAGATGTACTTTGGGCGAAGCCATGGAGAGCCACAAGCAGAACTGCTTTAAAGTTTATTCTCTGCACCACAGGAGGCCAGAGCAGTGACCTGAGACCTGGACTAATGTGATCATACTTCCTGGTGAGAACTCGAGCTGCAGCCTTTTTGAACTGCAGCAGTCAAGAATGTAAGAATACATTCTTCCAGCCATTTCTAACAAATTATGGAGGGAACGCTGTGATGGTCGGATATATATATATATTTTTTTTTTTTCTTAAATCAAAAGCTTTGTTTAAGATTATTAAATGAATAATTTGAAGAGGAATTATCCATATGTCCTTGACCCAAGTACTGGTTAAAAACGTATCCATATGGGCTAGAGTTTGGGTGAGAGAGGGAAAAAGGGCTGTCACAAGTTTATTGAACAATCATAACAAATCCATTATTGAAAAACTTCATTGAAATTGAAGCAGCATTAGGCTATACTCCCATTCCCACAGTGATCATCCTGACCTTGTGTGCGGCGCCCTTATGCTGTGCTACTCGTTTGGTGTTTTTGCAGCGCTGCGTCGCGGAGAGTTCGGCCACTCGGATCTGGCCGTCCCGAGCGCACATGGCCAGAGTGGAGTCTCCGCTGTGGGGAAGGAACTTTGCCTGAAATCAAAGCATAAAAGGTCAAAGGTTTCAGTGCAGCCAACATGAAACAGGACCATTTCAATTACTTGAAATGATCCTTTTTCATGTTCCTTTTTGATGTTCCTTTTTCATGTTCCTGGAAACTGAATAACTAATGTCTTATGACCAGGGCAGTCACAAGTTTTTGAACCTCACATAGACTTAATCATGACTGGAGACAGAAATGAAAATGTGTAACAGCTGGATCTTTAATTCACCATTTTAGTATTTGTATACAGCATTAAGTATAAAGCAATAATTTAAATCCCAATTCTGAATTTGCGAATTCAGCGGTTGTGTAAAGTCCTTTGAGATAACTACTGTTGTGCTTTAGGGACATACAAGAATAAATTTAATTGAATTGAGGGTTACAATAATGTATTATATACATTCATCCTGCTCCATAGATGAAAGTGTAAAAAAGTATCATCTTCAGCAGTATTTTCATTTCAAAATCCATCGATACCATCACAATTTGTATTGATTACCAGTCTATACAATAGTATTGAATTTGAAATGTATTAATTTATTGTTTGTTTGAAACAGTGCATGTTAATTAGCTCTCCTCTCTGGATTGTAGCTTATTAGCATCAAACAATCCATCAATTTTTATTCAAAGAGCCCTTTACAACACTCAAGGCAACCAAAGTACTACAATAAAATCATATGAAATTCCTTAAAACAATGATGCAATTAAAAATTCAAAGAGTTCAAAGCCAGACTGAATAAACTGGGAGCCAATGTAGTGAAAAAAGGACTGGGGTGATGTGTTGACGTCTGGGTGTGTTTGTTAAAAAGCGAGTTGCATCAGTTGATTTACTGTCACACTCACAAACACACTCATTCAATCTGAACTATTGTATATGTTTTTGTGGTAGGGGAAAGCGGAGCACCTGGAGGAAACCTACACAGACACGAAGAAAACATGCTCCACACAGAAAGGCCCCACCGTGCTACACAACAGCCTGTGCTTTAACCTAAATCAAAACCAGTGAGTTTCCAGCGCACCTGAAAGACGTTACTTTTGTGGCCGCTGTCGAACTCGAGCTCGGCGCGCTTGACGGCCCAGTCCCAGATGATGACCCGCAGGTCGTCGCTGCCCGAAGCGAGCCGCGTGCCTGACGGGTTAAAGTGCAGCGTGTTGACACAGCCTGCGTGCCGCTCCAGTTTGCCCTGCAGCTCCAGCCGCTGCACCAGCCCCCGCGCGCCGCACACACGTCTCACAAACTGCGGCGCATCACGTCCGATCTCCCTGGAGCATAGAGAGGGCACGGCTCGCCACCCAGGGCCTGTTATGTCCCGAAGCTCCGCCCCCAACCACGCCTCCATCGCATCATCGTCCTCGTCCTGAAAATGAGACAGATTTTAGGACTAAAACTATTGCAGTCAGATATTTCTATTTCACAATTATTCTTCAAAGCCCAAGCAGAGAAATCCTGCCTTTCTGGGTTCAATAGCTGGGCCATGTTTTCCTTCGGTTGCTACGGTTTACCCTAAATCACTGAAGTCATGTAGGAGTGTGAATGTGTGAACGGAAGGGGATAGTCGGAGGGTCAGTGCGGCAAGTTTTTGGCATCTCGCTTCTGCCATTTCTGTGTGTGGTGCTGAGTGAATGGCAATTACACCAAAATTGTAAAGCGTTTGGTTTGACCTTGGTCTGTGAAATTAGTTATCTAAATAAGGATAAAACCAAGAAATATACAGTATAGACCAAAGGTTTGGACAGTTTTCCGTCTTTATTTTCATGACTATGAAAATTGTAGATTCACACTGAATGCATCAAAAATATGAATTATCTCATGTGGAATTATGTACGGACTAAAAAAGTATGAAACAACTGAAAATATTCTCGCTTCTTCTCTACCTTTTGCACCGATTACTGCTTCGCACACTCTTGGCATTCTCTTGATGAGCTTCAAGAGGTCCTAAAATGGTCTTCCAGCAGTCTTGAAGGAGTTACAGAGATGCTTAGTACTTGTTGGCCCTTTTGCCTTCACTCTGTGGTCCAGCTCATCAGGTCCGGTGACTGTGGAGGCTAGGTCATCTGGCGCATCACCCCATCAATCTCCTTCTTCGTCAAATAGCCCTTACACAGCATGGAGGTGTGTTTGGGGTCATCGTCTTGTTGAAAAATGATGGTCCAACTAAATGCAAACTGGATGGAATTGCATACCACTGCAAGATGCTGTGGGAGTCATTGCTGGTTCAGTAGGCCTTCAATTTTGAATAAATCCCCAACAGTGTCACCAGCAAAGCACCCCATCACACCATCACACCTCCTCCTCCATGTTTCAAGATAGGAACCAGGCATGCAGAGTCCAACCATTCATCTTTTCTGCGTCGCCAAAAGACACGGTGGTTGGAACCAAAGATCTCAAAATTGTACTCATCAGACCAAAGCACAGATTTCCACTGGTCTAATGTCCATTTCTTGTGTTCTTTAGCCCAAACAAGTCTCTTCTGCTTGTTGCTTGTCCTTAGCAGTGGTTTCCTAGCAGCTATTCTTCCACGGAGGCCTGATTCACATAGTCTCCTCTTAACAGTTGTTCTAAAGGTGTGTATGCTGCTAGAACTCTGTGTGGCATTGACCTGGTCTCTGATCTGAGCTGCTGTTAACCTGCGATTTCTGAGGCTGGCGACTCGGATGAACTTATCCTCCGCAGCAGAGGTGACTCTTGGTCTTCTTTTCCTTGGGCGGCCTTAATGTGAGCCAGTTTCTTTGTAGCGCTTGATGGTTTTTGTGACTGCACTTGGCGATACTTAGTTTTTTTTTATACTTAATTTTTTTTGGACAGACTGACCTTAATCTCTTAAAGTAATGATGGCCCCTCGTATTTCTTTACTTAGGAACTTTTTTCTTGCCACAATACAAATTCTAAAAGTCTATTCAGGACTATCAGCTGTGTATCCATCTGACTTCTGCACAACACAACTGGATGGTCCCAACCCCATTTATAAAGGGAAAAAATCCCACTTACTAAACCTGACAGGGCGCAACTGTGAAGTGAAGACCATTTCAGGTCACTACCTCTTGAAGCTCATCAAGAGAATGCCAAGAGTGTGAGTAGCAGTAATCAGAGCAAAAGGTGCTACTTTCAAGAACCCAGTAGATAAGACATTTTCAGTTGTTTCATACTTCTTTTTAGCACGTACATAATTCCACATGAGTTAATTCATATTTTTGATGCGTTCAGTGTGAATCTACAATTTTCATAATCATGAAAATAAAGAAAACTCTTTGAATGAGAAGGTGTGTCCAAACTTTTGGTCTGTACTGTATATGTACTTATATGTCACTGTTCTGTCTATGTGTGACCAGGAACAGGTCTCATGTGGAAAAACATTTCACAGAACTGTCTAGTTCCGCTCCCTTTTACACAGAGGGTTGGGGATGCTGAAATCCCTGCACAGCCTCAGTCCTGGATCTAAAGCCCGAGTCCTGGATTTTTACCACTGGATATTTTTGAGTCATTAATTGCCGATGCTTGGAGGGTCTAGGATCAGGGACAATAATTTCTTGTTTAATTTGTTTTTTTCTGTCACGGAGTGGGCCTGGCCACTTTTTTTTGTACACACATTTTAAAGTGCATTTTAACTTAATTATATCTGCTTTTACTAAGCTCTGTGTGACTGTACAGTTAAAGCTTACTTACATCATTTTACTTTATGGACATTGGTCACCCCACCCCCGTAGGCCTGTCACGATAACAAATTTTGCTGGACGATTAATTGTCTCAGAAATTATTGCGATAAGCGATTATATTGTCGTTCTGAGATCATTTGCATCGATTACAACGATAATGCAGGTACACCTTTTCAAAGAGAAATAAACTTTTATTTTTAACGAATATTTAACGCTAGAACACAATAAATTAACAAACAACCAAAAACAATAAATAAAATAGACTCAGTCTCTTAACAAAAAATGACCAGGAATAAAACTGCCAGGACCTTTGTAAAGAAAATATGAAACAGATGCCTCAAATGTCAATAATTTCTCAGACTTTATGGCAGATTACGAGAAAGAAATACCAACATGTTGACTTTGTGTGGCTTAAGACAGGATCTCTCAGGAGTAGTCCCACCTCCCCACACACCAGGCGAATGACAAGTGACTGACATGTGGGTTCACCAATGGGGCGTACAGAAGTCCTGCTGCGGTAGCGCCCACCGGAAGTAGCGGGGCGGGCTTTGATGCTAAAAGCTAAGCTAGCGGGTTTTTGTGTAAAGTTCTACTCCAAGAATGCAAGTCTGCAGCATCTCTGTGTTCAGAGTCCTTCTAGAGACTTTATATAACAGCAGTATGTGTTCACGGAGGTGCGCCATAAGTTTATTTTATTGGTATGGTACGGTACTTCTACATCGGCGAACACGCTAACGCTAGCTGCGCTAGTATAGTCACTAATCAAGCCTGAATGAGAACTCAGCTGCCGGCATATGTTCACAACTACTGTGTCCCCCATTGTCAATCCTGGTTAAGTCCTGGTTTAGGTCCTGTTTTGGCTGTATTTTGTATTTTTGAGTAATTTCCGTCTGCTTGCTAGACCGCTAGTGTTCCCCTGACCACTTTGCGGCTCTCTGACCCGAGAGAGAGGGGGGAAACAAACAAGCATGCAAATGGGATTTATCGCGGCCAGAAAAGTTATTGAGCAAATTTTATTTATCGTGCGATTAATTGATTTATTGACTATCGCGACAGGCCTACACCCCCGTGGACCACAGGCTTCTATGTGATAATATTGCTTTGCCTGTATTTGTGTTTTATTATCTGTTATTGCTGAACAACTTTGTACAGTCCTCCAAGATGACTGCTGTTGTGATTTTGGACTATACAAAAATAAATTAAAAATGAATTGATCATGAGCCGCTGATTGGGCAGGGACAGGCAAGAAAACCCAGAAGCGAGTTGGAAGAAACCCCAACCATTGCATTATCAACATATACACCTACATCTTTCTGTTCTTCATCCTCCTCATCGTTGTCATCATCGTCCTGTTCAGAGCTGGAGGAGTCGGTAGCGCCCCCTCCTGGTCGGTTCCTTTTTCGTGCAGCTCTTTTGGCAGTGTTTTTTGCTCTGGTGCGCTCCCGCCTGCCTCCCTCGCTCTCTCGCTCTGCGTCCTCTGTGAGAGAGTACAGTCCGCTGCCGTCCATGCTGTCCGTGTCCTCGTCTCCGTGGTTGTTGTTGTTGCCGTCTTCAGCGTCAGGCATCAGTTTGTCCCCTGAGCCCTCTCCCGCTTCTGTGGGAGCTGCACACAAGAGACCAAGCATTACACATGTTGTCACTGCTGATGTTGAGAAAGTATTTATATTTCCGCTTCCATTTACTGTGATGGGCTTGATTAGCTTTGATTGAAATTGTATGAAAAGTTTTGCAATGTCAATAAGTTGTCCGAGAAGATCGAGAAGAAAAACACATATTATGGGTTCAGTGTTTGTAGAGAACTTGGGTTTTTTAAACAGATGTCACCACAAAACCTAGATTTTGTAATACATTTAATAGAAACACATTTGTAATCGCTGAAAAATCGCTGAAAAATCGTTGAAAAATCTCAGCTCCTGTGGACTCACCACCTGCAGGATCAGTGAGGGGCTGGTGCTCTGTGTACTGGGTGCAGCTCAGACTGCCACCCCCCCAACCCAGAAATGGATTAAGGGGAAGAAAATGGATGGATGGATGGATGGATTTGTAATGGATATATAATGAATATGTAATTAATACATTGTAGTAAACATTTTCAGGCAAAAACAAGTGCCCACCAGCACAATTTACCAATCTTTTGAATTTGAGATTGTTTTTATATCTCATTGTTGCATGACGAAGTCATTTTGACTAAATAATTACTTTAAAGTTTGTCTCTTTTTGCTTATATTGAACCAGGCATGGTATTGTAGACTGATGAAGTTTTGGTTTTTAATGTTTATAATAACTCTAAATTATCAAGTCGTTTTGTTAAGAAAAGCAGTTTTTCAGTTTGTATAAAAGTGGTAATAATAAAAATCTTTGAAAAACACCCACAGGCTGCATGTTTGACACAGTTGGTCTAATATGCTAGACTAACTTTACATTATCTGAACCATAATGTATTTTCTCACCAAATGTTACCTAATGAAGCAGTGGTTCTCAGAAAATGGCCCCAGAGCATGTGCAGTAAACAACAGGTTTTAAACAGGATTTGGGCGTAGTGGAAGTCACAATAGTGTTCCTGTTTTCACCGATACGTCTCATAAGGTCTTCAAACATTAGAGAGACCTCAATATTTGAGAGTCTCATGAACATTATGTAATCAACGAGTGTGATTACCATCTGTAATAGAAGCCTGCCTTTGTCCCTCTGCGCTTCCAGAGGCACCTCCATCTTTGTGCTCCTCGTCCGGATCTTTATCTTCTGTGCCGCCTGAGAAAATGACACAATAAACACATATAGCTCAAACGTGGACAGCAGAATGGTCACTTTATTATGGCTGGTATAAATAGTCGTGATATATTCTTACACTGATCCTCACCGTTAAGCACTGTGGATTTGCCATCAGCCTCTGCCATCCTCTGCGTAATTATGCAGCGCTGAGCAACCTGTAACAACCACAACAATGGCATAATCTGTGTTATATATTTTACACTTGGTTGTCCCGTGCCAAAGTTGACAGACAGTAGAAGAGAGTGTGCCTGGCTTCAGCACTAGTTCAACTGCAGCACTGTCAACACTCCAGGCCTAATGTGTGTTACATTTAAGCAGTGCTAATAAAACAATGTCACCCTCACATCAAGTCTCCTTGATGTGAGGGTGACATAAAACATAAAAATAAAAAAATTAATAAAATAAATAAAAACAATTGTAAACCGCTTTGTGACTCTGGTCTGTGAAAGGCGGTATATAAATAAAGATTACTTACTTACTTACTCCTGCAACATGCTGACATTTTTGGCTGCGCGTCTGTTTGGCTGGTGTCCATTTTTAGCGAAAGGTGCTTTAAACCCACACGTCCCGGACACAAAAACGCAGCAACAGCTTATGACAGCGTTCGGATAATAATCTAAAATATGTCTGGCTAGTGCTAAGCTAACATCTAACGAAACTAAACAGATGTCACCAGCTAGTTGTCCAAATGAAGTGAAACTAGCAATGCGCGGAGAGTGGCTAGTTCGCGTTAGCATAGAAGCTAACTCCCAGGACTCCAGGCATTTCGTTCGTGTAGGCGTTTACAGTAAATTATTTGTAATCTATGTATGATTTTTACTTTTACATGTTTGCATTTCTTGTCAAACGTATTAGCGGAGACAATGAATCCACTTACAGTTAAAAATATCGTTGGAGAACTGATTTGATTTGTTTGTTTGTAAAATATATTCGTTTGTTATGTTACTCAATGGCAATAACAGCGCTTTCACATGTTTATAGACACACATACAATGCCTGTAAACATATGTTGGATTGTACTGAACACAAATTGATAAAACAATATTCTTCCCAACTGTGAAAAGTGTGCAAATAAATGACGTTGTGCATAAAAACCAGCCCCCGGGCGAAATGCCTGGGATCTGGAGTTCCCTTACCTCTGCAAAGAGAAGGCCCAACGAGGCGCACTTGTGACTTTAATCTTCCCCGCAGATCTCGCCGTCCGCTCACTGACCATGCAACTCGGGCTAAGTACCGCGAGTTAGAAGTCTGTGGAGGGAAATACAAGACATGGGGGAGGCTTGCATAGAGCTAGATGAGAAGGATAGAGATTATGAGGAGAGAACGCGTCTGCATGGGGCTGCTGCTGTGTTTATGTTTTGACGGATCCTCTGCTCCTTTTTTGTCTGCTGCCATTTCCGGTGTCGTGCTCGCTTTGTTTTTATTCTGCCGGAAGTGTGTCCGTGCTGACCAACAGCAAAAAAGGCAAATTTATACTTTCCAGGGGAGAAAAGGTTGAGAATGAATATGAATATATAGATCAGGCATGTCCAAACTCAGGCCCGCGGTCCAATTGCGGCCCTCTGACATGACCATAAACACAAGTTCACATAGCCATGCAGCCAACTTCAGCTCTACTAGAGCTTTTTTGTGAAGCTTATTACGTCTGGAATCCAGTTTTTGACTTTGTTGAACATTTGCTTTTGATTCGCTTTTGAGTGCTCGGTGTCTTGCTTCTGTCATCACTGTGTGGTGTAAAAGGAAATTACTGCAGCTTTGCACTTTATGTGACCTTGGTCTATGAAATGTCCTATATATGTAGCTACATGTTGCCCCCCATAACAAATGGCCACATTTGACCCCTACCTCTAAATGATTGTGGAATATTTGAATCCTAGCTAGTTTTGTTTTGTTTTTCTATGAGGAGTATGAGTGTGTGAAGTTTTACTTTTGTTTTGACTCCATGTGAAAAACATGTGGTCCATATCATTTGGTCAGCTTATACATTAATAAGAAATTATACATTGTATAACATTGTAACAATGATTGTCTATCTCCATGAAGAAAGCATGCTTTTCAAGAGCTTGAATTTGATTATAAATTTTAAGACTGTTCAATTGTGATATATTTGACCACGGGGGCCTCAGAGGCACTACATGGGAGCCCCAAAAGGTTGTCCACACAACCACCTAAAGATTTGTTTTTAGGCCAATCTCAAATATTCTATTATCATTATATTACATTTATATATTTACAGGTTAAACCAAGTAAACCTTACTCATGCTGTATTGTATTTTGATCAAACATAAAAGGAAAACTATTATAAAGTGTGATCAGTGTGGTTAATATTGGGGCCCCCATATCGGTAGCTTACGATGCCGTGCTCCAGACTTACAAGACGTTCAACTAACATCAGCTGCCATAACGTTACACAGTTCACTTTAATCAGATCATCTCTGAGTTTCTGTGGCTGCTTCCTCTGATTTCCTTCCTGTGTTTATTTGATGCTGGGAGCAAACAGATCATTAGACATTTATCCGCTGAGGGATTGGAGTCTTTATGACGCTGTATATGGACACAGTCCTTCTCATACTTTCATACATTTACTCATGCTGCTCAGGTTTGTGAAATAATGAGAAATATATTGTTAAAAACAAAAATAATCACTAGCCCTAACTCCCAAAGCAGTCAATTTGATGGCTTTTAGTCTTGGAAGTGTATTTCTTTTTCTGTATCTTAATAAAGTTTATGAATTTTTTATTAGATTATCTTTTTTCTTTGAAATGTAAGTATACATATAAGAGCATTGGCCTTTGGACCTGAAGGTCGTGGGTTCGAGCCCACCGTAAGACCTACTTCACGACTCCCACTGATGTCTGCTGTCGTTGTGTCCTTGGGCAAGCCACTTAACCCCACTTTGCCTGAAGTCCCCGCTGAAAGATCAGGGCTCCTGTGGACTCACCACCTGCAGGAGGATCAGTGAGGGGCTAGTGCTAAGTGTACTGGGTGCAGTTCTGACTGCCACCCCCCAACCCAGAAATTGGATTAAGGGGAATAAAATGGATGGATGGATGGAAGTATTACTACCTTTAACTCACATGGCAGTCATTTTCTTCCAAAGGAGAACAAGTCTAGTTATCATAGTGTTAAAACAATTATGCATTTTTACATTTTGTATCTTGAATTTATCATAATGGGGAACAATAATCTACCTTTTATATACAGTTAAACAAATTAAAGCTGGACAATCTAACTTTTTTCCATAAATAATACAAAGTGTTTGTCCCAACAGAAACATTAAAATGTTGAAGGATTCAGACCACAGCACACTGTCAGCTTCTTTTAGAAAACATGTTATGCATACTTGTGAGTATGAGTCCTGTGGGTGGTTGTTTGACACTTTGGGCTGTGCTGATTGGCTGTTTTTTATCTGAAATGGCTCAAGGATGTGATAGTGGTCAAACATTTAAAGAGGCTAAAACCATAGACCATAGAGCGTGGAATTGTTGGATGACTTTACCGAGTTAAAATGTGTGCATTAGTGTGAAATGAAGGTACACTAGCTTTAATACAGTACATCAGTACAAAATTGTTGATTCATTATAAGATTTGTTTTTTTTTAAACGCAGATACAAAATAAACAGGCTTACAGAACTCAATGCAATTTCAAACGTAATCATGTTAAGAAATGAACAAAACAAAAAATTAAAAAGACACAAGAATCCCACAAGGGTCTGATTCACAATGTTTTCCAGAAGCCAAAGTGCTTTCCTTGAGCTACAGTATGTCAAAGAGTCCCTTAAAGCTAAGTTCTTCCATAAAAACACCAAACAAGCTTTAAATTACCAAATTTTCATGTGTACAAAAACACAGCCATAGGAATTTAAGATGAGGAATTCCTTGTTTTTGTCCTACAGAATAACACAACATATTTGTCATGATGATAAAAGTTAATCAAACCCCCAATTGTTATTCCAAAGCAGAAACTTTCCCATTATACTTTTGGATGAACACAGCAAACGTGTGTGAAGCCAGTGCGCGGATTCAAAATCCCATAACTCTGCTGATTTGGTGCCTAAAGAATTATCAGATTCGGCCTGATAAGAAAAGTATGATAAATTGTTGCCTTGTATGAAAGTGGCCGTAAGTCTTTCCCTAACTCCAGGTCTGTTGGATCTGCAGAGTCAGTCGCCTCTCGCACTCAGCTCAGCGCGGCTCAGAATGAGTGGAGGAAGTGGAGGAGGTGGCGGTGGTCCCTTGGTCCCTCCGTCTTTAAGCCGCTGAGCTCAGTCTGACGCAGAGCGATGTGCGGCTTGTATAGCTATGCCCGGACGCACAGCTTTCAGCGTGTTTTAACTCTTTTAATGAAATTTCCTCCGCATCTCTGGGTGTTCCGTGCGTCATGATGGAGTATTGGAGACAGTGCACACTTTGGCTGATCAGCTGTAAGATTCTGCCGCAGAATCACCGGGTGACAGCGGAAAGTGCGCAAGTGTTTGACCTGGCGCAGGCGCTCCGGGACGGGGTGCTGCTCTGTCAGCTCCTCAACAACCTCCAGCCGAACTCCATCAACCTCAAGGACATCAACCTGCGCCCGCAAATGTCTCAGGTACAACACAAAGTTCATGTGTGATCATGCGATACACACAGCGCACAAACTTGAGTCAATTCGATACTTTTGTGTACAGCTCAAAATCAAAACAGCAGTTGTCGCAGAAGGACTTTACACCAGTTTGCAGTCACTTTGCCAACTACAGATCAGAGAATCAAAAACAGTTGATATGCAGTAATAATGCAGGATGACCACTGTCCTATATGTCCTCAAAAACCCTTAACACAAATGTAAATCACCAATTGTATGTTGTGAATGGTTCTGTCTAATAAATAAATGAACAAAATACATTTCAAATATTCTCTGACAGTTTTAAACCTTTCTACAACAGTATAATGTTAAGTGTTTTGAAGGCAGAGCCTTTGTCCGTCAATTAGTCCACAAAAATCCAAGTTTAGAATCAGTACAATACTTTTGACACCTCTGATGTCCACTGCCCTGTTTGGTAGACGTCATATTGTTTTAGTTTCCAAGATGATGAGTTGATTCAAATCCAGTAAAGGGCGTATACAGTAGCTTGAGTGCCGCCACAGGAGAGGCCAGATAAAATCCTCCTTTTGATCCACCCATGAGTCCAACTCCAAATATTTCAGCAGCAGCTTGACCTCTGCTTTAAGAGAAACACAAGAAAACAAAATATGGCTTTTCAATAAAATAAAATAAAAAAAAAAAAACCCACATTGAACATATGTTTAAATATCCTAAATTTAGCAATGGAATTCAAGTACAAAAATATAAACTTTTAGAAAACAGACAAACAACTAAAACACACTCTTTACTTTAGGGCCGTTAGCTAATATGGCTTGAAGTCGGATAGTACAGGCTAGACAATGTGACTAATAGGCTATGATTATTAATACATGCATTACAACATCTTATAGTTATTAAAGAACGTATACACACATTTTAAATATTTAATTTAGTAGTGTAAAGGATCAACAAATGATACTGTATAGGAGGGTCTATGGACAATGATGATCCGGGACATTTAAGGACATTCATTAACAGTTACAGTTATGTACATTGGTCATCCTACTGTCTCATATGTGTTTGTTATTATTTATAATTAACCTGTGTTCAAACTGTTTGATTCTCTGATCGGTTGTTGAGGAATCTACAACTTTGTAAAGTCCTCGCTGCTGTATGGAAGAATTTAGATTGAAATAGAAGTGTGTGATGTAAAACGTCACTAGTCGTTTTCCAGTGACAGGGGACAGCACGTGTGTCCTGCATTATTCAACATATATGTACTGTCCAGTATGTCCAGTTCATGTTGTTTTTATTTTGTTTCCTATGACATTCTGGCATTTTCATGGATATTGCAAAGGCCTCATAAATGCATTGACTGTTTGAAGTGATGCTAAAATTATATGTATATAAGCGGACATTGACAATCCTGGCTGGTGGTGGGACAGTGTGTAGGACAAAGGGTGATGTCCTGCAGCGGTGGGTCAGGTCCACACAAGCACAAGTGTGTCAGTGGGCTTCTCTTTATGCTCTTGTCTCTGAACGAGGTGAGCTGACCCCATGCAGTCTGTGCACTGACTGTGATTGATGTCCACACAAGGGATGGTTCTGAGTTCACATGGCTGGGGTGGGACATTTTACTGTTATTTGTGATTATTGAGGGCGGAATCATTTGTTCACTGTGTTGTTGGAAGTAGTTTACAGTGGCAATAATCAAAGACATGGGCATTAGAGAGAGGACTTTGTTGCATGCTCGCTCGAGGGGAAGGTTATTGCTGTTAGTCAGGACTAAAGCTGAGACTTGCAATTTCAGAAGTGGATATAAAACGCAAAGACAAAAAAAATCACTTACATTTTTAGGAGATACAAGTGAAATAACATCAGTTATAAAGTGTATTCATTTCTGTAATTAAATTTAAAATGTGAAAACAATTATGATATAGTTTCATTGCATGTAACTTTCCATGTTGATGATTGTGGCTTACAGTCCATTTAAAATATACTGTATATATAATTACAAGCTGTAAGCCAATTCTCAACAGAAAGGATTGACCTATCTCACTTGAGTCTGTCTTATTTTAATTTCACATTGTAAGTTGATTCACAGAGTTTCACCTGTATGTATGGAACAAGGATCTTTTGTCAGACGGAAGCTTTATGATTATTATTTTCTCGTCCTGTTCTTGATTTATCTAAATGTATGTCTATCATAATATGTTGCTCAACAGAAAATCAGAATCAGAATCATTTTTATTGCCACATAAGTAACAGGAAGTCACAGACTTGGAAATTGCGTTGGCTCCGTGCAACAGTCAGAAAGAGATAAAGGTAGAGGCATAATAAACAATAAAATAAAAAGCACTTCTAAGGAATAAATGTAAATTTAAAATAGAGTTACAATTACTATATACAATATACAAGTGCACATGGTGCACACAATGTAAGGTGACAGCAGTACAGTGAAGTAAAGTGACGTATGATGGGCAGTAAAGTGACTTTATAAAGGGCGGGGGGACAGGTTAAGAAGTGTTCAAGAGTCCAACAGCAGAGGGGAAGAAACTGTTCTTGTGGCGGGAGGTTCTAGTCCTGATGGACCGCAGCTTCCTGCCTGAGGGGAGTGGTTGGAATAGTCCATGTGCAGGGTGAGAGGGGTCGGCTGTGATACGACCAGCCCGGCCTCGAGCTCGGGCGACGTACAGGTCCTGCAGCGATGGAAGGCTGCGGCCGGTCACTTCCTCTGCAGAGCGCACAATGCGCTGTAGTCTCTGTTTGTCCCTGACTGTGGCTCCAGCGAACCACACGTTGACGGAGGAGGTGAGGATGGACTCGATGATGGCCGTGTAGAACTGCACCAACATCTGTGCAGGCAGCTTGGCTTTCCTGAGCTGCCGCAGGAAGTACATCCTCTGCTGGGCCTTCTTGATGAGGGAGCTAATGGTCGGCTCCCACTTGAGGTCCTGGGTGATGGTGGTGCCCAGGAAACAAAATGACTCCACAGAGGTGATGGGGGAGTCCATCAGGGAGGGAAAAGATAAAACAATCAAATTCAAGTGTTTTATATATTTGAACAGTTTTTGTCTTTCATTTCTACCTTATTAAAAGTTGTACTATCGGTTATAACTCTATAAACATTGTTTTCTGAAATCAAGTCATTATTTCAAATAACTATAAAGTAAAAGTCATAATTTTTACTTGTATTTCATGTTTTTCACTTCATGAGCACTTGGGCAGCTGTTGTTGTTGCTGTAAGTGTGCTATATAAATAAAGTTGACATTAAATAATTTAAGTTCACAGCAGCTTCCTGTGCGATGAGTTCCACTGATAGAAGCCACTTATCCATCAGCATCTTCCTCTCCGGTCCATGGGCGGGGCCGGCAGGTTCAGTTCTGGGGATAAGAACTTAGACATGTGTCAACAACATGGGGTCAACTCTTTGTGAGGCAAGTTTAGAATAGGCCTCTTCATGTCATTCCTATGTGCAATTGTTTAACTCCAATGTCTTACTTATTAGTGAGAGGGCCACTTCAGTTCACCAGACTTATCCAGGGGCAGACAACAGGCATTATAACACTGTTTGGACGGGATTCGTGCTATTCTGCGCTTTATGTATATAGAGCCACAAAGTCACCAAGCGCTTTACAATTGTTGTGGGCATTTGTCCACTGACTCCACACAGAGCGGGCACACCGTACAGGAGGCACATGCCAGACCAATTGTAAATGTTTTTAGCTGTAAGGGAAACCGGAGCATATGGAAGAAATCTACAGAAACTGGGAGAACATGTAAACTCATCACAGAAAGGTCTGGAGGTGGAATTGAACCCATAACCTTCTTTTTGTGAAGCGCTATCTACTGCGCCACCATCCCGCCGAATAGCAATGTAATATTGTGACATAATTAAAAAGAAATCAACGACAGGATTCAAAATGTTGGCAATGAGGTGTTGCGTGACTAAACTGGTGGAGCTGAAGTTGGCTGAATGACACCCTTAAAGTGTCTCAATGCTGACTTTGCGTTAGAGGGCCACATAAATGGCAACATTTGGGCCACGGGCATTTGTTTGGTCATTCCTGCTCTCACCTTATGCCTCACCTAAGATTAAGCACATACATTTAGTTTGTTATTCTCTAAAAAAAATGCAGATTTTTGTATCATTATGAATATCATATGTTGTTGGAGTGTGTTTTTATCCCCACTCTCCTAATGAGCAATGACATTGAATGAACTCATCTATCTATCTATCCATCTATCTATCTACTGTTACAGTTTTTCTCAGTCACTTTGGTGCATTTCTAACATCAGACTTAAAGTTCTCATAACTAGTAGTTCAACCTCCACAACATTGAGTCTTTTGTGCACATCATCGTAGCAGTTTCTTATGCCTATGAACACTTTACAAATGTTAATGTATCAGTTACTTTCTTACAATTCTCTGCTGTTTTTTAACATTATCATTTGCTTCTGTCCAGTCAGTCAAAATGAAACATGATTATGACTTCTGAATAGTCTTTTTCTATAAAAGCAATAGTCCTCATTTCATCACTTGAGTTATCACATACAAAATTGTTGAACTAGTTCTCAAAAACCAAATCTGTCTTCCCCCCCCCCCGGAAAATCTCTTCTAAATTGTGAATTTCAGCTTCACTCATGAGGAGGTGTTTACACATGTCACAGTTTTACCATAATGCTATTACTTGTTTGTTCTACGTAAATACTGTAAGTGACTGTATTTTTGTTGCACAATGCTGTAGAATTTACAGTAAAAGAGAAGTCAATATATGAAATACACACATACATACAGTATATACATACATACATACATACACACAAACACATGTCTTGTATGCTCATCAAGTGTCACAGAGATCTGACTTTTTTACATTGAAAACACAGTTTCAAACAAACTTTCACAATGAAAACATGACTTAGTCATGTGACTGTGTTCATACTCAATGTTGTTAGGACGTATTACTTTGACGACACAGACAGTTTCATTGACATGAAGACTTGCTTTTGAGGAATTCACTTTTCATTTTGAGAAAGTGATGCACTTTTGCAGGTTATCCACAAGGTTTTGCAGTTTGCATTAATTGTTCTGAGAAATGCACAAACTGTTGTGCAAATGTGAAGAGTGATGTGAAAAATGCACCAAAGCGACTGAGAAAAACTGTTTTGAATTCAATTGGACGGCATTGGCAAAATATTGTCTAAATGTTGTTTATATTGTCCACATTTTCCCGTTGCTCAATATTAATTGTTTTGATGCTGTTTTGCGCAGTTCTTGTGTCTGAAGAACATCCGCACCTTCTTGTTCTGCTGCTGTGACGTCTTTGGGATGAAGAAGTGTGACCTATTTGAAGCTTTCGACCTTTTCGATGTCCGAGACTTTGGGAAGGTAACTGCACAAAATAATCAATAATAACCACATCACACAAAACTGCTGACTGTCCTGTTCAAATGGTTCAAATCTTTCATCATAATATAGTTACACATGTGTCCGCAACGGTCAACATGTGGTGGAGCCATCATGCTTTAGGGTTTTGCTGCAGGCAGTGGCATAGGAAATAGTTCACAGGTTGAAGAAGAACGGATTCAACATTGTAAATTCCTCAACAGCAGATCAGAAAATCAAACACAGGAAATACAATAAAAACAAACACATAGGAGCTTGTGGTCCATAGGAACAGTATGACCAATGTTCATGAATTCTAATATATGTCCATAAATGTGTTGGATCATCACTGTCGTTAAGGCCACCTGCATCGGCAAAGGAACAACTCAAAAACCCAGTAGGCAAAAGTCATGACAATGCATTAGCCTTCAGCCAAACATAATTGAACATCTGAATTTTGGATCAATAATGAGATGTTCAGATGATGTTGGTCCACTGGTGGGTATAGGGTTCCCAAACGTTTCAGGCCCCTAAAAAAAGCATTCCCAATGTTAAAAGTAATAATAATTTCAATACTAATGATAATGTTGCGCTGTTCCATAAAAATAAACAAAATATATCAAAAAATATGTCCTCATTTTGGGAACCACTGCCATTGACTATAGCTGATCTCTATATAATTTCTTTAAATGGAAAACAAGCAACCACGTATGACTTTTCATGTGTTAAAAATAAACCAATACACTTCTTCTCTGTGCTCTGTGGCTTTCATGAAATTAAGTGGTTTAAATTGGATCAGGGTATATGCTCATTTTTTAGGGTTAAGGGTTACCTTGTAAATGGTATGGTTTGTTGTTGGCCTCAAATGCCAATCATTTTGTGTTCAGGACATGTATTTGTATAGGCAAAACACGTTTGACACAGCCTCTACGAGGAATGTCATTAGGCAGAACGTTCTATTTACAATATGCTTATAATGATTAAAGAATTAGTATAAACATTCTCTATTGCAAAATAATATATACAAATCTGTAAAAAACTCTACAGCAAAGGTCGTGGTTTCGAGCCCACCATAAGACCTACTTCACGACTCCCACTGATGACTGCTGTCGTTGTGTCCTTGGGCAAGACACTTGACCCCACTTTGCCAGAAGCCTCCACTGAAAGATCTCAGCTGAGGAGGATCAGTGAGGGGCTGGTGCTATGTGTACTGGGTGCAGCTCTGACTGCCACCCCCGACCTAGAAATGGATTAAGGGGAAGAAAATGGATGGATGAAATTACATGTTAGCAGAATGAGGCTCTTGGCTTAATGTGACTAAGTAAAGAGACAGTGGTCACATGTTGTCCCACATTCCACTTTATTATTATTACACATTATTGCCATGCATTAATGTGAAATCAGACAATTTAGTTAAGCTGGGGTACCCAGTCTTTAAACTAACAATTTAACAATCTCATTAAATCCATATAACTGTTTTCTATAGCTCAGATAACCGTTCTATAAATTGTTTTCACATGCATGTGTTTCCATGTTCATATTTGGCTCTGCTTTTTCAGACAGAAAAGTAAAAAAAAGAGTACCCCCCTTGTCAGCCAATCAGCTTTTATCTCAGCGTGCCAAATGGTGATTCTCAGGGTATAAACCAGTGGGGGCGGGTCCCAGCTCAAAAGTGGCCAAAATGACGTGCGCTGACATGCTTGCAATACCACCCTGGGCCAATGGGGGTGGACACAGAAGAAGAATTAGCCAATGCTAACATATAGCATTGGCAGACCCCTCAAAAACGTCTTTACAGGATGGACCAAAAGTTGGCTCTTGGCCCAAAGCTCCGTTCCACATGTGTGTCAATTTATTTTTATTTATTTATTTATTTATTTGACAGGGACAGTACAAATAAAACATTGTCACCCACAGGTAACCGATGTGAAGTACACAAGGCTTCTAGCCAAAGGCTAATTTGCAGCCCCCGTCCCAGGGGGGTGATTTTTTTTGGTCTACTCTAGTTTACTTGCTGTGAATTTTTGAAGTCTCTCGTTCAAATGAATGAATCTGCGCCGGCTGACTCATGCACAGATGCGTTTTTTCACAATTTTCTTGTGGGCGGGACCACAAGATTTTGGGGCGGGACCACCATTTTGGATAGCTCCAGTAGAGCATATTTTTTGGCCCATTAGTTAGAACGGCGGAGATAGGCGTGACTCTGTCCGTTAATATATACAGTCTATGGTATAAACCCAGTGGGGTTTTTTTTAGTACGATGAAGACAACATGTTGATTTGTTCACAACATTTTACTTTTGACAAGACACTTTCTGTTGGGACAACAGTGGCTACTGCAGCTTTAAGATCGAGCTGTATGTCTGATGACACCATGGTCTCTCACTTGGTCCATTGACACCTTTGAGGGTCCCTTTGGCCCTGGTTGTGCAACACTGTTTTACCAGTCCACATTTCTCAGCCCTGTACACAGTTTCTTCTCTGTTATGCGCCAAAGAAGCTTCCACTTAATCTGCAGCGCATAATCCTGCCCAGAGAACTGTGCCCACAAATATGATCACTGCCTCCAAACTGAGACCAGCGTAGTCTGCATTGCACACATCCACACGAGCTGCTGATGGCGGCAATTCATGTCCCGTGTCAGTTTACAGTCTTCTCCAGGTTCAGGGCAGTTGGAGGGCTTCCAGGGCCGCTTGTTTGGCCTGGTTATAAACGCCCAATCTCCTTCAGAAACATCACCAATCCGAGCCAACGTGTAATCCACTTGCTTTGTGCCAAGGAGAGCGGGCTAACCCAGATTTCTTGTAAAACTATTGACCCAGCAAATCCGTTGAATTTGTGTAAATTTCTACTATGGGCATTTCAAAGCAAATATGAGTGTGTTTTGTGGTCTACTTTGGAGTGTAACCCAGTATTTTCAGATGCAGAGAACTTAGGTAAAAGTTGTTAATGACAAGAATTCTGAGGTGTCCTTGTCATAGAAATATGTATGTGTTTAACGTGTCCCTTTTAAAGCTGGGATACTTGACTTTCAAACCGTAAAAAAGAGAAGTCTAAAAATAAAACACCTGTAATTGAACTAGTTCCTTGGTCTCAAAACAGTTTTTTCTTTCACTTGTTTTGACATGCATGTATTTTTGGCCTCTCACATCCAAAGGGTCAAATAGTGCCTCACAGGGCTCTTTCTTAATAATATGCAAAAGATAACATGTTTCCTGATTAGATAAAGGCAGCAGGTTGTGGTCTTGTATCTTCACAACATTTTACTTTTACGACACAACAAGCAACACGTTTTATATACGAAACCAAATCGAAAGTTAGATACCATGAATATGAAGAAATCAGATACCCCAGCTTTAAAACATGTATTTTTGGAGTGTGCCCCATTCTTTCCACAGAGCATATGAGTAAGCTGTGTGGTTCACTTTATTTAACATGTATTTATGTTATGATTTATATTGTCATAATTTTAGGCTTTTTATACACACTGAGTATATGCCATGACAAAGCAACATTTAACTTGCCCAGCGGCCTACTCCTCTGGGGGAAAATGTTGACAACAATAAAGCCAAATGGTTTATACTGTAGCTTGTTGCTTACATGCATAATGACAGCGTAACAAGCCGTCGAGCTGTGTTTGGGTGAGTGAAGATCTCACATTGACTATTGGGTTCTTTCACGTGCTGATCTTTCCTTAGTAGCGTTTTCCTTGTTGTTTATAATGCTCCACATAGAAGATAAGCTTGCTCTAGGCAATTCTGTTATGATTCCCATGGTTCCACGAGCAAAATATATCCTGTGACTTAACACATTTCCAAATTTTTTTTTTACACTTTCATTTTGACACATTCCTGTCTTCTCCGTGGCACGCAGCTGACGAAGATCCAAAAAACACACCAATTTTTCCTGCCATTGTCCTGGATCAACACAGAATTTCTTTAGTTTCTATTCATGTTTTAAAATCGGATAAAAGAACTCACCAGAACTATTCTAGTCAAAAACGTTGAAAATAATGAGTGTAGTGCAGGCATGGGCAAACGTCCTCCTGAGGGCAACGTTGGGATTTTGGCTGGCTGTCGGTGGCCGGACCTAATTTATCATATATGAATTAAATATTTAGCAGCAGAGTGAGGGGTGCTACTGCATCTTCACAGGATTTCATAGTATTTTTACTATATCTATATAAACTGGGGAGGGCTCAGGGGCCTGATGGAAATTTTCAAAGGGCCACATCTGGCCCCTGGGCCGCCATTTGCCCACCACTGGTGTGTTGTAATAATTCCTATTCCTGCATACACTGTTCTTGCAAAGACTGATCATATCACTGATTCTTCATGAGTCGGTGTGATTGGAGTGTAGGTGTGAAACTCCACTCTGACTGCGGAAGACTCGCTCTGTGGTTTTTGATTAACTTTCATCTCCATCTGTTCAAAGCAGGTGAAAAGCCACTGTGCGGAAACCAAAACTCAGCCTTTTCCTGTTATCTATGACATCTACTCTTAGTCTTTTGCTTTTGACCACTATTTTACTTAATTTCACATACTTATATTATAGACTACATAAGGCATCTTTAACTGTGAGAAAAACCACATCTTGGATTGATACAGTAAGAACTGCAGTGTGGTGGTGCAGATCAGGCAATGCACTGCAAAAGTTTGATCTTGATATTACTGTATTATGACTTTCTCTCTTGAAATAAGAAAACATAACGCTCTGCTTGAAATAAAAGTGAACGTTCGCTATCGGCTAATCTTGTTTTAATAGATATATGTCAAAATGGACACAAATGAATTTAAAATGCTTTACTTCATGCACTCAGTATTTTTTCAGGCTGGATACAAAGAGACAGTATGTGATATTCACTTTTACTGTTCTAATAAAGTCATTATAATTACAATCACACTTTTGTTGTTAGAATCTTCCATCTCCGACACATGTAGCTCCTAAGCACTGGTTACTGAGACAATCCACTGTACTAGCTAGAAACAGTACAACATCACTACTTTATTTTGCATCTGTTTCATTTAAACTAATGCATGGTGCTATATTTTTGTTTGTGAAATTTCAAAAGAATTAACTATTCACAGAAAATCTTTTCATGTCATAAAGCAGATCACAAATTGTAATAGAATCGGATCATAAATGTGAAAGTAGCCATAGTAAACCTGGGCTGTGTTAAAGGCCTGTTTTGTTTGTTTTTAATAATTTTTTGTGTGTTTCTTCAGGTTATGGACACGCTATCAAAACTGTCCTACACAACCCTTGCACAAAAACAAGGCTTCAAGTAAGTTTTCTAATCTACAACTTCTACTTCCAAGTTACAGCATGTTCCAATATAACCATATTTTACTATTATTATTATTATTATTATTATTATTATTATTATTATTATTATCATTAGCTGTTTTCTTTCTTTTATAAATCATTTCACAGTATGTTTTGGATTGTTTCACAGTATAACATTAAACTTAAGACAAACTAAACTGTACTGATAAAAAAAGGAAAAATATTATTCTTTATTTATTATATAAATAATAAAATATCTGTGAATAATGAATGTACATGACTTGAATACTGAGGCATATTCCAAGCAGAGAACTAACAACTCTCTTTTAAATACATATTCTAACAGTAGAACCAGAGCAGTCAATTTGACGGCTATTAGTTTTTGAAGCGTGTTTACTTAGTGTATATACATACTTTCTATGGCTTTTTCTCTCTGTGTCGTTGTAAAAAGAAGTGACCTTTTATTTTTGATATGTGAGGAGTTCTACTTTTAACCACAGAGCAGTTATGTTCATTTGAAGGTCAAATGTAGACATTCTATGGCAGATAGACCCTCTTTTTAAGTTGCTGATTCTGGTCTGGTCCTGGACTGGTCCGAGTATTGAGCTGAGTCAGCTTGTTTTCCAGACAAGAGAGTGCAAGTGACAAGACCAAGTGCTAGTTACCATAGCAACAAACTGTTTACTTGACAGTCGTTATGGATTAGTAGCCGTTCCACAAACTTTTTTGCTGTATTTTTCAAGTTACATATTGATTGAGTTCCTTAATGAAAAATTCTGGTTTGTCAACTACACTATTTCTATTGTTGCAGTCATTTTTACCACTCAATTCTGGTGGAAAATCTCATTTAGAGACATTTAAATCTACAAAGGAAACCACAAGGACACGTAGCTCACTCATTGCAATATACTAAGCATTGAATAACAGATAAGTATATTATTACATCAATATATATCAGTATTGTGAGTAAAACAGTATATTTTATCCATTGAGGAAATCTACATTTATACACTGTCAGATATATATGGAGCTCACTTTGCACTCCCTGAACCAATCATTCAATAGACTCATTATTGTACATGTATTTTCATATGTTTTTGATGTTATTAATGCACATATTTTCATATTCTCTTATTTTTGTGTCCATTTGCAGACCCTTTCCCACCGAGGAGAGCCTAAAAGATGAGGACATTTACAACAACTTGGAGGACCTGATTGAGTGCGTATGAATCTCCTCTCTATGGTTTCATTACTGATGTCATTTATCAGCTGATGTTACTTCCGCAGTAGGCGTGGTCGGCCTGATTGACCTGACAGGACCATGGCCCCTCTCGCCCGGTGGTCTCTAGAGGAGGGTGTCCCATGTGTGTGAAAGGACATGCTTTATTGGTTTTTTGGTTTTAAGCAAAAAAGTTACCACAGGGATGGCTGGCTTGTAACGGCCAAGTGTCTGAAGCTAGGCAGGGCAGGGCATGGTTAGTACTGTGATGGGAGACCTCTAGCAACACCAAGTACCACTGTGAGGCAGCTAAACTGTTGTTGTGTCCTTGGGCAAGACACTTCACCGACATTGCTTAGAATGAGTCTGGTGTGTGCGTGAATGATTGGTGTTGGTCGAAGCGCCACTGGTGCTTGCTTCTTTCAGTGTGCCCCAGGGCAGCTGTGGCTACAGTTGTAGTTTGTCACCACTGTGTATGGAGTGAGTGAAGCGTCTTTGGGTGTCCAAAAAGTTTTAAATAAAACCAACACATTGTTATTCTACATTATTATAGGGAATGTGAGGTGGATTTAGATTGTCGTGAAACAGGTTAGTTTTTTCCGACTGATGATGTATTGTTGCAACAGTAATCCCACTGCAACAAGGAAAGCTCCCTCCTGTTCCACACATGGGACAGTTCTGAAGATGGCTCGCACCTCTGCTGCCAAAACATGATATTATACTGAAGAGGACAGCAATGATTATTTTTGGTGACATCATGTTATATTTGTTTAAGTGTGCTCATTAACATGTACTGTCCTAGCCTGGTTGTATCATACCATAGTATGAATTACATTTCGTACTAAGGTCTGGATTTGCTCCATTGAGCTCCGTTTACAGGTGGGAGGGGTTAACTCCTTTTGCAGATTGAAACGATTAGATCTGAGTTTGCCGTGACGTATTTAATGCGCCTGTCATTAGCAATTAGCATTAAGCCTAGCCATCTCCTTGCTGCTAACGGAGCCTGTGGGGAGTAGCGCCACAATCTTTGCCAGCAATTACATTTGCTAAACATTCCTCTTGCTCCGGCTTCAATTTCTTGATAGAACCAGAACAGATTACTTTACTATTGCATTCTTCGCCATTGACAAACTAACCTGGCCATAGCCATCCTTACACTTCGGTCAATCATCATTTCACTGCATGTAACGTCTGGGTCTGCTCCCTCTGTTTGCGATTACATCGGTTGAATTTCGACCGACCTACCAGCGAGCGCGGACGGCAGGTGTTGAAGATAGTTGTGGGTGATTTCCAGAGTTTGCTTCGAACAGGCAGGTTGTAGTTTGGCAATGGTGAAAAATGCAATAGTAAAGTAATCCGGTCTGGTTCTATCAAGAAATTGAAGCCGGAGCAATAGGAATGTTTAGCAAATGTAAACGCTAGAATAAATTGTGGCACTACTCCCCATGGAATCCGTTAGCGGCAAAGGAGATGGCTAGGCTACATGCTAAATGCTAACGACTCACTCGGGCCCATTACATACGTCACGGTAAACTCAGATCCAATCGTTTCAATCTGCAAAAGGAGTTAACCCCTCTCACCTGTAGACTTAGCTCAATGGAGCAATACCAGACCTTAGTACAAAATGTAATTTGTACTATGGTGTGGTACGACCAGGCTAATACTGTCCCAACCAAATAAACAATAAACGTTGTGTTTACGTTTATGCCCAAAAGCCTTGAAGTGACTTTCAGTTGTGTTTTGAAATATAACAAGAATATATTTTTTTAAAAATGTCCGCTTTCTACCAACTGAAAAAATATCTCGCACCACTGCTTCTGACAGAGGCCCGAGAGGCAATGAAGGATGGATGGGATGGGACAATAAAGTATAACTTACTAAAGGGATAATATTGTATGTATTATGTAAATGATCTATTTATGTTTACACACATTCTATTTATTAGCTGAAAGTTTTTTTTTTGTATCAAATGTCAAGCATTTCATGGAATTACTTTTGATTGTTATTTATTGCTATGAAATGTTTGAAAATGACAGCCTGAACTTGGCTGATGTTTACTTCTTCCCTCAAACTCTCCCTCAAATCTATTGTTGTGTGTTTTCCGTCAGTGAGAATGCTCTGGAGGATGAAGATGAGCTGTACGCTGCAGTCTACGGCTGTGAGGAAGACTACGCTGGAGGAGAGATCTATGAAGACCTCATGAGGACCGACCTGACACCTGCACTGGTACTGCTGTTAAAATACACACACACACACACACACACACACACACACTACTCATGTTTGTTCAAGGTATCGTGCCTTTTGTGCCATTTTTTACCATGTTTGTTTGAGTACAAATTATGCTGAGTCTAATGTCTTGAATGTTTAACTAGAAAAACTGGAATTGATATTACCATTCTCTTGTCTTTGTTTTAATGTCTGTAAATAAAGCAGTTTTTGTTTATTTTGTTCCCTGTTTGTGGAAGCAGGCCGAAGTGGATGTCCGCAGCTGCTGTCTGTCTGAGATCAAACAGACGGAAGAGAAATACACAGAAACACTGGAGTCTATAGAGAAGGTGTGAACTTTAGACATGACACACTCCTGACCCGATTATAGTTAAGAGCAAACTTATGACCCCGAACCTGAGGGCCCCAGTCAAGGTCCCCTTCATGGATCTTAAGAAGGGAAGTTTTTTCTCCCAATTTCACACTGAACAAAAAAAACGCAAAAATATACCTGATAGTCACATCCATTAATCTTCCAAAACAATCAGATGAGTAAATGATCAAAGATTCAAACGTGATGAAAACATATAATCAACTACCCAAAGTATGAAGAAATGGAAACATATTACTAAATGAGGTGAAAACGTGTTGAAATAACAATTACATGTTTTAGACAAAGAGTAAAACAACCAAAAAGAAAAACAAAATAATAATGATAGTCCAGAGAATATTATAATTATTATCATATGAATTTACTACTTGAGTTTTTGTTGGAACTATAACGGGAATAGTAATGCTAAATTTACCATTCCCTATGACTGCAAACATTATACATTCATCACATATATTTTTCACAGTATTTCCTCAACCCTCTGAGGAAATTTTTCACTCCAAATGAAATGGACAAAGTATTCCTGAACATCCCAGTAAGTTTGTTTTCTCGGTCATGCCATAAACATACATTTTCAGTTTCATGATGTGTTTTTTTCCACAGGACCTGGTCAGACTTCACAAGAGCCTGATGGTGGAGGTTCAAGACTCCATTCTGTTTAAAAATGCCTTAAATCTCTATCAGATCTTCATCAGCTACAAAGAAAGGTACAACACATGCTGGACACGCTTCTTTCTATGCTTTTCTCAAATAAGCTACTTTTACAATTGTGAAGAGAGATTGATGATTTTTTGAAGAAAAAGGCCGGTTAGACACACCCACGCTCACCCAGCTGTCTCCTGATTGGGCAAAATGTTTTCAAGTCCTTGATGCCCCTTATCATTGGTTCAACCTTTCTCCTCCACAAAATATCACTAATAGTAGTTATTCCAAGAGGAGAGACTGTTTTAAATGTATTAATGTTTGAAAATACTTACTGTACATGATATTAAAGTGTCCGATTGTCGGAAATATGTTTTTTCGTTAAATTAATTGAATAAATGGAAGTTGCATTACATTACCTTTAATGCCACAGTCCACAGTATATTTTAAACATCTATACATCTTTACATCTAGTCCTTCATATATTTACTGAGCACACACACACACACACACACACACACACAGGTTGTGTTGTTTTTCACACAATATGACACATTTAACACCGTTGAGCCACACCAAAGCAATGAACAATAAATACATTAAAACACTGGTCAAGATAACACAATAACAAAGGCAAAAAAGATCAAAACAAGATTAATTCCAGTGAATAAAGGTGATAATAAAAGACAAATGATTATTATATTTTTTACAAATTATAAAAAAATATTTGACCTTTCCTTTTGATCATTTGAAAAACTGTGTGATAACTACCATTGCAATAATTAGTTCACACATTCATTCACAATACTATAGTGTTGTATGGCTCAATAATGAATTATTATTTCACGACATAATTTAACTTCAAAGATTTCTTTCTCTGTTATTTCTGGTCCATAGGCTGCTCATATATGGGATCTACTGCAGTCGTGTGGAGATCGCCATCGCTATGTTAGACCTCATCTCTAAAGAGAAAGAGGACGTGCGTCTGAAACTAGAGGTACTGTAAGAGACAATGTTCAGGGCAAAACCAAAGAGCTGGAAGATTGACAATATGGAGATTGACTCACTCTCTCTCACACACACACACACGGACACGCACACGTACTCGCACAGATATATGACACAAGCCCAGACACTCTCTGACCCTACACCGTTCCCCTTGTACTTGCTGTGTGCTGAAGGCCTCTCTCTCTCTCCTCCACGTACTTCTTTAAAAAAAATACAATCAGGTTTGAAAATGTTCTGTTTTTCCCATCAACTGTATATTGATACCCTCGATACTCAATGAAGCCCAACAGGGAAGTGCTCATGGACAAAGTTTTGCTCCAACTCCTATTAGCTTATGTCGAAAAGTGAACGCCTCTAGCTCAGTAACTGTTTGTGTCACACTCACGATTTTATGCTTAAAAAATCCATGTCGATACTGTCTTTGTATGCCTTCATTCTCGAGGGGGAAAGACCAGTTTGCCTTAGCAACCATTTTACCAGTATGTCTTTCCCCGTTATGCCATGAAGCTAATGCTGTTGGAAAAATGCCCATACAAGGAAATTGGCTCCAACTAGCTTATGTTCAAATCAGCTTCTTCCTCATTAACGCTAACGCTATGGTGACGCCGGCGCTCGGACAGTCCACTCCTAATACAAGGTCTGTGGATCATCCGTTCCAAAAAGTAACTCCTCACACAGAGATACACCTTGATTATAAAGTAGTTCTACATTTTAGGTACATACACTATTCTGTTTCCTCTTTGTCCGTAGTCATGGTGAGCATCTCTAACATTTCTCGTTCCAGGAATGTGCAAAAAGGGCCAACAATGGAAAGTTCACGCTCAGGGATTTGCTGGTGGTGCCGATGCAGAGAGTTTTAAAATACCATCTCCTTCTACAGGTAACAGAAAGCATAACAAATAGTGACATTCTTGTGCCGTGTAGGTTTACCCCCATGATTCACATTCTTTTTCCACATCCAAACTTCACCAATGCCATAGCTACTGTATATCAGCCACATACAGTAATGACCAGGTAAAACAAAGGTGGCCCAGTATCAGTCTGCCCCCAGTGGTCTGTATATGTATTACCCTATTATTGTATCCACGTCTGTTTTATCCATACTATTTGCTTAGATCAAGTGTGCCCAATATTTTTATATTAGTAAAGACCAGTTCATTAGATCCGGGGCTAACAGCATGGATTGTAGAAATGTTTGGACTGGATTCAGGAAGTTCTGAGCTTTATATTATGTGATCATATTGATTCACAACACAGCTACATTGGCACCATATATGGACTTTTTTGACACAATCAAAAACAAATACAAAACTGTTTACAACTGGATTCCAGCTGTACTGAGATTTACAATGAGGTATAGAAGGACTTTTTTGGTTGAGCTGAAGTTGGCTGGATGACACTGGAAGTACCTCAATGGGTTAATTTTGTTAAGGGATCCTTGATCCGTCCCACATTGGGGAAATGTCAGTGTTGCGTCACAAGTTACAGAACAGAATGAGGACCATATAAGACAAGATGAGGGAACATTAATTAAAGCACATCTCTATACAGGACAAAGAGGGCCGCATTTGGCCCGCGGGCCTGAGTTTGGAATTCACAATGGGTATGAATGTAAATGACAGAGTGAATGGATGGTATTGATTGGGGGCTGATGCTGATGAACTCTGAACATTGTAAAGCGCTTTGGGTGACCTTGGACTGTAAAATGCGCTATATAAATAAACATTACTTACTTACTTACTGACTAGATAAATATCAGTCATTCTAAAAATGAGGTATATTATCTATTTCTTAATTAGTAATATGGTATTCTCAATTTTCATGTTTTACGTTTTTGGGTATTTTTTATCATTTGTGGTGATATTTTGTTTTAGTCATCTACACATTTAGATCTACACATTGCAAATAGAAGTGTGAGGCTAGATTTTTTTACAATCAATCTTCAATAAACAAAATAAATGACTGTATATCCAAAAGTTAGTTAAGCCAATTAGGGTTGGAGGTAGTTAAAATATTTTCTAACTATACGTACAATAGTTTCCTATATCAAATTGTTCAATAAGATTGATAATTTGTTACAGTGTATATTACAAACCATCGTCAGAGTTGGTCATGTTGATGTGTATAAATGGCCACTAGAGGGCAGTGTTATCCACATATTCCCATTCAGGATGTCCTCTAACTACATCTCAGTGATACCGAACCTGCTCGTCTCACATAAACCAAATCCCAATGGACATTTGCCTTCTCTTAACATTCATTTAAGACCATTACCCTTTCATCTTTTACAATGTCAAAGATTTCCTGGATGTATTTCATCATCAGGCATGGCCAGAACAGAGAAAAACTGATTTGATTTTTTCATGCAGGTATTATGTCTTTTCCATTACATCGCATGAATATGTTGGTATACTCAATACGTCTTACCAAACCATAAGCACACGTGTTTTTAGCACCACTCAATTTAATTTAAAGGTACGTTTAAAAACAAAAGTTAACCACAACTCAAGCTGTTGCCAATGCCTGAACATAAGTCACTGCTGCTGAGGCTGCACATAAATGTGAAACTCAGTCCATAATACAAATTCCTTCTGTAAGTCAACTTACAATGTGAAAGTAATTTCTGTCGCAAAGGGAGATATGCCTAGACTCTCTTTGTTATGTTGATAATTTGAAGATAATATAAGACATCCTTCATTTCAATGTTGCAGCGCACATACAGGACAGTAAGAGCACACAGGGAGCACAAAAATATACAATATGAGTAGCTGCTATGTGTCTTAGCTAGCAGTAAATGCTTCAGCTATAAAAAAAAAAAACACATACAATGAACTATAAGCCATAATCGTCAACATCATAACAAACAGAGGCTTAGAATATATCACTTTGCATTTAATTAGTATTCATCATACATCATCAGGAATATATGAACTTTTACACAATATTCTAAATTCCCAAGTTTCACCTGTATGTTGGTCTGTCTTATGAGCTGTAGGTGGTAAGGTAAAAAAATCAATCAAAATTGGTGTCGCTGTGATTTGAATCTAATCTTGTATACTTTGGTTCAATTAATCCAATCCAATCCAATCCACTTTATTTACATAGCACATTTCATAAACACAATTTCCAAAGTGCTGCACAATAAAATACTAAATAAAACAAATCCATTGTAAAACAGTAAAATAATAAAAAATCAAATATGAAAAACAGTGTGTGCATATATGTATAAATATAAAAAATAACAAAAGAAAAATGAAATGAAATAAAATAAAATAAAAATGAAAGGACCATTCAACTCACGCAGTGTTAAAAGCCAGAGCATAAAAATGGGTCTTAAGACGAGACTTAAAGCACTCCACAGAAGGAGCAGTTTGGATATGGGGGGCAGAGCGTTCCACAGCTTTGGTCCAGCCACAGAGAAGACCTTGGATTTTAAGTCTCGTCCTCGGTAACACGAGCTGGAGCTGGCCCTCGGACCTCAGCGTGCGGGGCAGATGGTAAATTTGGATGAGGTCCGAGATGTGAGGTGGGGCCAGTCCATTCAAAGCTTTAAAAACAAACAATAACATTTTAAAATTGATTCTAAAATGAACAGGAAGCCAGAGCAACGATGCTAGAATTGGTGTAAGCTAATCGAGCCTTCTGCTTCCTGTTAAAAGTCGTGCCGCTGAGTTTTGGACCAACTGCAGACGGGAAAGTGCGTTTTGGAGGATGCCTTCATAAAGTGCATTGCAATAGTCCAGGCGTGAAGAAATAAAAGCATGCAAGACCTGCTCAAAAAGATATAAAAGGTTTAACCTTAGATAAAAGTCGCAAATGATAAAAGCTTGATTTTAAAACGCGATTAATCTGCTTATCAAGTTTAAAATCACTGTCTAGGATGACGCCAAGGGTGGTGACTATGGGGCGCACATGGTCCTTTAAGGGCCCCAAGTCGATGAGGGGGGCGCTAGGGCAAAACAAAATGACCTCCGTCTTACTTTCATTTAGTTTAAGAAAGTTTTGGGCCAACCAATCCTTGACGTCACTTAGACAGTTGAGTAGGGGTGTCAGGGGGCTGTGATCATCTTTTTTCAATGCATTGTTATTCACAAGCCATACTCCTTTTGTTCCCCTGTCTCATAACGTGATGTGAATCCTCAGCTCTGGTGTTTTGTGCGAAAAATAAATCCTGATAAACACGTCCATATGTCTAAACACTCAGAGCAGACACAGCTGCATTCACAAGTATAATATGCACCAATCTCTTTCTCCCCTCTTTAGTTCTCCCTATGTTTCCATCTGTTCATTTTCTCTATCCGCAAATTCAAGTAAAGCAAATCTTGTTAGGAGATCTGGATGAAATTGACGAGCCATATACTGTTTTTGCGCTCAAGCGGACAGTCTTTGTGTGAACTTCTTGTTTCAGGTCAGAGATTTGGGGTCAGAGAGCTGTTATGTACGGAGACGTTTTACAGTTTTCAGCGGGAGTAGCTGACTTCACTGTTTTATTGGGATATTCTTTAAGTCACTGGGTTTTTCTCCACGTCATATCATATTTGGTCCCACAACTTTCCCGTTTTATGTTCCCAGTGAAATAAAAAATGAAAAAAGTCAAATACGGAAAATAAATTGCAAAATACAGGATATTCTTAACCCTTCATGACCTCTATTCATGCACCTTCACTACCCATAACACACCAGTCCATGCACTCGTTCTTCATGTGATTGTAAAGATAGTTAAGTATAGATAGTTTTGGAAGATAGATATTTCCAAAACCATTTTAGGGAAACTGCTTTTTCTGCTATTTTTGTTTTATAGGCACCTGTTCTGAGTAGTAGTAGAATTTTCAATTTTGTGGGATGTATAGGTGAGAGTAGGCCAAGGTTTGGTGTGGGTGTGTGTGGGGTAATTACATTATACAATTCCAGGATTGGGACAGGAGCTTTTAGACAGAAGGGGTGGGATGTATGTTTGTGCGAAAGTTTGGGAACATCTGGACTAGAGCCCGAAAACAACAGTGGTAGAAAGGCATGGCAAGTTCATTTGTATTGCACAGTCCATACACAATGCAACTCAGTTTTTTATAAAACAATATAGAAATAAGAGACACAATCCTTCCGTTGTATGCACAGCTAAACAGAACTGCTTTTAACCTGTCATTTTCCGGAAAACTGTTCCAGATTTTAGCAGTGTAAATCTGAAATGCTGCCTCCCCATGTTTAGTTCTGACTAGGCCATGGAGAGACTGCTTGAGAAGTGTTATTGAAGGCATCCAAATCAAAACATTTGGTCGTCAATTCAGTGTTCAAAAAACTTAACTTTGACTTGTTCTTGTTTGTCAAAAATTACCCCCCTTGCAAGTTCAGAGAATCTAGGTCCTGCTCATTGTTGACTTACAAGAATATATATAGGACAGTCAGCTTCGATCACTATATATCTTATACATCCCATATCTCCTTTCCTTTCTCCATCTCTCAGTCCTCCTGGCTTTACCGCTCCTCCACTGTGCGCCTCATAATTAAAACGGCGGCGCAGACCTCGAGAGACTGGACAGATTTCATCAACAGATTGGTGCCTGTGTGCACGTTACACTTCAAACAATAGCGTCTGCAAAGTTGATTAATCCGGCAGACGTGCACGGGATGCCATTTCCATTTCTCTAAAGCAAATACAGTTTTTTAGTTGAAAGTTCTTTGGACTAGTGCAGTGACAGTGGCTCAGGTAGAGAGTGACCTGCAACTGTTATTAGTCTTACAATGGGTTTAGTTAGAATAGAATAAAGCACTCAAAAAAGATGATTAGATTAGATTAGAGACTCTTCATCTACACTGTCTGCTACCTGCCTGTTGCCATGGAGATATTATGGCATTCCGCAGTCAAACGGTCAGCACAAGATCATACGGAATCGGGACGGAAGCGGAAGTAAATATAACAAACTACTGTACCTATTCATGCCTAAACTTAACCAGCCATTCTGTCACTTCCGGTTTCGTCCGGATTCCGTATATAATCTAGTGCCGACCATTATTTCATTAGTAATATTAAAACTGCCCAACTCTCAATTATTACATTGGGTCAGCTCTCCTTTCTGGAGATATGACTTGTAATTTATAATCTTCCCCAGGTGTCCAGAACAAATATCTTCTTATTGAATCCTTGTGGGGAAAATAGGTTTGATTTAAATTATTTTTAAGATATAACTACCACCTGAACATGTACCGTACCTGGACTAATAGTTACTTTTATTCAATATATATTTTAGTGCTGTCCCATAAGGATACGTGGTGTTATGCCGTCCTCTAGTGGGCGCATATAGAACTGCATATTTTGTCGTTTTTATTTTAAAACATATCTTCTACCTTTGTAAAAGAGCATATGCATGTAAGTTGATATTTTTAGGATTTATTTTATCACATCTTGTTGTTTATGAACATATTAATTTGAGAATGTTCTTGTTTTTGTATTTCTAGCATGCTAGCCGTTGCTAGCTAGCTTAGCCCGTTTTTCTGTTGTTTCATGACCATTGCCAATTTATTTAAAGTTGTTGCTATTGGCTATCAGCTTTTAGATAGTATTTCTATGTGCCCTTTTTTTCTTATATGAAGAGACTTATGCTTGCTGCGTATGTTCACAGTTTACACAAGAGAGTCTGGCTGCAGACTCCCACCCTCGCAGACCTCCCTGTTCAGCCCTCTCCTTCAGGAGGCCCTGACTTCTCTCCGTTTAGGGAGACCGGTTTTGACCCGGACAGTGAGGAGCAAGACAACATATTGGAGCCCTTGTGGATAAAAGGGGTTATGTTAAATGTTCAGTATTGCATCACAGGTTACAGAACGGAAAATAAAAAATGTGTGTAGACCTGTAGGTCAAGCTAACTCTTATTCCTCTAGAATTTAATAGAAAAGAAATATTGGGTACCTATGTAACTTTAATGCTGTTGCGAGAATAATATAGATGAATGGAATAAGCATCCAGAAGTTGCAGCTCTTTATTATAATAAAGCCATGGTATCTCCTACCATATATATTGTCTTTTTGACGTGTTTTCATGTTCTATACCACGGGTGACATATAGATGGCGCCCTTTGGCATCCCAAATGCCCAGATGAAAACGGCGATGCTCATATACATAATACCTGGTCACAATTTGTGGAACAAACGTCACTATTTTTGTTTGTTACAAAATATATACTATATGTTATATTGCTTATACTTAAGCACTGACCCGTGCTTAATACTATAAAAGTGCTTAATACTTTTGTGTTAAAATTCAAACATGTACTTCAAAATGGCAAAGGTAATGAATATTCTGACGTGTAAAGCTGAGGAGCCTTATCTAGAAGGAATAGATATTGCTCCTCTGTACAGCGCACCAAACATACGTAGTCTTCACTTTAAGCCTAGTGTATAGTCGCGCTGCGCTTACGGTGGTGACGTGACGTCACTTGCGCAAAATTTCTAATTTAGGAAACTCCTGGGAGTTCGCCATCACGTGGTTGATTGTGGGATTACAACATTCTCTTCAAAACTCTGCAAGGGGAACGCGCAACTGTACCACCAACTGTGGTTATGTAGGTCCAACGTAACCGCAACCAGCGCCGCGCGAGTGTACACAGGCCTTTAGTTCCCCCACTGCCATTGTTGTATACGTTTGTTCTTGGCTACAGCACATACGTCCAAATGTATGTGCGGGGAAGTGGTGAGGTCATAACAGGAAGAGAATTCACACCTTATTCTTCACACTGCTGTGAAACAGCCCCCCGCCACACAGCGTGGAGGTTGTATCTCAACACGTGTGTTTTCACCCCCCTGAAGCACCGTCTTCATGGTAACGAAACGCCAATCCGATACCCAACATTTTTACTTTTCCACCATATGTATTAAAGGTTTTATTTTTTACTTTTATTAACTTTTACGCAATCCTAAAAGCTGTAAATATTACTTTAAAAACATAAAAACAGTTTGTTGAAAAGGCTTACGGCCCCTACACATGTCACGCCTCATTTGAAGCAGAAAGATACGCGTCCTCAGCACTACGCTGAGGACATTAGAAGGAAGACAGGCAGGTTTGACAGTGATTCTGCACACTGTCATTTTTTCTTTCATAATTTCTCAGGTCTGACCATACCAGCCCACAGAGACCATGAGTACAAACACATACATCTGACTTTTGCTGTTGTACATCTGTCCACTGGCCTGTGCTGGCCTGTACTGTCCTCTACACTTCTCAATAGTGTCACTATTTGAGGCTTTGGGCTGAAAGCTGAATGGTTGAGTGAGCTTTTGTTTGAACTTTTCTGTCTGATGAAGATGATCTAAGGATGGGAAGTGTGAGATTTCATAACACTTTTAAGCAACTTTTGTTGAGGTTAAACTCATCATTCTATCAATGTGCAGAAGCCAGTACTTTTCCACTTCATGTTTTGTCTATCTGAAGGCCAAGCTACATGGCACCGTGGAAGCTGCTGATTGGAGGTCTCCATGCCTCCGCTCTGTATAATACACTTGCATTCTGTTGTATCTGTTGTTCGTGCCGTCTCTACCATCGACAATAAAACATGTCTTCTGTCGGAATTTAAGACGCGATCCCAGACTTTGTCATCTTCTTCAGAAGCCCAACATACAGGCATGTGAAAACTAGTGATTGCATACATTTAGTTGTGGATGGAAAGTCTGGTACCTCAGCTTTAATATGGTACTAAGCGCCTTCTTTCTTATCTGCTCTTCTCTCCACCAGGAGCTCGTGAAACACACTTATGACGCGGGTGAAAAAAACAACTTGAAAATGGCCCTTGATGCCATGAAAGTAAGTACCGTTTGTGGAAATTACTTGTTATCTTGTGATTTGAGGTTGTTATCTCTGATTTTCCCGGAGTACTTCCAAACGCTGACAGACACTTGTATTTGTGTCAAAAATATAATCGTCCTTTGCAGAATAAAACAGTGAGACTCGCCTGAGCTCCAGTTAGTTCATTTGACTGATTTGCCTAACCGAGCTGAACTGTTCCAGACATACAGGTTATAAACTTTATGTGTAGTTTATAGTTTATAAGAGGTAGCTGTGCAGATAGATAGATACTTTAATCATCCCCCATAGGAGAAATTCAGGAGTGTAGGTGCAGAATGGAGATGGTCTGGATCATTCAAAAGTCTCAACTCAATTCAATTCTTGGAGGACCTTACAAAGTTGTAGATTCACCAACAACAAATCAGAGAATCAAACAGCTCGAACACAAGAAATGCAATAATAACACATACAGGAGGTAGGGGCGACAGTGCCTCAGTTGGTAGAGACTTCAGGCCCGTTGTGGGTTCGAGCCCACCGCAAGACCTACTTTACGACTCCCACTGATGTCTGCTGTCATTGTGTCCTTGAGCAAGACACTTAACCCCACTTTGCCTGAAGCCCCCACTGAAAGATCAAGGCTCCTGTGGAAGATCAGTGAGGGGCTAGTGCTATGTGTACTGGGTGCAGCTCTGACTGCCAACCCCCGACCCAGAAATGGATTATGGCCCTCAGAATTTTCTTTTTTCTTTTTGCTGTTTCCTTATTATTTCCAGTCAAAACACACATTCTTTGATGAATCTTGACAAGTTCGAACTCGCAATTCACTTTATTCCAAGTCCTTGGAAGTTGTTGTGAAACTTGCCTCAGCTGTAAAAGATGATTGTGAAAATTCAATAATACAGCGGTCTCCTGTCTCTCAGATGCTGCCCAAGGACACCAGTGTTTGTTTGATATACTTACGAACATTTATTTCTGCACAATGGGAGAATTTCAATGTTATAACACACATTACAAAGAATAATTTACACAAAAAGCAAGACAAATAGCTGTAAATATTTAGATAATATCTTGTTGTGTTATGCTAACCCTAACCCTAACAACAAAAATAGAAATTTCGACAGAATTTAGAAGCTGATTTTCCTCTACTCTGTGCACTAGATTGTTATCCCTGATTCATCAAAGGCCAAAACCACAGCTTGAAAAACAGTTTACCTATTTTTCTGGACTCCAGATTGTCAAGTGCAGTTACATAAATCGATTAGTTGTTTAAACTCAACTGGCTGAACCTGCTTTTGAACCATGTTTTCCTACTTTAGTCCTTATAGAATGTATTCAATATGAGGCCATATTTTCATAATGATTCTTTGTAACTATTAAAAATGTAAAAGTAAATTCAATTCAATTTATTTGTGTATAGTCCTAAATCCCAACAGCAGTCATCTCGGAGGACTTAGCAAAGTTACAAAGATACAATAATAAACACACAGGAGCCATTGGTCCATAGGAAGCTCATATTATTCAAAGGCATTAAAAAAAATTAGGAAAAAAGTCTGCTCAACTCAAATGTCACATTTATAATGATCTGCACATTATAACTGAAGTGAAAAACTTAGGAGGGCAGTGCAAAAACGTTTTCCTTGAACATTCAGGACACAGGACCTTGCAGGACAAGACATCATCATTCTCTGAAAAGACTACTCTCACATGAATGCTGAGCTCCCAGCCCAGAACTGAAATTATTCAAATACAATAGAGTAACAAAAAGCCGACATAAACACAAAAACACGAAAGTGAAACAGATAATTATTTAACTAAATATTGCAATACTGCATTTTAATAACGCACGCAATACTGAATGATTTGGTTCCTTTATGCAACAGGGTTCGGGTTATCAAAAAACCCCACCCCAAAAAAACAGTTTGATATAAAATTCCAAAATGTTAAGTCTGAGATAATGCACATAAGACATTCAAAGATCAGATGTCTCCATGTCAGCTTGTTTGTAACTGCTCACATTTGGGTGAACTCTGGAACCTATAATGTAGTTTTTTTAACTGAGGTGAACTTTTAAAAATATTGTATGTGTTTTTTGTGAAGGATTTGGCTCAGTATGTGAACGAGGTGAAGAGGGACAATGAGACTCTGAGGGATATCGACCAGTACCAGCGATGCATCGAGAACTTGGTAATGGATTAAAATCTCTTATTACTAAGTACATTGTAACAAGCCACAACTATCCATCTGCATACTATTACTAATAGTATTACTAATAATTACTTCCAAATTATTGGAAACAGGAACATTACATACAATAAATATGACTTTCTCATACCTTTTATTGTGTTTTTTAATGTAAAAAAAACTCATAAAACCCCTATGTTTTCACACTTTCAGTCAAGCACACAAGTGTTTTAAAGGTGTGAAATCTGTAAATACTTTGTTTTTACATTTTTCAGAACCAGTCTCTAATTGTTTACGGCCGTCCCAAAGGAGACGGAGAGGTGCGACTGGTCTCAAGTGTGGATAAGAGGAAACAAGACAGGTGAATAAAAAAATAACCCTTTTATATTTTAAATCAAAGCTTTTTAGGAGATTTTCATTGAATTGAAACAATAGTTTGAAACATATTTATTAACATGGACATTGGTTATCCAATGTGTGTTTGTTTATTATTGCATTTCCTGTGGTTGAACTGTTTGATTCTCGGATCTGCTGTTGGAGAATCGACAACTTTGTAAAGTCCTTTGAGGCGACTGCTGTTGTGATTTAGGGTTATACAAAAATACATTTAATTGAAGTTTAGGGCTGGAGTTTTATGTAGGAGTTAAAATGACTTGAACTCTGAATATTTTAATCTCATTATAGTAATATTATAGTTCACATTGTGCTCGTGTCCATGGGCAAGACACTACACTCATAACCGCTTTGATCTTTTATGTAATCACACAGCAAGGCACTTTCAAATACATAACATATGCCACCAAAAGCATATCTGTATCTGTTCTCTAATTAACAAGAAAACGTGACAATCCCCAACTTCAGACTGTGCATTTGAAAGTTCCGGCTCACCAGTTTGCTCAAAGGAAATGTTAACTTTGCACAGTTAATTGCATTGCATCTATAAACATGAGATTTTCCACAGAAAGTACTCTATAAAATTCCCAATTATATAACACCAACTGCTTTTAGGTTCACTTTGGTAGTTCTCGCATTTCAAACTAAACATTCACTGATTGGGATTCTTTTAATTTGAGCTGAGAAATATATGATGAAGCAAAGTTATCAGCTCAATTCAAGTCAACTTTTTGTCTTATGGAATGTACATATGCAAAACTCTGCAGCTTGATTCCGAACTAGAACCAGGAAGAGATGAGATAAGATAAGATAAGATAAAAGTACAAAGGACGTACAATCACATTAGTCCAGCTCTCAGGTCTCTGCACTGGCTTCCTGTGGCTCAGAGAATAGAAGTCTCTGCTTGATCTATTTATTGTCCCGACGTCCAACAGTGTTATTTACAGAGAAGTGACTAAAATATATATGTACATAGTTACACAATTAACAGCAGCAACAACAAAAACATACAATTCAAACACACAAGATAAGAGAATCTTTCAGATATTTCCCACAGTGGGGAAATATCTGAGCTGTTACCAAGTAAAACGTGAGAAAGAGATAAGTAATTATATTTATAAGTTAAACAGAAATTTGATAATTGACACAAAAAGTCTAACACTTATAGTATAGGTAATAAAAATAATTACAATAATGCATCGGTTTTACTCAAAGACTCAAAGACTTCACATGTAAGTGTTTCTTCACTCCATACACTGTGTTGATAAACTACTACTGTAGCCACAGCTGCCCTGGGGCATACTAACAGAGGCGAGGCAACCAGTGTGTGCCATTGGCACCTCCGACCGCCATTCACACACACACCAGACTCATTCTCGGCAATGTGGGTGAAGTGTCTTGCCACACAACAACAGCTTGGCATTTAACAGCCACTTTACCACCTGGTGTTCCCAGAGGTCTCCCATCACAGTACTATCTAGGCCCTGCCCTGCACAACTTCAGAGGTCACACTTGCATGCGATAATAGTGGTAATTGTGTCAAAAAAAGTATTCTGAACATGTAGCTCCAATATTTTCTACAGCACATCTATCAGCGACAGCAGTATTTCAGATCAGAGTCATGGATAGAAGATAGAGTCCGTGACGTCTCTCCCCTCAGTGGAAACTTTCCTTGTAACCTCATCACAGCTGACCACACCTTACACACTGTATGCCATCACAACATTTATTAGAGGATTGGGTAACTTTCATTTGCCACTTAACACCAGCTCTCCTGCTTCCTCTCAAGACTCCGGCATCACCACACGTGAAACATAATCCATCTCAATGCATTTTAATATGATCGCTTTACGGGAACGCTTTCCATACAAGAGCCGCGAGCAACCAAATCAAATTCCTCAACAATCAGACTGGAAAAAAAAAATTACACGTGCCTCAAATCCGGGCTGTTTCCAATCTTAGGCTCTGCAATGAATTACAGTGAGCCGTACAAATTGTCTCATATTTGCTATTATTTATCATGAATCATACATGGCTCTCATCCATCAAGTACAGGCGGCAGACCAAGAAATATGTATCTTTTTATGGGATATTAAGCGCGTTTTGTAAGCTAAAGTAATTATGCAAAATACCACTCATTAATCATGCAGGCCAAACTAAAATGACATTGTTATGGTTATGTTAAATGTGGTAGTTTTTAATGTATGCATACTGCTATCATTAAAACGGGCTCATGTGTTGCAGGCATATTTTCCTTTTCGACATAGCTGTAATAATTTGCAAAAGGCGAGGATACAACTATGAGATGAAGGACGTCCTGGATCTGAACTTCTACAAGGTCACAAACAACCCCACGGCTGACAGAGAGGGGAAAAAGGTACAATGTTGTTTTTCTTTAGCTTTTTCCATTCTTACTGCTCAGGTCTAGTCGGGTGATAGTCAGTGATAGTCTAGGCTTGTTAGATATGGTTGGGGTGGGAAGATTAAGTGTAAGTGTGTGTAACTTTGAAAAAATATCAATAGAATGTGTTTGTTTTATTAAAAATGTATACCAACAAAATTTAAATTGTGAATTTTTTACCCATATTCTTGTGCATAGCTGTTAGCGGGGAATCAATGTATCCAAAAGCCGCGTCTATGCTCAAAAGCAATTGATGTACAACTTTGAGTAATACAATGCCCATTATTACATTGTTTTGAATCTCATTTTTACATTGTATGTCACTTTTTAAATCTGAATGCAAAGTCCTGGCTTCACACTGAACTATTTTCCATTGTGGAGAGCCACCTGCTGCTGCTTACCATAATGTTTTATTCTGTTACCTATTTACCAATAGAAAGCACCAGTGATGGATTGCTTTGCCTGCACACGTGTGACCGGCTTAGTAGATACAGTAGCCTTCCAATAATACATCTCCCTTTAACCACACTAGCACGATGCTGGAAAGACATGCTAATAACAGCTGATAAATGTGCACGCTCCTCCAAGGCTGCCTGAAGCGATAGATCATTTTGTACTAAATGAAACTTCAGCCGGAGCACCCACACTCTCATCAATGATTTAGCACTAGCCGCAGCTTTAAAACACTTTTCCACAGCTCGGCCAATCAGAGACAAGCATTTCCCACTTATGGCGCACGACATGACGAGCCCGGGCAGATTAGCGAGGTGGGAAAGTCAAGAGATTTGAGAATTGATTGAAAAATGATCCATAAAACAGCGCCACAGGCAAGGTGTTTCTGCAGCCGCCTTAGAGACATGCAGAGGCAAGGAACTGGTGGTATCAAGACACTTAGTATCTGTAGAAAAAGCAGTGAATAAATATTCTACATTCCTTAAGTATATCAAAAAAAGTTTGTCTTTGCAATAATGGCAAGTTTGATGTCCATGTTGCAGTGATGTGCAATAATATCTAGTATTTGTATTTATATCTAAAAGTCATGTGTTTCTACTTTTTTACTTTGACCAATCACACGCGACCTTAGATGCACACCCCTAAAAGTCCTGCTCTGTCATTGGTCAGAGCGAGCGCACAAACTCACGTGGCTGAGTGATAGATCTAAGTGCAAATGAGAGCAACTAACAACTTATTCCTAAAAATACACTACAGTTCCAAAACGTGGGACTTTGGCTTCAGGAGAAATGACAGAAGCAGACGCAGAGAGGAAAAAACAAAGTCAAAGATCATATATCGTTATTACATTTATGGAAAATGCAATATTGTGTTGATGTGTTGATATTGTATTGATGTGCAATAGTGATATTGCAAAGATGCATAACAATTTTCTGCTATAGGGCGACAGACTCTTACAGTGGCTCAAGGGAACAAAATACAAGAAGAGCAAAGGCTGCAGTTCCGACATACGTATAGGACGAAGTTCAGACGAAGAGGAAACGAAACAGTAGATCAGCCTAAATTTAGAACTTTTAAAGTATATATTGTTATTGAAGTCCAGTTCTACCAATCCCCTTTTGCCATAAATGCAGTATTTGTGTTGTGACTGAAAAAAGAGTAGGCTGAGCTCATTGTTGCAGTAAAATATTTATAATGATTCTATACAACGGTAAAAACATTTGAATTTGAATATTACATTTTTCTCCCTCTAATACATAGAGGTTTGTATTTTGTATTTTGATTTTGTCTTGGATTTTTCTTCCTTATGTTGTCAGTGGTGCTATGGGTTCTATGTGACCCATCTGCAGGGCCACACGGGCTACGAGCTTTTCTTCAAGACCAGAGAGCTGAAGAAGAAGTGGCTGGACCAGTTCGAGATGGCCATGTGAGTACTGCGATCTGTAAACCGAGCGACAGTATATACAGTGGGGCAAAAAAGTATTTAGTAAGCCACCGATTGTGCAAGTTCTCCCACTTAAAATATAGACAGAGGTCTGTAATTTTCATCATAGGTTCACTTCAACTGTGAGAGACAGAATGTGAAAAAAAATCCAGGAATTCACATTGTAGGATTTTTAAAGAATTTATTTGTAAATTATGGTGGAAAATATGTATTTGGTCACTTCAAACAAGGAAGATCTCTGGCTCTCACAGACCTGTAACTTCTTCTATAAGAAGCTCTTCTGTCCTCCACTTGTTACCTGTATTAATGGCACCTGTTTGAACTTGTTATCTGTATAAAAGATACCTGTCCACAGCCTCAAACAGTCAGACTCCAAACTCCACTATGGCCAAGACCAAAGAGCTGTCGAAGGACACCAGGAAAAGAATTGTAGACCTGCACCAGACTGGGAAGAGTGAATCTACAATAGGCAAGCAGCTTGGTGTGAACAAATCAACTGTGGAAGCAATTATCAGAAAATGGAAGACGTACAAGATCACTGATAATCTCCCTCGATCTGGGGCTCCACGCAAGATCTCATCCTGTGGGGTCAAAATGATCATGAGAACGGTGCTTAAAAATCCCAGAACCACACGGGGGGACCTGGTGAATGGCCTGCAGAGAGCTGGGACCAAAGTAACAAAGGTTACCATCAGTAACACACTACGACGACAGGGAATCAAATCCTTCAGTGCCAGACGTGTCCCCCTGCTGAAACAGTGCATGTCCAGGCCCATCTGAAGTTTGCCAGGGAGCACATGGATGATACAGCAGAGGATTGGGAGAATTTCATGTGGTAAGGGGACACATGAATGTCTGCTAAGGGGACAGGACGACTGATCCGTGTTAAGGAAAGAATGAATGAGGCCATGTATCGTGAGATTTTGAGCCAAAACCTCCTTCCATCAGAGAGAGCTTTGAAGATGAAACGTGGCTGGGTCTTCCAGCATGACAATGATCCCAAACACACCGCCCGGGCAAGGAGTGGCTCCGTAAGAAGCATTTGAAAGTTCTGGAGTGGCCTAGCCAGTCTCCAGACCTCAACCCCATTGAAAATCTGTGGAGGGAGTTGAAAGTCCGTGTTGCTCGGCGACAGCCCCAAAACATCACTGCTCTCGAGAAGATCTGCATGGAGGAATGGGCCAAAATACCAGCTACTGTGTGTGCAAACCTGGTAAAGACCTATAGTAATCGTTTGACCTCTGTTATTGCCAACAAAGGTTATATTACCAATTTTTGAATTTTTGTTATTGACCAAATACTTGTACTTATTTGGTAATATAACAAAGGTTATATCAAATTTTTTTGAATTTTTGTTATGACCGAATATTTATTTTCCATCATAATTTACAAATAAAATCTTTAAAAATCCTACAATGTGAATTCCTGGATTTTTTTTTCATATTCTGTCTCTCACAGTTGAAGTGTACCTATGATGAAAATGACAAACCTCTGTCATTATTTTAAGTGGGAGAACTTGCGCAATCGGTGGCTGACTAAATACTTTTTTGCCCCACTGTAACTAACTCTAAGTGCTGGATCCCACTGTCGTTGGCTGCTGCCCGTCAGACGTCCGTAAAACGGAATAGTGGCCACACCGGCTTAAGCAGCGCGCAGCTCTGGCTGTGCTTTTATCAGCACCCCGTAAGGCTTTGTTTTAAATAGAAGAAGCGGTGTATGATTTGCATGAGCTGTGGCTATGATCAATGCAAAGCACGGCATAATGAAGCATCAAGGACGTTGCGATGGATGAGGCAAAACTTATTGAAAGCAATTGGAAAAAGGGGAGAGAGAAAAGAGAAAAGATCTCCAACATATCCAGTTTTGTGAGATCTGTCTTTCATAAGTGAAGTAGCTCTGTGGGTAATGTGTGTGTGTGTGTGTGTGGGAGTGCGCGGCGCCTTGGAGGTAGACGTGGACAGAGCGAGAGCAAAAAGAGCAAGGTGTATGTAAAGTTTAGCATATTAACATTACGCGAAAAATAAATAGTAGATTTACAATCAGGAAACAATCATTTCAATTTAATACATGAAAATGAATTACACACATTTGTTAATAATCATTGTCATTAACAAACGCTTATAACCAAAGACTACAGCAGATATCATTACATGTATTATAATGTAGTAATTATATTTTTCCATTGTATTTCCAATGGAAAACGGACCAGACACGCAACGTACGTAAAATATAGGATTATTTCTATTTCGTCCGTCCACATCCGTTGCACCCCGCGTGGACGGACTGCTCCCTACGCGCGTCATACGGACGGATGTCGCGGGCAGTGGAGCCACTTCCAAACGGAAATGAAACGAACACGTTTGGACGGATATGTAGTATCCGTGGAGTATGGGCCTAACCCTACACTTTTAGTTTAGTTCTATGTTATCTCAAACAATGCCTAGTGGACCAATATTATGTTCATATACCATTTATAGAAGGAAAGCAGCAGATGATGCAGTTTTAAGCAGAGTGGATTAAACATGACTTTAAGGGACTACAGGTGTAAATTACCACTGCTGCTACAACCTGGTACAATGCATCTCTCCTTTTTGGCTAAAGTTTATTGTACACTGTCCCTGTAAAAATAAAAACCATACCAAGCAGTTGCATGGTCTCCAGTCCAGGAGAAATGGCCCTGTCCTTATATATTGCTCTTCCGACCTGGCATCAGTCTCTGAAGCACAATGAGATTCACCCACACTTCATCACATGGGCAATGTCATTCATTGGTCAGTTACTACAAGAAGAAACATATGTCACACTTTCACAACTGATCACACCAAAAAAGGTTACTCAAGGATGGCAGGCAGAGGACATTGTCCTCATCCAAGATCTCTTCTTCCATATGATAAGGGAAACAGTCACATCGAAGGAGATGGTTAATCACTGTCTTCATAGTAAAACAGTCTCATGCTAACAAACAGTCCCAAATACCTTCTTGCAATAAAATTTAGCCCTCTAAACCATTTATTAACTATCACAATTAATTCACTATACGCTTAAACCATGCTTTAGTCAAAGCAAAGGAAGGTTTCTCACCCATCATCTGTACTTCTTAGCAGGTTTTCCTGATGTTTCGTCCCTAATCCAAAGAACTTTTTCAAGGGAATGAAATAACAGACCGCGTGTTGCAGATTTATAACCTATGGGTGTGGTTAGACACGCCGGGACGATATGTCGGGAAAACCTGCTAAGAAGTGCAGATGATGGGTGAGAAACCTTCCTTTGCTTTGACTAATTCCTGTCCGACCGAGAGCTTACACAAACTCATGCTTTAGTATATTTTTTCCATTACATTAGAAATTGTGTTCGGCCCAAAGACCAAATCTATCCACTGTCTCCCACTTATTATTAGTTAGAATTTAAAAAAATAAACCTTGTGATCATAGTCTATATCACACAACAGGATTTTCCACCTTCATGGATCAAAATACAAGGGGAAACAAAACCTGAAAAGTATTGGAACTTTGAATCATAATTGTTGTAATTGGCTCAAAAAGAATCACAGTTTTCAGCTTAAGTCAGAAGCACAGAAAGTTCTCAAACCTATGAAAATAGTCATAACACGACAACATAAAAACATTTAAAACTCATATTTTCCGCTGCTTTACTGCTGAGAGAGAGATACTTCCATGAGTTTTTCAGCAATCAACAAACCGCTGACATTATTTGCGATACAATCTTGACTCACAGCATTCAAACAAACCCAAAAACGCCTCGAAAGTTTGCAAAGTACAAATAAATGTCTGTGTTTCTTGTTACAGTAGGAGGCTTTGGCTGGGAAACTTCCTGAGTCTGTGCTTTGTAATGTTGATGTGGGAAAGTGCAATGTTGTTTTGACATCACTTCAGATTGACTGAAACAATGCTTTTGCAAGGATACTGTGTTTACAGAATATGATTCAGGCTGTAGCAGTGTGCCAGGGATGTTCAAATGTGAAAACAATTGAAACAAATTGTGCAAAGAAAACATGTTATTCTCATCTTGGTTTCAGACTCAAATGCTTTTTTGCAAACTTTATAGAAATATCTTGTTCAGTTAAACCTAGTTAGATCAGCAAAAATGTGAAAATAATGTATGTATTCATTACAATGTTGAACTCAGACATGTAAAAGAGGAATACACTGGTCCTTTTATTGCGGGGGTTACATTTTTAAAAGAATTACAAAAACACGCACCTGAACTCACAATTGCGGAGATATCAAACCTGTTGATTGTAACTCTGAGCGCTGCTTTGCATATACCATAAAATACAGCTGCAGGGGACACTGCGCTGAGAGGCATCGTGAAGCAAAAGTATGTAACTTTGGCTGTAAATGGGAAATAACATGGATGCCTCAAAGAAAAAAAAAAAGTTAAAAACCATGACATTCATTGTTGAAATATCAATCTCAGAATATGTTGCATATGTTTATGGAACAGCTTGTTAGACTCTGGTTCACATAAGTTCACTTTGTTTGTGAGATGTAAAAGTGCTCCCTGGACATTTTGTTGCATAAATATTGGTGTTTGTCCCAACTTTCTGTATAACTAACATGTTGTGAACAAATCAGACTAACAACACAACAAGCTTTCTTTATCTTATTAGAAAACATATCTTTTACTTACTGAGAGCATTTGGACACAGATCTGTCAGCCTTGATCTCCAGAACTCATGACGTAGCACAAATTCCTGCTTCCTGATGTGTTAGAGTGTGAGGGAAACACACAGGACTTGTTGTCATATGATTCAGGGGTTCACCGATTGTGAAATTTTGGGCCGATACCGATGTTTAACATAGCAAATTTTTCTTTTTGTTATTTGTATATATAGAGATATATATATCTCTATATATATCTAATTTTCCTTCTATTGACGTAATTCTGACTTTTTCTGAAATGGACCTCTTCTTTGTTCAAAAGTACATTATAATTTATATTATGTTTGTCCCTTTTCTTGTTGTGTTTGTTTTATATGAACCATTTTTGTTTGAATTAAAGATTCAATAATAAATACAAATATAACAAGTATATGTAGCAATTTGTAAACAGGCCGGCGCGAGGGCGGCTATGTGCGCAGCGGGGTCCTATAGAGACTTTACAGAACTGTCAAATAACTAGCGGTGTCTAAACCCGAGTGAGTCAGATAAGCAGAAAGAGACGGGAGTGATGCATTGTACGGAGAGATGGAAGCACACGTTCATCAGCTCACACTGTGTGAGACGAGAGAGGTGTTGTGTGTGTGTGAGCGGAGAAGCAGACGTGTGTGTGTGTGGCTGTGAGCGAAGGAGTAGACAAGAGTGTGCGCTGCTAATGCAACAGTGAATTAGAATTAATCAGAAGTCACCATTTCTTAGTGCATTTCATAACAAGCCTTCGCTGAAGGGGGGTGCTTTGCGTGCACTGGCTGACATTTCAGACTTTAAAAAAAATGTCCCGGTATGTCATCGCACACGCCTACTATTGGCGAATTTCTTTTTTTGCCAATGGCCGATGGTTGTTACCAAGACAAACATTGGTTGATACTGATGTTCAGCCAATCTGTCGGTGCATCCCTAAACAGAGTTTTTGGAGTGTTTTGATCATCACGAGTCAACAATGCCTTGGTATTGAATAATGTTGTGTTCAGTAAAACATTCTTACTAGACACAGCTGTGTAAAGTGCGGTCTACTTGTGGACAAAATTGACTTTCTCCTATAATGTAGCTGGTGCGATTTCTATGCGATTTCTATTTCTCAGAGAGGCCCACATGCGGAGAGAGGGATCCACTCCCATGGACGGACAGGCTGTAGATCAAGGATCCGTTAGAGCTTTTTAAGAATAATTCCTTCAAAAGAAATCGGCATCTTCTTTTAACAAATTTTCCTTTTAATTTTCATTAAATCTACTCTTTCAGGAACAGCTGCTCACATTTGATGAGGACAAAAACACCTTGCTGGCCTTGCAAATGAAGCGCATACGTGGGTAATGAAGAGGAAAAGATATAGACTGAGGACTCTGTAAATAAGAGTCCTTTAGTGAGGATTTAATCAAAGTTACAACTTCTGTGAACCCTAAGCACTCACCATTCATTCGAAATTTCTCCACTGTGGGACGAATATAGGTTGTCTTATTTTATCTTACCTTATTCCGACTACTTAATTTTTTTGTAAAATGTAGCTCTCTCTATAGGAAAACGTTGGAGACCCCTGCACAAAACTATGGGGAGAAGTTTGACACAAACCATAGTATGACAGATTCAGATTCACCTTATTTGCAATTTGCAAATAAAGTTTCAATACAAGTGAAAGATCATTGTAGCACTTTGCGTTAACTATAACAGCCTGTGGAAAAAAGCTGTTAGCATATCGAGATATCCTGTATCTCAGCAAATGATATCTTCTGCCAAAAGGGAGATGTTGGATCATGGCTTTTCCCTTTTCCAGATTGGCCAGAAGAGTCATTGATTATGAATCCAGAATCTCCAGGTCATGGAGCTTTCGCGAAAGTTCACTGTGGTAGACCCGGCTGCTGCTGCCCAGGCCACAGGCTGCTCTTCCTCAACTCATCAATACCAGCAACGCCCACATCCAGTCAACCAATAACCACCAGGACAGCAAGTTAAAAGCCGGAGACGCCCACTTCCCGGCCTTCTGAAGTCTGCAAGCCTCCGCCGCCCCACCTCCTCCTTCTCTCATCGAAGCGTGCTTGCCTACTGCCTCTGCCGTCACCAGTGCCTAGGCCCCGGGGGGGATTATGCACGCGAGCAAGCGCCGCACTCAACAGCATCTCTCCCGGGCCTAGGGCGCCAAACATGCTCAATCAATAAACATGCTTAAATCTAATAAGTCTAACGGCATTTTCCTCATGGGTCTCTCCAAGGTGAATTAGAATAAGGAACTTCCAGTGGCCGTACTTACATGCAAAAGCGGGATCCCGTCAGACCTCTGAAGCTAAGCAGGGCAGGGCCTGGTTAGTACTGTGATGGGAGACCTCTGGGAACACCAGGTGCCACAGCGGGGCCACTTTGGCTGTGAAGTGCCAAACTGTTGTTGTGTTCTTTGGCAAGACACTTCACCCCCATTGCCTAGAACAAGACTGGTATGCGTGTGAATGGTTGGTGGTGGTCGGAGTTAATGGCACATACTGCTTGTCTCGCTTCTGTCAGGGTGTCCCAGGGCAGCTGTGGCTACAGTAGTTTATCACTGTATATGGAGTGAAAGAATAATGACATGTAAAGTGTCTCTGAGTGTCCTGAAAAGTGCTGTATAAAAAAAAAACAATTTTTTTATAGTATAGTGTTGTTGTAGATCAGGCAGCTCTCAGACCTCTCTGCAGAGCGGAACACCTTATATAGAGCTCTCCTTTCTTTGGCTGTGATGTTGCTGAACCACACAGTCACAGAAACAACAAGCATACCAAGAAGTAAATTGTAATCAATTGTTGTCCAAAACAAAAAAATTACAAACATTAATTTAATAAACTATATGACATTAAAGTATATGACATTAAAGACGAAAATATACTGTGAAACAGGTATGGGCAAATAATGCTCTCCATCTGTAACTCACTATGCAACCACAAGAGGGAAATGTAGATATAGATCCCAGAGGTTTCTCACGTTTCTCCCTCTGGGTTTTAGAGTTTTTCCTTGCCAATGCAGGAGGGTCCAGGGACATTTATGGACTTTATCAACATTTATGGACATTGGTCATCCACTCGTTATGGATCAATGGCTCTATTTGTTTTTATAATCATTGCATTGCCTGTGTTTGAACTGTTTGATTCTCTGATCTTATGGACATTGGTCAACTTCCCCATATGTACCAATTCCTACGTATTCTCTGATCTGTGTTTGCGAATTTTACGTTTTTTAAAAGTCCTTTGAGATATCTACTGTTGTGATTTAGAGCTATAAAAACATTCAATACATTGAATCGAATAGATTTTAATGTAATTTTTGTTTTAAATTTATGCCAACATTTTCAGATGTTAGCGTGTATGGATCTGGAAACATCTACAGGTCTCTTTTTAATGTGGGAATAATGTAAAATGGTTAAAACTCATTTAACAGTAAATTATTGCCTTAAAAACAATTAATTGTTTTCTAGGCAAAATAATCGCATCTATTTAGAGACCAGATATTTCTGCCATGTCGCACTGAAGCTCAGGGTCGACTGGACATGCTGCTATTGTTGACCTTTTGTTAGTTACAAAAATGGACACATTCTCAGTTTCTTTAAGTGTCTTTTTTCTGCAGCCGTGAACTCTCACAGGATCAGATAATAGCATTGAAGAGCGACAAATTGAAAAATTGGAAGTCCTGCTGAAAAAGTATCCTGAAGCAGTCCTTGTGTACAGTATGGCTGAACTCGGTGATGGTCTCTACTTTTTCTCCCGTCTTCTTCTTCTGTGCAACAAAAATCTCGCTGGCCACATATCAGATATTATCTCCTCTATAGCTTCACAATCTTGGGAAAAGTTTACCTCTAACTGATTTAGAGAAAAACATAAGTTTAGAAAAGAAAAGACAAAAAGAAAGAAAAAACTCACCACTACGCTACATGCTGTCTTTATCTTTCAACAGACTTGTTAATTTTTAAATATTCGTCAGAAAGAGCCCTGTAAGTAATTTTTGGAGAGCTGTTTGGCTAAATGAGTGTGGTTCTCTCTTTTTCACTTTTCTGTCTGAAAAAGCTGATCGGAAAAAGAAAAATTTGAATACTAGTGGTAGAACCAACTTGTTTTATAGCCAGTAACCAGTTATTAGTTGTTGGATTTTATTACATTGTTTCATTTTTGCAGGTTCAAAGCTAGGTACCTCAGTTTTAACGTATTCCCATTGGATCATGCTGGTAAGATGTCTTTTCAGCAAATGACCGTGCAGTCTAGGAGGATAGCAGGAGGACCGATTGGATCTTTTCCCATTCTTACTTATGTACTGCAGATATTATGTACGTAGTTAAATTATAGTTTGTAACTGTGTGTCTTTCAGATCAAATATCCGACCGGAGAAAGCCAACCACAACCACCACCACTTCAAGATGCACACGTTTGAGAGGATCATGTCCTGCAGCTTCTGTCACCTTCTGCTCAGGTCAGTCTGCTACTGTTATCCAAGAGATTGTATATAGATAGAGAATTACAAACATTTACTTTTGATACTGTCTTGAAATGAATGTCTTCCTCTAGCAAATCACTTGTAAATTGTGATTATTAATTGCAACATATATTTAGTCCTTTCTACTAAACCATTTGAATCAATATGAGTAAATAACAGTCTTCCTGAAAATGTGAGACAGGCTCCAACTCTGACAATGTTGAAATCCAGGTTCAAAACAGTTCTGCTTAGCTGTGCATACAAACTGAAGGATTTTTATCTTCACTCTTGTGTTTATTCATGTTTTGAGTGTTTCTATCTGGTTTTGTTAAGCACTTTGAGTTGCCTTGTGTATGAACTGTGTTATACAAATAAACTTGCCTTGCCTTTAAAAAACAAAGAACGAAACGAAAAGGTCACTACAATGCAGGTACAAATTAGAAACACGTGTCTTTTGTATTAGAAATTATTAGTCCATGACATTTCCATTCAACCCTCAAGATGTTTTGTTTTTAATTAGAATAAACTTTTCCTGGAGCCATGTTTGAACTCTTATTGAGGCTAAAGGACGTCTTATTCTTTCTGATCTCAACGGGACAAATCTAAAATGTCAAGACATTCATTATCCGACTTCAATGATGTCTTCCAGGGGCATCTTTAACCAGGGGTACCTCTGTCTGAAGTGTGGTCTGGGGGCGCACAAAGAGTGTCTTGGCCGACTGGGACTGTGTGGCAGAACAGGTACCTGATGCTTTGTGTGTTTCCTGCATGTCCTATGGCAATGTGTGGCATTTTACCACCAATGCACTGCACTTATTATTACTACATTATCACATATTCCATTCCACTGATATTGCTGTTTATTATTACTGCTGCTTTTATTACTATTGTTTATTTATATTCCCTGCAGCTAAAGTACAATATAAACATCTGTATATACCCCCGGCTGACTACAGTGTTTGCTCCACTAGTGTACTATCCTTTAACCAAGTGCAATCATAGACTTACTTTGTTCTTTTTTATAATCTTATTACCATCAGTCATTTTAGAATGTAACAGATTCTCTTAACGATAGGACTCCAAGAATTATGAAACTACTAGAACTCACAGAGCCGTTATTTTGACTGCTCCCTGAGAGAAATTCCACCCCCCACGTTCTCCACCAGATTTGTTTTAATTTTATTTTTTAACCCAACTCACTTTTACTGAGAGCTAAGACTGGTGTATACACTGTACAGTATAACTTGAAATACAGCAAAAACAGTTTGGTGAAAGGCGACCACATGCTAACTGCTGGCAAGCGAACAGTGTGTTGCTATGGTAACCAACTGCTCTGCCCTAACAATCAAACCATAAGAATTGAACTAAGTGATAAAATGTTCTAGTTCCACACTCTCCAAACGGTTGGCTCTCACATACATGTGTCTTATGAGCCTTGGTCACATCTGTTTTTCAGACAGAAAGTGAAAAACCATCATCACCAATCAGCAAATAGCAACTCTTTCATGCAATGTTTTCATCTTGGTCTAAATTATTCTCACCATCTTACTTACTATAACACCATGTGTAACGAAAAGTCAGGTACCCAAGCTCTAAGTAAAAACTACATGGGTAAACATAAAATAGAACACTCCCTTCGAGTGGTAGACATAGGAAACACCATTCTAAACACTGATACTTTATACTGAGTTTGAAAACAGAACTTTTAGACAGGGATGGATGGGGCGAGCATGTGTACCAGATTGTGCCAGGCGGTATCTTTAGTGTAGTTATTTAAAGCCAATGTCAGAGACTACAACATACTTCCTTCATCTTAGTAGAAAACATTTTATCTTTTGGATAAGCCCTATGAGTCACAAGATGCTTTGAGCTGAGTGAGAGTGGTCCGCTCTTTATCACTTTACTGTCTGAAAGAGGCCAAAAATACATGTTTCGTATGAGAACCAAAACTACTAGAACCAAACTAGCCTGGTCGTACCACACCATAGAACAAATTACATTTCATACGTGGCCTGGAGGTGCTCCATTGAGCTGGCTAAGGCCAGGCTAGAACCAAACTAGTTATCTGTATATTATTTCATATTTCTTGGTTTGAAATGTAGGCCCCAGTTTGAAGTGGTAATCAGTATAACAGGATATAAGTAAGACATAATGACTGAAACAGCATTTGACCATATTGTACAAAATGGATCAAGTGCTGCTAATGGTTCCAATTAGCATCACTTATCCTCACTCCTGAGTTTCACAGATGATATAAAAGCATGTGCTGAAAAGTTGCCATACAGGTTCAGGGCATGACAGGTTCTTAGCAGACCCCCTCCCTCCTCCTCTGCGCTCCTTATGCATTCGCCAGGTGTGGAGTTTAGGGGCCACGCCGCTTGACAGCTGAGGTTGTGTGTCACCGAAGCGCCCTCTCATAGTGTATTCTTCTCCCTGTGTCCCTGTCTGTCTCTTCCATGACACCGCAGACTGTGCCACGACTCGGACCAAGGTAAGAGAGCCTCAAAGCCCACATCAAGGTTAGAAGTAGCAGTGCCGTGTGCAATTATCACAAATATTACCTCATTTTAGTATGCGCTCAATGCACACAGTTTCAGAATGTATGGTTAGGAAGTTTGACGGCCCTGAACCAGATGGTAAATGGGATTGAAACCTTTTAACTAAAGGGCCACTTTAGTTTGAACAGACTTGTCCAGGGATTGACAACCCATAGTGTAAAGCGGTTTCTAGATACTACTGAATACCTCATCTGGATGTGACCATAGACTACTAGAGGGCAAATTTGCTACCATAAAGCATCAGAGATGTTTATATTCAACAAAACCAAAGCTTAAACAGTTCTGTAACTTATTTGTTCATTTTGTATCATGTCCTGCTCATTTAAATTAAATGCTGCAGTTCTGCAAAAGGCCTGCAGTTGGAGATCTTTACTGTTGTAAAAATCTTAAACATTTTTTGTATGATTATATTACAGACGAATAGAAAAATAAAATCTTTATCCTATTCAACTTTTTCTTGGCTTTGGGGAACTATTTAATTAATAACTCGAATGTGCAGTTGGAGAGCACATACCCCGCCAAAACCAAGGATAACCTTGAAATTGCACTGCAGTCTTCCATCACGCCTTCATCTACACACCACATGCTCAATTCGTCCTGTAGTTTTTGCACAATCCTAAGGTTAAAACAGACAACATTTTCCTGCATGCATTGAAAATATTTTTTTTATGTTTGGATATATTAATTATATAAACATCAGAGCTTGGAAAGTAATTTAAAATATGGTTATGCGTCCTTGGATAATTACCATCTTTTTGATGATAAGACTATTGATTATTATTAATTAACTACTTTGAGAATCAAAATTAAACATTCGAGTTTTAGTAGTGAAGGTTGGTAAATAAATAATATTACCTTGAAAGCAGAACAAAACTTGAAATAAATCCTTTGTTGAGTCTAATCTCAGTCGATGTGAGTAGGTCTCCTGCCCACACACAGACGGCGATCACAGCTCCACCTACTCCTGCGGCTCTTTATAATCTAAAGTTTTACCACGAGTTTCTGCTCTTGAATATGAAAGTCAAGTGTGACACATTCACTCTATAATAATAGTTCAATCATTTATGGGTCTGAGTTTTTTTTTCTGCCAATTAACCTGCACAGAAACGTTTTGATTGATTGATTTTATTTTATTCAAGCTCATGCCATGTAGTTTATTTACATTGTTTCAAAGGAAATGCAAAAACACGTTATTGACGTACATGAGATTTTATATACATACATAATATATACAGTACAGACCAAAAGTGTGGACACACCTTCTCATTCAAAGAGTTTTTTATTTTCATGATTATGAAAATTATAGATTCACACTGAAGACATCAAAACTATGAATTATGTACATATACTACAACAAAAGTATGAAACAACTGAAAATGTCTTATATTCTAGGTTCTTCAAAGTAGCACCTTTTGCTCTGATTACTGCTTTCACACTCTTGGCATTCTGTTGATGAGCTTCATGGTCTTCCAACAGTCTTGAATGAGTTCCCAGAGATGCTTAGCACTTGTTGGCCCTTTAGCCTTCACTCTGTGGTCCAGCTCACCCCAAAACCATCTGGATTGGCTTCAGGTCCAGTGACTGTGGAGGCCAGGTCGTCTGGCCCAGCACCCATCACTCTCCTTATTGGTCAAATAGCCCTTACACAGCCTGGGTGTGAATCTACAGTCAATAGTCATGAAATGAAAGGACACTCATTGAATGAGAACTTTTGGTCTGTATTGTTCATGTATATATTATGTATGCATATAAAATGTCAAACCCCCCCCCACTACATACTGTTAGAGTGTTTTAGTGGTGCCACCTGCATGTGAAAGCCAGATTCCGTAAGACTTCTGAAGCTATGCAGGACAGGGCCTTACTCGTAGTGTGATGGGAGACCCCTGGGAACACAGTGTGACGACTGATGGTAAAACTGTTGTGTTAGGGATAGGTTTAGGCAAGACATCCACCCACATAGCCTATTATGAGTTTGGTGTGTGAGTGAATGACGGTGATAGTCAGAGGGGTCCACGGCATATATTGACTCGCTTCTGTTAGTGTGCCCCAGGGCAGATGTGGCAACAGTACCTCAGGTTATGGATTTGTTTGTGTAAGATCTCATTCATACAGGGAATATTCAAAACAAAGGAAGGTTCCCTACCCATAATCTGTACTTCAGTTAGCAGGTTTTTCCGACAGTTCTGAAGTACAGATGATGAATGAGCAACCTTCCTTTGTTCTGTTAATGGAGTGCATATTAGTTTAAACAATGTACATTAGAGTAGGTGGGATTGTCTGTACCTGTCCTGTATATTCTGTTTAATCTGTTTTCTAAAATTGCAAATTTCCAAGAACAATTGAAGTAACTTAATTCATGTATTCTATTTGGGTTGTAATACAAAATAAAAACAAGAACGCATTCAAAATTCACCTTATACGCTCCATCGGTCATTGAAAATATTATCATATTTTTCAAATTTCTTTTTAATTTTCACTAACCTGCCCATTTCTTGTCCGCAGGAAATTTCAAGTCTGCTTGACCCAGGTCAGTCAATCTTGACCAATTTTATCCTCCTGCTGTTGTTCGAAAGGATGGTCATTCAAAGGCCATGCAAGATGTTCTTCAAATTGAATCTATTTATCTTTGTACGGCACATAATTACAGCAGCAGTCTTCTTGAAGGACTTCATGAAATAGTTTGTTTTCCGAGAGCAGATCCACCAATTTAAAGAGCCATTGATCAAAAAAGACAAATTATGTAATGTACAAGCTTGACCAACACATACAAATATCGATTGTTACATCTTAAACATGATCTTATGTTATAGAGAGTGAAACTAGAATGTGCACCATAGACTGTATACAGGTGGACAATACTAACTCCAGAGCTCAATGAAGCCCAATAGGGAAGTTCTCATGGACAAATGTTTGCTCCAATTGGCTCCTATTGACTTACAATGAAAAATATACTCTAGCCACCATTGTGGACATCCATGGTTTAGTGATCCTGGTGTTTTTATTCTGATATTGCTTTTGTAAATCCAGATATGTCCCCTATAACAACTGACCATTCAAATTCCTTCTGCGTGAGTGGGGATATGGTGGAAACAGACCAGATCTTGATTGGCTCTTGGTTGCTTGGTCGTTGCTTCCCAAAATGTTACATACATTAGTAGCCTGGTCGTACCACACCATAGTACAAATTACATTTCGTAGTAAGGTCTGGATGTGCTACAGTGAGCTCCGTTAACAGGTGGGAGGGGTTAACTCCTTTTGCAGATTGAAACGATTGGGTCTGAGTTTACCGTCACGTACATAATGCGCCCGTGCCATTTGCCGCTAATGGAGCCCATGGGGAGTAGCGCCACAATTTTTGCCAGCATTTACATTTGCTAACCATTCCTCTTGCTCCGGCTTCAATTTCTTGATAGAACGAGATCAGATTACTTTAATATCCCATTCTTCGCCATTGCCAAACTGCAACCTGCCCTTTTGTTGCAAACTCTTGACGTCACATCTAACTTCAAGACCCGCCTCCCGCGCACACTGATTGGTCGGATGGAATTCAACCGATTGTAATCGCAAACACAGGGACCAGATCAAGACGTTACATGAAGGGAAATGTTTATTGAGCGGAGTGTACAGCTAATACATTAGGCTCCAGATTCCTGCTTTAATAGGCTGTTTGAGACTTTTTTTTGTCGCAATAAGGTAAACACTATGGGTGACGTCAGGACTGGGTCCGTCAACTCCTTTAACACTAGGAGCGCCCCTAGCGGTCAACTGACCGTCACTCACTTTATTATGCTAATTACTGTATTCAAAACAAAACGCCAGAAGTTGAAATTTTATGACTTTTACTAGGTACTTGTTGTTTATATTTTGGTGTGTTTTGGTTTTGGAAAAAGTAAAGAAAACAAGATTTACACGCATTTTTAACTTTTCTAAACCACAGCCCTTTCTGCTGCCCCATGGAGATACATGGCGCAGGGGCGACTGTTGTCATAGTAACCTTTCCCGGGGGGTTTTCGCGCCTCATAAAAATGTATCAATATGTTGTCATTAGACTCTAAAGGGACTTTTTTATTATTATTTGGGAGAGAGAGGAGTACAAAATGAATAGAGCTGCAAGTACACGGTATGAAGCCCTGACAGTGCTTCAAGACATTGAATGAGAACAGTATGACGGAGGTGAGAGATGTCACATTTTGAGGTAGAAAGTGACAGCGGGGAGAACACCTATAATATTCTAAATCTGAACGTAAACCCATAGTGCATTCACGGCACGGGCAGCAGTGTTGTAAGTCCAGAAGCAATAACGCACATGAGCGTGCGTAATGCCAGCCATACGCAGGTGTCTGTGTGCGCGCTGTCGCTCCATTCTGCCTTTTCATTCATCATCAATTACATTATTATATTTATACATACAAGAAGGCAATACAGCAGAATACAATATCGCAATAAAATAGAACAATTCGATGAACTATCAAGGCAGAGTGCAGATCAGAGTGCTCGTCACCCGCGGACACTGCAGAGAGGGACTGTGGGGCAGAGGCGGCCCTCATATATCAATAAGGATATAATTCTTTTTTCATCCAGATAACACTGTGTGTTATTCTGCACAGCGCGCACTGCAAGGCAATGATTATAATTTTGTTCTGAGCATAAAGAGCACTGCTTGTCTCAAATAAATACAAATATATATATACATATATTTGTCTTTCTAACGTGTCCCGTGTAAAATTGAAGATTTTACATTGACGATGGTAGCCTAGCTGATGATCTTGTGTCAATACGAATACTATTATTATTATCTAGATAATATTTCCCACGGTGATTTCGGCCTCTAAAGAGAAAACAGTCTGGAGATGACGTAAGAAGTAGACGCATATAGCAGCGCGAAGACGTTATGGTCCCGTGCTTTTCTAAACTATAATTTATATTGTTTGAATTTACATATTGTTACTGAGTCAAATATAACTTATAGTGACCAACCTTTTAGGTGTTTGCAAAGTTACAAAATAAATCTAGCCTGAAAAGTCATCGTAATTTTGATGGATCAGTACACGCAAAATGTGTCGTCTTAGTCTTTTATTTCGGCTAGAATTACAATTACTTAGCATATTTAGACAAATAATTTACACAGTTTCATTATGATCACGATTCCTTTGCAACATCAAATTCTGGTTTAGTGAACAATCAATTTGGCAAAAGGCTGTATCAGCGCAAAATACATAGCGGTCAACTGACCGCAGGGGGCGGTGCAAGGTATGTTTAGAGCACGGCGGTCCTAGTGTTAAAGACTTTATGCCGGGTTTAAAAAAAAAAAATTGTGGATCTTAAAATTGCATGACAATGTCGATCTGAAATAGATTCCGGCAAAAAAAATCCTATATTTTGAATTTAAGTTGTCTATGCTCTAACCTGTGTGTGACGTCATAGCGGGTAACGCCCATGCATTGAAAACCATGGATCTATGCCACAAGACTGCCTTTTCTCTCTTCTCTCCACTGATGCCCAACACAATACTGCACTCTACAGGTGACAATTGCTCCCTACACATAAATTGCCGTTTTGAGAGTGTAAATGTGTTTGAGCTAGGATTTGAACCCCAGCATCTGGATTGGCAGTCCATCAACACAACCACTATCTCAATGCCAACAAATTGTTACAAACTAGTATTTATCTCAGACTCGCTGTACACGGCCTTGTCATCTTGAATATCCGCGAAAAAAGAACGAATACCAAATTGTAAACGACTTACAGCGTTGAAACTCACCCGCTCTGACGTCACCAAGGGTAGTGAAGTTTTTTCCGTCTCTAAGGGCGTTGCTATGGGGTTATTTCGATTTGGGGGGATCTGACAAAAAAAACAACAACTGATTTTGAAACCTTTAGTAGTTCTCTTCTAATATAAAATGGTATTAAAACTGTATTTCTAAATAAATCAAACCCGGCATAAGGTCTTTAATCTAGAAATGTTCACATCCAATCTACACACCACATTTTTTCTTAATCCATCCAGAAGTACCCGTTGGCACCGAATTATATTGCATGCCTTTATATTAGTGCTGTCCAACGATTAAAATATTTAATCGCGATTAATCGCATGAATTTCATAGTTAACTCGCGATTAATCGCAAATTAGTCACACATTTGCGTGCTGTGTGCAATTGCTTTTTTATTGAAAACAATGTGTAGTGTTATATTACACACTAACATTTGATGCAAAATCATCAATAAATGGATGACAAAATAAATAATTGGTAACAAAAAGCCCCTTCAATGTGTGTGTGTGGGTGTGTGTGTGTATGTGTGGGTATAGACCATAGACTGTATAGAAACATCATGGTGTCATTATGATGATGATAAACAATCTGTAAATATTTTGTAAATTTGTTCATGTAAATACTCTATGCTGTTTCTCTGTTTACCTTCGGTATATCTATGACTGTATACTGTTTGCTTGTATTGCCTTTTTTATTAACCCCTCCCCCCATCTCCCACTTCATGTCCCTCCCCTCCTATGTGCCCTTCTGGGTTTCTTCTTTGGCCCCCTGTATCTCCAACTACATATTGTTTGTAATCTCTGTCTACAATGTATCTGAACTAGTCCTTTTCTTTGTTTCTATGTGTTTGTCTGCAATAAAAAGTAAAAAAAAAAAAAAAAAAAAAAAAAAAAACAAAAAAAAATCTTTTTTTTTTTTTTTTTTTTTTTTTTTATCGCGCGATAAAAAAAATGACGGCGTTAATATTGATTTGCGTTAACGCGTTAATAACGCGCTATTTTGGACAGCCCTACTTTATATACATACTTTTTTGTATTTATGTCAATGCAGATTCCTGGTTTGTGACCTCCTGTTACTTACAATGGCAATACAAATAATTCTGATTCTAATGGAACAAAACGATGAACACTTCCACTTAAAGGTAGAAGACGGAATTTCTTAAAGTTCTTAAGAAGGGCTATGATGTGCTTCTGTTTGCTCCATAATGATAATCTTTGCACCCACGGCGTATTGTTAATGTACTGCATTTAAATTCTCTATATTGAACTAAAACTATGTTTTGGAATAGATCAAATTCAGGTTACATTTAAAAACATACACAACTACATTTTCAAATTGGAGTGACAGACAAAACTTGTTTTAACTGTCATAAAACAGCTTGTATTTTGTGTAGTTTTTGGCACGTGTATTCCTCACTTTCTCACATATTTTACAAACAAATAATCACCACAATGACTTCATGAGCGCCTTTCAAAACGTAGAAAAAGTTTTGCCATCACAGGAAGCTACTCAAAGCGGCCCACAAACATAAAATGGTATTTTATTTGGTGCGAAATGCAAACAGCAATCTCTTAACAAAATATATCTTCTTGTGTTTTTCTTAAGAAAAGGGTATTCACTGTAAATTGATTTCCCAAATATAAAGCACTGCAGTGACTTCAGCAGAGCAAATAATCCATCAGAAAAACCTTTGCTACTGAATGTGTGCTGCTGACTATAGCTGAAATAGAGTGAGCTGAACTGTCTTTGTGATCGATCAATTTGCATGGGAGTGTTTATGAGACAATGCTTACTGTTCATATTAAAAAATGAGATGATTCCAATGAAGGGAGGCCGCTGCGAAAGCGGAGGAGAGGTGGGCCCGAAGGCGATGGCCGATGTGGGTTAGAGTAAGCGCCTGTGTCTCCCACAGTGACAGCCGTGTTTCGTCTTTGCTTTGGCGCACCGCTCGTGGCTGTGTTAGGCCAATATTGTACCGGAATCAAAGAGATGAATTTGTGTGGAAATTGCTCGTGCCTTTTTAAAACGGCAGGAAAGAGCGTGATCAAAAACGCAGTGGACTCCAGGGCGTGTGCATACGAGGTGGGGGTCTGTCTGCCGGCTGACGTGTTTGGAACAGGAGCGGTGACAAGGCGTGATAAGAGTAAATACAATGGATACAAAGCTTCCGGTCTGAATGACAAGGCACTGAGCGGCTTTGACTTGGTTGTTTTTTAACAGAATTTATTTACTCGTAAATCCAGCATGAACGATGGAATAACTTGGACGAAAAACAGCCAAGTTTATCCTCTAATATGAATAGAATGTGAAATATTGTCTTTATAGGGCAAAACAAGTTTGAAGGATAAAACATATCAATATAAAAATTTAAATGAAATAAAACCCCCTGTGCTGCCACCAATTTACCGGCCACAAACACAGTCAGCGATAGTAAAGAGTGTAAATTATTTTTTTTATGTGTCCTTTAATGGAAAAACAGAACTTTTCACGTATTTGCTACATGCATCTCTGTGACCACTGGCTTCATGTTGTATGAAAAGTCCAATAACGCCTGTGACACACAAAGGACAGGGATTTTACTGATTTCACTGCAGTAGCGCTCAGACCAACAACGAACAGGTTTGATGTCTTTGCGATCATGCTTCAGCATCAGCAGTCGTAAGTTCAGCTGGTTAGAAACATGTGTATAGTGTGTGATGAGGGCCTTAAAAAATACAGCTGCTACTTCAAGGATTTTGCTTATTGCGGATCCATTTTAGAAAGTAAAAGATAAACAAGGGACCACTGTAGTGTTAAATAAAACATTGATTGATTTGTTTATTTATTTCAAACATGCACAAGATATACAGACAATTCAGAAACATACTACAATACAATACCAAAAGGTCTCAACTGTACACAGAACATGAACTGTCTTAACCCTTTGATGTTTTGCGGCAGGTTTGCCACGGATGGTGGTGATCAGAGACTACAGCGGAGTGCCCTGTCCCCAGTCTGGGCCTCCTCTGAGCGTCCAAACTGGGGACGTGATCGAAGTCATGTTTGCAGATCTGAACAGCTCCTGGTGGCAGGTGGGCATCACTCTGAGCACGTCCCAGTCCCACATACTCCGTCACCCATGGACACAACAACCCAACACACCACAGCCTCTGCAACACGCACACACGCGCACGCGCACGCGCACACGCACGCGCACGCGCACGCACACACGCACACGCACACACACAAACTTATAAAGCGCTCTACCCGACTCCACTTGTCTCTACTCAGTGATGAACATAAAGCTTATTCAATCTGAAGAGACCAAAGACACAATTAATACAATAAAATTATTTATTTGTTTGGCGCGTTGACCCCGGCAGTGACACTTGCAGCAATGAGATCGATTGCAGCTGAAGATGATCTCAGATCCCCCGGGGTCAATCACTGGTGGTGGCTAGAGTATGGTGTGAATGGGTCTATGGGTCTATGGTGTGAATGGGAGACTAGAGCGGGAGCCAGAGGGGGAGCCAGAGCGGGAGCCAGAAGCCAGAGGGGGTGCTGGGGAGGTGGTGGGTGTTTAAGAGCCTCAGGAAGCGTTGTTTGTCAGGAAGTGGCTGCCTTTTAAACTGCCCGCTTTGCTCTGAGAGGGTTGGCAGGAGGCTGGCCTGGCTGTGTGATTGGCTGAGGCTCGAGGCTGGCAGAGCTGTGTGATTGGCTGAGGCTTGAGGCTGGCCTGGCTGTGTGATTGGCTGAGGCTCGAGGCTGGCAGGCACTCGGTCTTTCAGTCTGAACATGCGCATTCAGCTTAATTTCTCAATGTGTTGGTCTCAGTGGGAAAGATTGTTTAGACCTGTGTTAGCTTTTCACCACCAGAAGACATGAATGTGTCAACATAAAAAGGTTCCAAATAAACTGTCCAACTTTTAAACTATGTTGACTAAAGTCACAGCGCCCCCAGGACACCAGGAAATCACATTTGAATGGACTATTATGTATTTTTTGTTTGTTTTACAAGGACAACTTTATAAAGAAAAGAAAGCCCAAAGCAAAAGCCTAAATACTGTTGATGAGTGATTCACTCTTGTTTCGTGGCGTTTTATGCTGTCATAATGATAAATATTTTTCCGTCTGCAAAAAATATTTAATGCAGAATTACGGCACAGTGGCTGAGTGGTTAGCACTCTTCCTTCTTATAAAGAAGGTCCTGAGTTTCTACCTCCAGATAGAGAGAGGCTTTCTGAGTGAAGTTTGCATGTTCTCCAATTCTGCGTAGGTTTCCTCTGGGTGCTCCTGAATCCCCTATCACTAAAAACAGGTACAATAGCTCCCCTCTCTGGGACCAGGACTCCCCTAAACAAGAGATTCTGAAATCTCAGTGGGACTTTGCTTGTGTTGCTCAATGTGTGAACTAGGGCTGTCAAAATGATCGCGTTAACACTTTTCATGAATCGCGTTTAAAAAATTAACGCAATTAACACATGCCCATGCATCCAACACTCAGAATGCCACGGACACGTGTGTGAGATGGCAACAGAGCAGGTCTCTGGGAATTCAAGTTTTAAAAGAATACACGCGTTTCCTGTATGAACTCTGCGAGCTGAGCTGCGGGCGCTCTGGACAGCAGTTTCCTATGATCATGGCGAACGGCGCCGCGTAACACGTGATCATATCCAAGACCACGCCCAGAACTATTCTCTGATTGTAGTGTGCGTATGTGTCTTTGCGTATGCGGTGCACACAATATATACAGCGCAGAAGCTGGACAACAGAGCCTCTGTGTCTTCTCCCAAAGCGCACTCGCTAAATTAAAGCTGGGGTACCTAATTTTCCCTTCCACTACCAGTTCATGACAAATTTAATGACATTCTGCATTTCAGACTGTTTTGAAATGTCCCTCATCTGTAACAAACAATAGTTTTGGTCTGAGTCCAAACAGAAAGACAGAATGTTAATAATGTTAATGCCATTTTATATGGATTTATTGTTATGATAATCAAAGACAGTACATATGTACGCTATGCTGTCATTTATCTTTCCATTCAAACAACCATTTACAGAAAAATATGGCATCATTTTGTCGATAGTTTGAAATGCAATTAATTACGATTAATTAATTTTTAAGATATAATTAACTCGATTAAAAATTGTAATCGGTCGACAGCCCTTGTGTGAACCCTTGCCTACAGGTTTTGTTTTGACATCCCTGTGCACAGGGATTGAAGTATTTTGTGAAACTGTTTTAAGCCAATTCCGAGATTTACATTTTTTCAAAATACATTTCAGTTTCCTGTGATTCCCTAACCACAGATTGTCTCATACAATTTCATCATCATATTCACCTCATGATAACAGGCCTGACTAGCTACTTTTGTGTTACTGTTCATTTGACAGTCACATTGCAGCTCTCTTCCATCCTCCTCTCCCTGTGTAGCCCTCACAGCCGTAGTCAGGCCTGAACTCACCCTGGGACCTTCACTATGAGGTCAGTGTCTCATCAGAGTCATAAGTGAACGGGAAGAGCCCCCATGCCCTCCTGTCCTCTCTTTCACTCCTCTGTCGAATCACGCATCGGATGATCTAACCAATTAGCTACAGCGGCTGATTAATCACACGCCACGCTGAGACAATAAAACAGCAGCAGCCTGGTTCTCCGCTGGGGCGTTTAATGACAGTGCGTAACCCTGTGTACCGGTGCATTTAGCAGCCGTGGCACTCGCCCGTCCAGCGGTTCAGAACACTTGACCTTCTCTATTTTGGAATAGCAGATGTGTCCCATGTTCCCAGATGTACGGCAGCGTTTAGAAATCAGTTGCTGGTAAAGCTTGAGTCGGACAGAAGAATATATAGTGGGTGTGAGTTGGTGTCATATTTATTTTTTCAAATTATATTTATTTATTTTATAGCAGAATCTGGATCATTGGAGCATTTCCCATTCAAAATCCCCATAGGAGTTTTAAAATATCGAAATATCAGGAGTTTGAAATGGGTAGGCACTTTGCGGATCCTTCTGTCATATGATATTGCTTTTACATCTGCCAAACTATGAACAATGTGAGAAAATATAAAAGAATGCAAACCGATCAGGCAGACAAAGGTCATAAAGGCAGCTAGAACATTACGGACACAGCAGACAGCAGAAAGGGGTCAGAATGATCTGTTCAGATGTGTTATTAGTAGCCAATTATTCACGTGTTAAATAGCTGTAGTAGGATTACAGATCCTAAAAAGGCTGTAACTGATAGAGCACTGAATGCGAGCAGCACCTCTTGACAAACTGAGTGAGTGGCGGAGAGATGATTAACCATGGGCTATTTTATCTATTTGACATAGTTTTGTTATACTGGATGCGATTTATCCAGCTCAGCATTCAACCCCTGTTTAATTTATGATGTTGTAAAAAAGGTTCATGTTACTCCAAGTGGATGTAAACCTGGTCCATTGTTTTGAGATTGCCTGGGGTCCTGACCTTGACTCTGAATCTGAGGTTTTGACCCTTTTATTTAAACGACGTTCCTGATTTCTCTGCGAGGAAACGTAGACACATGTTCAAACAACACGCCGACATTTCCCTCTGTTGTTTTGAGCACAGCTTTTCAACACAAGTCAAAACATATTCGATTCAACTTATTTTTGTATAGCCCTAAATCTCTACAGCAGTCGTCTTGAAGGACCAAAGTTATTCATTTACCATCAACATATTGTACAAAAATTATAATTATTGCACAATGTTCTTGTTTTCTTTGTGCCTTTAGATCCTGCACTTGTTTACATTGACCCCTCTCCCCAGGACTCCCTCCATTGCTCTGCTTTCAGTGGCGCCAGAGGATGGAATTACAGAACTCAGAGAATTCATATCCCCCGATGCCCAGAAGGCAATTATCCTCCATCCCAGCGGCAGAACAATACAATCAATCATCGTAATTTCATTTGATCCTCCGCCGCTGCCTGTTTATGCCCGGGCCGTAATAAGTTTAATCTTTATCATACGCTTATCATGCCGTAACAAATTGGGAAGAGCTTTCGAAAAGAAGGGAATAAAAAAACCTGTCTTTGATGAAATGTTATTACACAGAATGATTCAGGAGGAATGGGCAAAGATGCGGTTTTGCTATTTCGTTATGGCTACGCTCTGGTCTCAAAATAAATAATTTGATAGTGTAATAAAAGCAGAAAGGGATGGAGGGATAAGCAAGGCAGGAAGGAGTCATTGCGAATCACCATATATACTGTCTGTTTGCACTGACTTCAAATGGACTTCAAATTGACCCTTTGAAAGCACCGCGAGATAGATTGTCCTGTGCATAATTCACCTATAAGCTTATTGGCCTATCCGCATGATATACAGCTTCAACTTAATATTAAGACACAATATTGCGGGTTATAAAACGCGCCCAGAATCGATATCAAAGCCGGAGTAATTTGTGAGCTAAATTGGTCTACTTGCCGGAGAAATTACTTCACAACGCTGCTTATTTTAAGAACAAATGCTTTTCATATGAGGCGATCTTGCACCTCCGGGCGGCACTGGCTAGTTTTCCCATCTTTTATTATCAACAAGAAAAGCAGGTCCATTATCGTAGCGTTACAGTCTTTATTTTTATGCACTCGCGTTCATAATTAACTCAGGGATACAAACGAGATGCGCTGCTTGTTGTTTGCTAATTGCGGAGGATTTATTGGAGCCAAGTGAGAGAGAGATGCTCCCAGCTAAATTTAATGCGATTATTGTTTTTTTTTCTCCCTTTTTTGTTGCAGGGGAAAATCTTGGCAACAAGCAGGGTTGGCTTTTTTCCCAGTGATGCTGTAAGGCCCTGCCCCTGTGTAAGCATTACGTTTTTTGCTGCTAAATCAATGAGGCATGTCAACAATGTAGTTTGGCTTCCTGTGTGCTACGACGTCAAGTCGTGGTGGAGCTAAGTGAGCAGGGAGGGGAATCTGGAGCAAAATATGACAAATTATATAGGTTTTGGATCTTAAAAATTGGCTAGTAGTTTATTTTTAGATCTGTTTTGAATGCATTTCTTAGTTGATACTAATTAAGTTATGATTATATAGATTTTTTAACATTCTGGCTGCTTCCAAATTCAACTTCTGGAACAAATACAATTTTAAAAAGAAAATCAAATTCAACTCCTCCCTCTGGTGGAAGTTTATGGAGTTAAGAAAGTAAGTAAGTAAGTAATCTTTATTTATATACCGCATTTCACAGACCGGAGTCACGAAGTGGTTTACAATTGTGGGCAATTGTCCTCTCATTCCACACAGAGATGGAGCGGGGTTATTGACGAATACAAGTTTTTACCCTTCATACTAAGGGGGAGACATTATAAAAGTATACAGTATGTTTGCTATTTATTCAATGGTTCAAAAGACAATGTCTGCTCATGTAATATTTCTTTCATCAATAGTAGTCATAATCAAACATAATAACCATATATATAATTTGTCCATTCACAGGTTCCAAAACCAGTTGAATACTCGGGTCAGCCATGGTAAGTCTTTAAAAATACAGATCCACAAAGCATCAAATCAATCATATATATATATATATATAATAAAAAAATAAGACTCAAATCGTAATAGAACATGTCAATACTAATGAAAACACATTACTAACACAACAAAATATAATTTTCAGCCTGGACCGAAGCGATGCCAGAGACAGTAACTTACATTTATGAATTCACGCAAAAGTCAGACTTTTTTATTATGATAATAATGGGTCTCATTTTCAGAATTTAAAAACATTATTTTATCTTCCTGGGCGCTGCATTGTGGCGACCACTGCTCCTTATTGAGACCCTAGCAGCAAATGCAGATGAAACTTAAACAAACATGATGCTTACAATGTACTCTAATGGAATGTGCTTGTTATGATAAATGTGAGTAATAAGTGGCTTCCCAACTCCAAGTGGCTTTGCTTTATAATATTTCTCACTGTCTTAGTGAGCAATTGTTGTGCATGTGGCTCAGGTTCGCAGGCTCCATAGACAGACCTCAGGCTGAAGAGGAGCTCCAGGACCGGGACCACGGCACTTACCTGATCCGCAACAGGAGCAAGGAGTGCACAGAGTACGCCATCAGCATCAAGTGAGTCACCAGTCTTAAGTTTGGGATAAGATTGAAATAAACATTTCAATAATGAAGATTTGGTCATCTTTAAAGCTGGCATGTCTCTCTTATAAATAACACATGGAGTTTGTCAGAAAAAAGAGTCTTGTATAAGTCAAAGGTTATGAACAAGTCAGTCCACAACAAGCTGTCTTTGTCTTTTAAGAAAACATGTTATCTTTTGCATACTTGTGAGAAAGAGCCTTGTGAATCTCTATTTGATGCTTTTGGCCTTTGACGCTTTGGACCAACCAATGAAAAAGCTGATCTGAAGATGTGACAGAGGCCAAAAAGGCATTCATGCAAAAATGTACCTATTTTTGAGAAAGATAAATTGTATTACTTACAAAAAAATTCTCTTTGCAGCTTTTTTTAAACAATCAAAGTTTTTTATAATCTCTTGCATCCCACACTCCATCGTACCACCACCACAGAGCCAATTTCCTTTTGCAAAATCTGTGATACGTTGATGATTAGCCAGTGTTATGCAGGCATTTTTGCTCAAATGAAAAGAAATCCAATTGTAGTGCAACTTTTGATGTGAGCATGTTTCAAGTGCAGATCTGGCTGGATACAGAAGCGCACAGACTTTTGTTGTTTTTTATATTGAGATTTCATTGATTATTTCAGATGTATCAAAAATTATATAGCTCAGATCCACAAAGATGATCACGAACAGACAAAGACAACATGCTTTCTTCTTTAAGTGGGCTGAAAACAGGATTGTTAAGAGAAGCTTCCACAAACACACTCGACTCTCTCTGTTCAAGCCCTTTTTAAGTAGTTGCTTTATCTGAACCTTTGCGAGGCTTTATATCACTCCTTTGAATCCCACACCCCATCTTCAAGTAAAACTCTCAGTCTGCTTGAGTGTTGAAAACAGAACAGAGACCTCCTGACCTGCCTGACAGAGGACTTGGAAAGGGCATTTCTGTTTTGTGAACTTTAATGTGAGAAGAGGAGATGACCACCATTCACATACTTTTTGAAGAGATAAACATTAGAGAATATAATTTGATAGAGACGGATGAATGGAAAGGCTCAGACAATATTGGAGAACTGTATAGCTCCCATTGCTAATGTGTCTATTATTATTCTTTTAAGTGACTAAGGCTGTTATTATACATTTTAAACTTAGATATTAAAACTGTAATTTGTAGCCAGAGTGGTCGAACTGAGTGCTTGACCTGAAGATATTTTTTAAATGGACGGTTTGGTGTGGTCCAGCGTGTGTGCCACAACCAACCCTTTTTACAGACAAAGCAATATACATCGCATGACAGATCCAAGGTTACAATTCTGTAAATAACAGCCCAAACCCTCACATGGAAAGTGACAATGTAAGCTTTAAACTCTAGATAAACAGAAGACAATGGACATATGGATGGTCAGGACCTAACTTTTGATACTGATGAGAATCCTCCTTATACCTAAGCTTGGATATCTAACTTTAAACCCACACAGAAAATTAACAACTGTAATAAAATCAATCATGCATATATTCTTAGACAGAAAAGTGAAAAGAGAGGACCAGGCTCACACACAAGGCTCTTTCTTACAATTCAAGTCAAATCAATTCAATTATGCAATCACAAATACGCAAAATATAACATGTTTTCTAATAAAATGAAGACAGGATGTCGTCGTTGGATTATTTCTTTTTATGCTGTATTTTTCTTAATTTATTCATGACAAATTTAAAGTATGTACCCAAGCTTTAACTCATATTATTACCTGAGTAACTGACCCTCATCTATTAAAGGTTACACAGTACAGGTGCAGTACTATCCGGTGTATTTCCACGGATCCTATGACTGCATGAAAACAACCTAAAACCCCTGTGTCTCTGCGTGTTATGCAGCACATAGCTCAAGCTCCATCAATAATTCATCCGTCCACCACATAATCATAAATGTATTAGTGGATTTGCAACATGGCCAGACCCTCCTCACCTGTTCCAAACCCACACCAGGAGATTTATATATTGTGCGTGTGGTGCAGTCAAAGTGCAGTCATACAAGAACAGCAGGCGTGCAATCTCCCCCTCACTCCACGGTCCATGTGTCAGCTCCTCCGTGCGTGCACAGATGTTTGTGTATTCAGAAGAGCAGGCCGCATTATCACGCCGTGTACAACTCACATGACAGGAAGTAGATTAGAGGGGATCAGACATACATCATCTGCTGTCGGTCACGAATGAAGATGAATCTGAAGGAGTGGAGAGGAGGATTCTAGTGGTGGGTTCTTAAACAAGTGCTTGACGATGCGGCGATAAAAGGTTTTCGCTGACATTTTGAAGGCGTTTGTTCGTATCATTGCATATACAGTTACTATGCAATTCAAAGGAGTGAATTTAGAGTACTGTAAATGTAATAATGACATGTGTGAGATATGTATTGTTACTCTCAGAATTTTAGTGTAGAGTTATTCATTTATCTTGTGCTGTGTGATCCTCTATGCTTTTCTGTAACTTGTAATGCAACACTGAAATTTCTCCACTGTGTGACAAATAAAGGATCTCTTAATTATTAGAACTACTAGAACTCCTAGAGCAATCATTTTGATAGCTCACATTCAAAATAAGGAAATTCTGAAAAAACCCTAAACAAAAAAAGGTTTTTCACAAATTAAGTAATTCATACAGCTTTTATCTTCAGTGCATGCTAAAACTGGTGTGATGCTATGGTAACTAGCACACGAAACTGAAATTTCTCTGAACCACTCCAGGATATAATTTTCAAAACATAATTACACAGATATAAACTACACATAGTAATAGACACGGTTCTGAAGACCAAAAACATACATATGCTGAGTAATTACACTTACAAAACTAAAAGCCGTCAAATTGACTGCTCTGGGAGTTCGAGGGTTGAAGCAGACGTATGTTACGGCTCCAGGTCTGGGCCGTTTTGCGCAAGCACCCCCTCCCTCTCCCGGTGCGTCTCTCTTGTCTGTGTGTCCGGCTCATTCCCGCGAAGTCTAGGGCCCGCCTCCCGGATGCTGCCATTCGCCCGGAGTCCTCCTGTATGGCCAATAGGAGCTCCGCCCGAACCAATCTGCGCCACCAGCTGACCTGCCCGCGGCCAATAAAACAGCGGTGCGACGTCCAGACGGGGCGGCTTGTTTCCAATACAAGTGCGCCAGCCTTGAGAGACTGACGTGTGGTGGAGAGCTGACACCTTTGAGAGACTTTACATACGACCGCACGAGACCTTACGAGACCTTATTAGAATTGTGATTTGTTACCTGTCGGAGGAACCCCTTTTGTTTAGTTTACTGACTCTAAGTTTTGTCCAGGACCTTACCTTTTCTGCCTAGAAATAAAAGGCCATTTACTTTCGCCAATTACATCTGGTTGTGTATGTTGCATTTCCTTTCCCCTTCTCAGAGCCAAGTTTAGGGCTGTAACATATATTGGGGGCTCGTCCGGGATCTTGTTTTAAAACATTCCCGACAACAGTGAATGGAAACAACATTGACTTTTTTGAGCTTTTGGTTTCAACATTTTTCCCTTCTTGTTGCTGTACAACAATCACTGATGAAATGGTACAAAAGCAACACACTGCGAACAAAATATACAGTACAATAACTGAAAAATTGCCTATCACGTAGAATAACCGCTAGTTTTGCGTTCAAATTAAGTCTGAGGCAGACTAAACCTAAAATAACAAAGTAAAAAGTCTCATTGTTAATTTTAATGGCCAGGAATAATGCATTATATGTCTTTGTTAATATTGTCCATTCTTGTGCAGATTTACCAATAAAGTGAGGCACATCAAGATCCTGACCAAAGAAAACTGCTTTTACATAGCAGAAGCACGACTCTTCAAGACTTTACTGGTAAATATATACTATTTCTGTGTAGTGTATATGTGTAAAGTATAGTCAAAAGGTGCTCAGCTACTGCTGAGGTGGTAAAAAGAGTGATAAAAAGAAACATTTAGCCTGCACACTACTACAAAAGACTGTATTTGACAACTATTATTTATTGTCCCTTCATGCAAATATTGTGTTAATCTCACTCATGTGGGGTGGAGTCTAACTGACTTAACATTTAAATCTGCAGATGTTCAAAATCTAATACAAAACAAAATAACTCTATCTTCTATATTTATTTCTGGCTACTTTTGTACATTATGTATTACAATTCTATTAAGACAGAATTTTTGTCCCATTCACATGTTTTGTTTTTTCTTTTAACCATGTTAAAATGTTTTGTTTTCAAACCTGTTTGTTGCTTGTTGCCTGCCTTTTAAAACAAAATTGTTCCTCATAAAATTTATTGAGAATTTCTCTAGTGAAATCATGTCCCCAACAGCTGCATGCCTATACGCCCCGATAGATGCTTAAATATAAAGCACAATGTTTTTTTCCTTTTCCATATCTCGATGGGAGTGTTTGGCTCATCCTCACCATCTTTTATTTCACTACTCCATCCATCCATTTTCTTCCCCTTAATCCATTTCTGGGTCGGGGGGGTGGTAGTCAGAGCTGCACCCAGTACACAAGGCACAGCCCCTCACTGATCCTCCTGCAGGTGGTGAGTCCACAGGAGCTGAGATCTTTCAGCGGGGGCTTCAGGCAAAGTAGGGTTAAGTGTCTTGCCCAAGGACACAACGACAGCAGTCATCAGTGGGAGTCGTGAAGTAGGTCTTGCGGTGGGCTCGAACCCACAACCTTCAGGTCCAAAGTCCAATGCTCTACCAACTGAGCTACTGTCGCCCTTCACTTTCATGTATATATGAAAGTGATATGTATTTCAATTTGGAGAGACGAGAAACGAAAATGGTTTTGAGTATTTTATTGAGAGGAGGTTTGGCGCCCTAGACCCCGGTGCGGCCTTCAGATCGGAGAGGCTCCTGCGATGGAGCGCGTACAATCCCCAAAAAAGGCTGTGTGTTGATGGAGTTTTGCAGCCTGGTTTGCAGGGGACAGACGTCGTGACCGCTATCGCTATGCTGTGACCGCTATCGCTATGCTGTGACCGCTATCGCTATGCTGTGACCGCTATCGCTATGCTGTGACCGCTATCGCTATGCTGTGACCGCTATCGCTATGCTGTGACCGTTTATGCGCTAACCATTTTTTGCTATGCTGTGACCGCTAACGCTAACACTATGACCGCTATCACTGACGCTATGACCGCTATCACTGACGCTATGACCGCTATCACTGACGCTATGACCGCTATCACTGACGCTATGACCGCTATCACTGACGCTATGACCGCTATCACTGACGCTATGACCGCTATCACTATATGCTATGACCGCTATCGCTATATGCTGTGACCGTTATATGCGGTTATCTTTGAGCGCCGGGACGTGAGCGCTCGCATCACGATCAACCGGACGCTGCAGCAGAGTTATCTTTGGGCGCTGGGACGTGAGCGCTCGCATCACGTTCCGTCAGACGCTGCGGCAGCGGAGAGTGTTTGAGAAAAGTGCGTGCCGCCACCAGAACTTATTACTTCACTTACTTTGCTTCGTATTGCTTTGCTGGGAGCTTACGAGGAAGCCAGTAGACGTTGTGCAGCCAAGATAGCGGACGCGTCTGGCCTGATGTAGGCGGAGAAAGCCGAAGAGGACCGGCGACCCAGCTGTTGCAGAGAGGTGGGGGAGCCCCAGCGAGGCCGCGCGCGTGGCAGCGCCTATCCGGAAAGAGTGGGCTGTGTAGAGCTGGGGAGATAATTGCAGAGGAGCAGTAGGGATCTTGAAGAACCCCCCAAAACCCACGGAAGGGGCACGTCCGTGTAGAAGCGGAGACCTGTAGGGGCAGAGACATATCGAAGAGGGCCATTGATGTTGCAGGCGCCCTTACGCTTATGGAGAGTAGATAATCAGGATAGTAGGATGGTCGGGAAAGCCGTGTCTCGGACCGCATGAAGGTTGAGTGAGCAGTAGTGAAACGCTTATGCAGAGAAGCCACAGAAGGAGAGCAGGAAGATGCTGCGAGGAGGGCAGACATGTACTTGGAAGATGAGCCGGAGTTCAGTGCCGCTGCAGGATGGGCAGCATGATGGGGAGCCTGCGATCAGAAGAGTGAAGAACACAGGTATGGATGCCTTTGATTAGGAGTCCGATTGACGGCTCAGCGCAGCCACTCGGCCAGCTGCATTTGATAGAATCGGAAGATTAGTAGAGAGATGAAGCATGACCACCGAAGCGACCCTGGGAGCATAGGTGCGAGTCCAGCGCAGCGCGGCATACTCGGCCGGGCTGCGTCCATTAGAAGCAGGCTAGGTTCTGAGAGAGTGGGTTGCAGCAGTAGCAGTAGCAGTAGCGGCAGCAGCAGTAACCTCAGGTAATAGCAGCAATAATCCTGTATCAAGCCGCGGCAGCAGCAGCAGCAGCAGTAGCAGCATCCTTAGAAAATAACAGTAATAATCCTGTATCAAAGCCGCAGCAGTAGAATGTTGTTGTAGCTGTTTAGTGTTTCAGAAAAAGAGATGCAAGTGAAGAGAGATGGCAAAGTAAATGAAGCAGCAGCAGCAGTAGTAGCAGCAGTAGCAGTATGAAGCAGCAGCAGTAGCAGCAGTAGCAGTATGAAGCAGCAGCAGCAGCAGCAGTAGCAGTATGAAGTAGCAGCAGCAGCAGCTGCAGCATCCGTAGATAATAACAGCAATAATCCTGTATCAAAGCCACAGCAGTAGAATATTGTTGTAGCTGTTTAGTGTTTCAGTAAAAGAGATGCGAAGTGAAGAGAGATGTCGAAGTACATGAAGCAGCAGTAGCAGTATGAAGCAGCAGCAGCACGGCAGCAGTAGCAGTATGAAGCAGCAGCGGCAGCAATAGCAGCATTAGCGGCAGCAGTAGCAGCAGTAGCGGTAGCAGTATGAAGCAGCAGAGCAGCATTAGCAGGAGCAGCAGCACCACAATGAGATTCATACGAACAACAGACGTGTCACGCCAGCGTGCGCCGCTTGTCTCCGTGAGCCAGGTTACATACGTGTCTGAAAGAGCCAAGCCGTAGAGACGGGTGCAGCCTGGGAGCCTGCGGAGCGGCAGCGCTGGAACAGCAGCAGCGGCACATGTAGTAGGAGCAGCAGGAGCAGGCAGCAGCAGGAGCAGCAGCAGGAACAGGCAGCAGCGGGAACAGGCAGCAGCGGGATCAGGCATCAGTAGGAACGGCAGCAGGGACCGGCAGCGGCGGCGGTCAGAGAACCATGCCCACGGTTGTTTAACGGCCTGAGGAAATAAATCAACCCGAATCCGAAGCATTCCCATGCGAATAACAGACGTCCCCTGGAGCCATCTTCTGCTTTGGTTATGGCAGATACGCATGAACGATCACTTTTCCATGCGTTCATTAGCTCCAACTCCACTTCAAACCCATTGCAGATTCACATTGGGCCCTTTTTCTTTCTGCTGCACTTTCAAATGCAACAACTGCAGTTTAGTTACCTACTTGAATACCAGTGACCTAGCTATTTAAATGCATGGCCCCTCCTTCCTCCCGCAGATAGACGAATTTAATACAATCATTTAACAATAGTGACCTGCGAGTAATGAGATTAATGCTGTAAAGATGGCGCCGTGGCAAGAGCTCTGGTGTGTGCCGTCTGGAGCACAATGGGGTAGTCTTGCAGATTTTTCCGACGTGGTTTTACTGCGAGTGGCAGAACAAGAATCTGAATTAATGCACATTGCGCCTCTTGTATCCCCGGACGATAGAGATTGATGCCATTTAATATGCATTGCCCCTCAGTTAGCTCAAACACGTGTGAAAACGAAGCCTGCAGACCAAGCACGGGGCGAAACTGACGCCTGCAGTCAAGTGCGCGGGGCAAAAACCAAGCCTGCAGCCCAGACTCCGGGATTAATCCGTCCGCGGTCAACACACACACATGCCAGGAGACTTGGGAAAAGCAACGGGACAACGCGGCACCGCCAACGGAGGCAGGGACACGCACGGCACCGGGCCAGACCGTCTGCGCGCGGCAGCAGACCACGAGGAACGAGCAGCACGGAAGAAAGAGCCCGCAGAGGAGGAGAGCAGTGGAGACACGCGAACCACAGCAGGTGCAGGGACGCGGAGGAGGAGCAGACCACACGCAGCAAGACGGAGGACGCCCGGGACACTCACGAGTAGCGTGAGTAGACGGAAACGATTCCTCCAGACGATTCTTTGCAAGGCTTCGAGGGCTTGCGAGGCTTCGAGAAGGCCAAGAGTGGGAGTTTCTCCGCTTTTAAGCGGCTGCCTGTCCGGCACGGATGATTGGAAGGGGGCGTTTGCTGTGCGATAGGCTGGGGAAGCGAACCGGCCTGGAGGGGGTAGCTTTTGGCTGACGTCTACCAAATTGAATTTCCGCGAGCTGCATATGTATATATATTTCACTACTCATGAATATAATAATAATAATGCCTAATGCATAATCTTGCCTAAGGACACAATGACAGTTTGGCACTTTACAGTTGGGCTGTAACTAAAGATTAACATGATATTCGATTCGATTTATTTATCTATTTGAATGGGACAGTGCATGTCAATGAACAGACACATTAGAAACATTAATGTAAACAAGCCAGATTATTGCCAAAGGCTGATTTCCATTTGTAGTCCCATGGGGTAAGGGTCACAAGGGTTAAATACAACAACAAAACAAAACAAATGAAGAAAAAAAAACAGATTTTGCATTCCCCCACAGTCCACACATTAATAGTCCACCAAGAATCCACAATGTCCACATCATTGTACATATCTCGTCACTGCACACACCCAATTATTGCACTCATCCGATTATTGCACACAGGTTGGATCCTGACCAAATACTTACCTAGAATTATCTGAGACATACCACCTTTTCCCAGCATGCTTAAAGTGAAAGTCTGGAGTTTTTCAGAAAAAAGAGAGAGAGGTACATGATTTGAAAAATATGACCCAAGCTTCCACCCCCTTCCCTTGGTCTTGAAGCCGCACCTACTTTTTTGTGCGCAAGCCAGGGTATGTGCAATATGTGCAGAGGAGAGATTATTAATTTGAATAATTAAATATTTAATCATAAATTATTATAGCCTGGTTGTGCCACACCTTAGTACAAATTACATTTCATACTAATGTCTGGATTTGCTCCATTGAGCTCCGTTTACAGGTGGGAGGGTTTAACTCCTTTTGCAGATTGAAACGATTGGATCTGAGTTTACCGTGACGTATGTAATGCGCCCGAGTGTGTTGTTAGCATTTAGCCTAGCCATCTCCTTTGCTGCTAACGGAGCCCGTGGGGAGTAGCGCCACAATCTTGACCAGCGATTACATTTGCTAAACATTCCTCTTGCTCCTGCTTCAATTTCTTGATAGAACCAGACCGGATTACTTTACTATTGCGTTCTTCGCCATTGCCAAACTACAACTCCTGCCCTTTCGGCGCAAACTACAACACCCGCCTTCCGCGGCCTCTGAGTAGCCGGTCAAAATACGACCGATTGTATTCGCTAACACCCAGACGGTTACATGCAGTGAAATGATGATTGAGCGAATTGTACGGATGGCTAAGGCCAGGTTAAATTTATTGCACAGCAGCAGTAGGACGCTCAATGGATTTGAATGTAATTTCAAAACATTCTACCGATCATTATTTCTTGATAACGGACCTCTCAAACCAATAATGGCCACTGCCCTTTGGCAACGCACTCTCTGCTTGTACTTCAAGTGTGTAAAATAGTAAGATTATTCCGACAGTAGTTTGTACACTTCGTCACAACGCGCTTTCAGTGCCTGTCACTTATTACTTCTGTCTGAGCGAGAGAAGCTATCGAAGCTAAGTAACTATTTTCAGGACACATTTGCAGAGGCTCTGATCATGGATTTAGGTTGAGTTTATATTTGGGTCTCTCACCGCTGCTGTTCAGAATTCTTTGTTCACTTTTCTTGTAGTTCCAGAGAGTTCTAGTTAGTTAGCTAACCTAGCTGTTACCCCTCTGGCCATGTCACGGCCAAACCTTTGGGAACTCACAATTTTATATATCATTTTAAAAAGATAATGTTCAGTATAGTATATATTCAAATATAATATTCAAATTATATATGAGCACGAGCGCGATGATTGACAGTCCTTGGCATCACTTGATTGCTTAGTGGACGGCATCGTGGATTTTGAGCTATAGCTAAGATAAGCGAAGGCGGGACTTTCCCCTAATATTATTCATGAAATGACTTTTTTATATAAAAATGATGTTATGCAATCCATTTAGAGTCCACTTTTAAGTCTATTTAAAAAAAAAAAAAAAAAAATTAAATTAGGCAAAAAATATTACAATATTTGATTAGTTGAGATTAAAAGATTCACTTGTTTACATTCCAAATCCAAATATTCACAAGATTTTGCTGAATTAGCCACATGCTAAGGACCACTACGCCACTTTTCAGGGGGGTCCGACCTATGGTGTTCATACAGTGCCTTGCGAAAGTATTCGGCCCCCTTGAACCTTTCAACATTTCGCTTCAAACATAAAGACATAAAATTTTATTTTTTTGTCATGAATCAGCAACAAGTGGGACATAATCGTGAAGTGGAACGAAATTTATTGGATAATTTAAACTTTTTTAACAAATAAAAAACTGAAAAGTGGGGCGTGCAATATTATTCGGCCCCCTTGCGCTAATACTTTGTAGCGCCACCTTTTGCTGCAATTACAGCTGCAAGTCGCTTGGGGTATGTCTCTATCAGTTTTGCACATCGAGAGACTGGAATTCTTTCCCATTCTTCCTTGTAAAACAGCTCGAGCTCAGTGAGGTTGGATGGAGAGCGTTTGTGAACAGCAGTCTTCAGCTCTTTCCACAGATTCTCGATTGGATTCAGGTCTGGACTTTGACTTGGCCATTTTAACACCTGGATACGTCTATTTGTGAACCATTCCATTGTAGATTTGGCTTTATGTTTTGGATCATTGTCCTGTTGGAAGATAAATCTCCGTCCCAGTCTCAGGTCTTTTGCAGACTCCAACAGGTTTTCTTCCAGAATGGTCCTGTATTTGGCTCCATCCATCTTCCCATCAATTTTAGCCATCTTCCCTGTCCCTGCTGAAGAAAAGCAGGCCCAAACCCTGATGCTGCCACCACCATGTTTGACAGTGGGGATGGTGAGTTCAGGGTGATGAGCTGTGTTGTTTTTACGCCAAACATATCGTTTTGCATTGTGGCCAAAAAGTTCGATGTTGGTTTTATCTGACCAGAGCACCTTCTTCCACATGTTTGGTGTGTCTCCCAGGTGGCTTGTGGCAAACTTTAAACAAGACTTTTTATGGATATCTTTGAGAAATGGCTTTCTCCTTGCCACTCTTCCATAAAGGCCAGATTTGTGGAGTGCACGACTGATTGTTGTCCTTTGGACAGACTCTCCCACCTCAGCTGTAGTTATCTGCAGTTCATCCAGAGTGATCATGGGCCTCTTGACTGTACACTCAGTCAAGTGTGGGCACAAAATAAATCGTGTTTCTTCTTATCTTTTGTCTTCTGCTGCTCCAACAAATTAGACTTTCCCCATCCTTGCTTAGTCTCTTTCTCTCCGTAAGTCTTCAGTGAAAAATAATATCCACTTGTATTTCCCAAAGTATAATCCATTCTTCAGAAATAATCCAAAAATGTGCATTTTTCTGTTGCAAAAAAAAACACACCAAACTATTTTCAGGCTTCTCTTTCACATTTCACCAAGTTTGAGCTTTGTTTACCCCCACAAACACCATATCTACCTCCTTGAGTCCTTAGCTTCAAAAAGAGAGGTTCCATGAAAAGATAGGAGCAGTTTTCAGTCCGCAGGACCCTTGTGAAAAAGACAAACTGCATCCACTTGCACAGGGTCCGTTTTTGTCTTGTTGTTGATTACAGGCTAGCGCAATGAGCTAGCTCTGAATGATTGATGTGTCTAAGTAGCCAATAAAAAGAGCATTCTTTTGATGGGTGGGACTTGTAGGAACTCTTTTCATTTTCACAGAAAAAGCGTGCTTAAAGACGCTGTTAGTACCGCTGCGAATATTTTATATGCATTTAAAATAATAAATTAGAAAAAATGTAAAAGAAAATCACACAGATTTGTAACTTATAAGTACCAAAACTAACTAACTAGCTTTTTATGATGGTGAAATGTTAGTAAAGCAGTTTGGCACAATTTGGCACACATTTTGCCAAATTGGTTCCGAATGGCACTTCTTGATAAAAAAGATAAACTGCATAAACACTATAAAACTTAGAAGTCTGAAACTTTACACAGTTGTTGTCAACAACACAATAAACAAATTAGCGTTGAAAATGTTCTTCCAATGAAGTAGACTTTTTTAGGTCATTTATACATTGAATTTTTTGGCGAGGCTAAAAAAACTTCAAAGGATGCAGAGTGAAATAGGAATGACATGCATTATTTCAGTGTATATTTACATAAACTAGAAGGGCCTAGCTTTAAAATAGTGCATCACACAAGCATGTGAGATGTAAGATGTGTTTTTAAATAAGCAAAGACATTTGGGTATGCCAAACTTGGGTATGCCAAAACAGATGTGGGAGTTTAAGAGGTTTTAACTTGTGCATCTCTGTGATGTTGTATCGCAGGTAAAAGCCGATCTTTTTAACATCACAGCACTTGACCTTCCCTTTTGCAACAATATTTTCCCTCCCGTCCTCGTAACTTGTTCTCTGTAAGCACGTCTATTCTAATGCAGAACCCACATGTTCTCTCCATTGTGCATGCTTTTTCCACAGGAGCTGGTGGAGTATTACAAGCAGCACTCTCTGAAGGAGGGCTTCAGCAGTCTGGACACCACTCTGCTCGCCCCCTATAGGGAGCTGTCCAATGGAAACATGCCCAGGGCCATTACCAAGGCCGCCACTGGTGAGTGCACTTCACACAGTCTCTGCAAACTTCTACAAGATGAAGACATGTGGCTAACAGCAAGGCACCATTAGAGTGTTTAAAAAAGCTGGCAACAATGGTGATTACTCTCAAAGTACTAATGACTTTAACTGTGTCTTAGTTTCTATTAGAATAAGCTGCAAAAAAGATTGTGTTGTACCAGATTTTTCCCATGTATTTTTTTGATCGCAGTTAATGATTTGAGAGTGTGAAAGGGATGGTGCTATGTGTACTGAGTGCAGCTCTGACTGCCACCCCCCGACACAGAAATGGATTGAGGGGAAGAAGATGGATGAATGAATGGAGTGTGAAAGAAATCACAATGCTTAATATTTTCAAATGTAGAGTGCACCACATTATTGTTATTTATCTGTCTGTCTTTCTATCTATCTTTTTAAAGAGTATAGATAGATAAATATTTTATTGATCCCTCGTAGGAGAAATTCTGGTATCCAGTAGCAGTTAAAACAAATGCATTAATTCAAATAAAAAAAAATCATCATTCTAAAAATAGATAACAATAATAGTAAAATGCAACAGCACTTTAGGTCACAGGAGCAGAGGAGGTGGAGCCGCCTGGTTTGGACCATTTTGTCTGTTCTAGTCCAAAGTGAGAAGCTGCATATCATTTTTTACTGCATATCATGAGAAGGTCTGCTGTGTCATAATGGGAGGCAACTAATGCAAACTTACTTTTAAGCTGCAGCTTTGATAATAAGCCATGGCATGTTACACATCATTTTAAAGCAAAATGTTCTCAAGAAAGCACTCATCATATTACATCTATTCTAAACGTTGATCCCAAAAAGTAGTTTAAAAAAATATATATTTATCAATCTGAGATACACTTCTTTATCTTTGGCCCAGTTTTGGCTTAATCCAAACATAACTGAATTCTCATGTGTTCAGAAAAATCTATGAGAAACTCTCCTTTAATTAAACTGTTTGGACTTTTTTACCTCCTGAAGTTTAAATAAATAATTACAGTTACAACAGATGAGTTTTAAACAAACATTCACCAAAGAAAACAATAGAAAAGAAACGAGATGATTCATCTCAAGGGGTTATTCCTCTTAATAATAATAAACATATATAAAGGCTATAGTATAAAAATGTCACTCGAAATAAAGCCGCAGGCCCTGACCAAAACTGCTTTGCCTGCTCTGCATTAGACTGATTTCATAACTTCTCTAGGCACACACTATTTCAAGTTCTAAAACATGACAACAAGTAAAGGTAAAGCACCAAAATGAATACAAATAGCGAACAGGCAGGAGGAGGAAGCTGCTGGATGAACATTGGCAGAGATTCGCCAGTTGCCTTTGCCCCGGGCGAGCACCAGGAACCCGCCTATTCAAAACGCCATGCTCCCCACGCCGTCCCGCTCCAAGATGGCTTCACAATCTTCCTGACAGGACATGACATTTCACTCGGCTCGGAGCGCAGAAAGCATCGTGACAGCCTCCCATAGAGGCCCACAAGAGGCCTCTCTCAGGTCCGACCGGGGGGGCGTCTGTCACCTCGCAAAAGTAAAGTTCAAAATCTGATAAAACAAAAGAAAAAACCTCAGCTGGAGGAAAGGTGTCAGAAAAGGCATAAACAAGTAAACCAGTGTGGCGCCAAACAGAGCAGAGAGGCCTTAGCGTCTACTCAATGTGAAATAAAAACTACCTTAACACCAAAACTCCCAGAGCAGTCAATTTGACGGGTTTAAGTTTTGGAAGTCTGCTCAATGTGCACACCCCTTTGATCTTCCTACATTTGTGACTGTTTCTGTATTGATATATCACTTATTTAATTGTTTTTATGAAATCATCTGTTATTATAACTTTAACTCCCATATTAGTTCTTTTCCACCAAGTGCTCGTTACCGTGGCTTTCAACAAACTATTACCTTTATCACCTTACCTGTATTCACTTGTTAAAGTGGTTTGAGAGTTAGGTGCCTGAGCTTTACCTGGAGGTAGAGCCTCATAGATGAGTTACTTTTGAGTCTATTATCAATGGCATTCCATTGGTTTGAATGGGAGCAGTCAAAATGATGGCTCTGGGAGTTCTAGTATAGTTTCTGAATTCTGGGAGTCCTAATATTAAAACCCGGGCACCTAACTTTCAAACCACAACAAAATAATCTGGCTCACTCCACACTAAACTGTACCATGGGTCAATCTAACTTCAAGCGACAATAAAATATATGTATGAACAAAAAATGTGTGTACCTAAAAAATTTTTAATACTTTGTAGCCTGTCTCCAATCCACAGATAACGGTCCAACAACCAGAAAAGCTCTTTGAGCTAACTTACTTTGCACCTGTAAATGATCAAACTGTCCAAGAGATAATCACAAGTCTGAGCTCCTCCACATGCAGCCTGGATGTACTAACCACTAGATTTCTGAAGTCTGTTCTGCGCAGCCTGTTACTTTCACTCACACAGATAGTAAACATGTCCCTTAATTGTGGAATATTCCCAAAGGCCCTGAAAACTGCAGTCATCAGGCCCCTGCTAAAAAAGAGCAGTCTGGATGCTACGGTACTTAACAACTATCGTCCCATCTCAAATCTGCCATTTATGGGGAAAGTCCTTGAAAGAGTTGTCTACATTCAGCTTACTAGATTTCTTATAATCAACAACTCATTTGATATGTTTCAGTCCGGCTTTAGACCCCACCACAGCACTGAGACTGCTCTCGTCAAGGTTACAATGATATCCGGCTGAACACTGACGCAGGCAAAGTCTCAATCCTAATCCTGTTAGATCTAAGTGCAGCTTTTGACACTGTTGACCATGAGATCCTCTTACAGAGACTAGAGGACTGGGTTGGCGTTGCTGGCACCTCCCTAAGTTGGTTTTGGTCGTACCTTGAAGACAGGAAGTACTTTGTGGAGATTGGAAACTGTGTCTCAGATCATATGGCCCTGACCTGTGGAGTACCACAGGGGTCAATCCTGGGACCTCTTCTGTTCAATCTCTACATGCTGCCGTTAGGTCAGTTAATACGTTAGTAAAAAACATTGCAAGGATCAAAAACATAGTGTCTAAAGCAGACTTGGAGATTCTTATCCATGCATTTGTCTCCAGTAGGTTAGACTACTGCAATGGCCTGCTCACAGGTCTGTCCAAACAGGCTGTAAAACAGCTGCAGTACATTCAAAATGCAGCAGCTTGAGTCCTGACTAGAACCAGGAAGTACGGCCACATTAGTCCAGTTCTCATGTCTCTGCACTGGCTTCCTGTGGCTCAGAGAATAGTTTTTAAAACAGCTCTGCTTGTGTACAAGTCTCTCCATGGCCTCGCACCAAAATATATTAGTGACATGTTAGTCCCATATGAGCCAGCCCGGACTCTGAGGAGCACAGGGACTGGACTCCTGTTAGTGCCCAGAGTCAGAACTAAACATGGGGAAGCTGCTTTTCAGATTCATGCTGCTAAAATCTGGAACAATCTTCCTGAAGATGTGAGACAAGCCTCCTCTCTGAATGTTTAAAACCAGGTTAAAGACAGTTCTGTTTAGCTGTGCATACAACTGAGGGATTTTATATTTGTATCTTTTTTTTTAATGTTCTGTGATTATTTATGATTTAAATGCTTTCTTATTTTGTTCAGCACTTTGAACTGCCTTGTGTATGAATTGTGCTATATAAATAAACTTGCCTTGCCTTGCCTATACGTATATACATAGTTTTAAATGCCCTTCTGAGATTACACTATTTCAAGATAAATGGATGCCTTTCAAAAACATTTTATTGAACTTTGGGGACATATTTGTTATATTTGTTTGTTGTAGGACATATTGTGTTGGAGGCTTCGTGAATGGAATAATAAACACGACAGAGAAGATTATTTAATGGTTATATAATGGAGATATTTTTTTATATATATTTTGGACGAAGAGCGGTCCAAAAACCACCATGGACAGCACTAAAATGAGACCAGTGACGTCGCCCGGCATGGCGTAGCCGGGGCCCCACAGGCCTCGTATGCGAGCGCCTGGTGGCCGGGCCTTAGCCCACGGGGCCCGGCCGGGCTCAGCCCGAAGGGACGACGTGGGCAGTCCCTCCTGTGGGCCCACCACCTGCAGAGGGGTCCGTGGTGGCGCGGTGCTAAGAGGACTGGGCAGCAGTCGAAGGCGGAGACCTCGGCGACCCAGTCCACACACACAACATCTGGCTCTTGGGACGTGGAATGTCACCTCACTGGGGGGGAAGGAGCCCGAGCTCGTGGGGGAGGTCGAGCGATACCGACTAGAGATAGTCGGCCTCACCTCCACACACAGCTTGGGCTCTGGAACCCAACTCCTTGAGAGGGGTTGGACGCTTCACTTTTCTGGTGTTTCTCGCGGGGAGAGGCGGCGAGCTGGGGTGGCCATTCTCATTGCCCCCCATCTCAGCCGCCACGTGTTGGAGTTCTCCCCGGTGAATGAGAGGGTCGCGTCCCTCCGCCTTCGGGTGGTGGACAAGTCTCACACTGTTGTGATGGCCTACGGGCCTAACAGCAGTGCAGAGTACCCGGCCTTCTTGGAGTACTTGGGAGGGGTACTGGACGGTGCACCAACCGGGGACTCCGTTATTCTCCTGGGGGACTTCAACGCCCATGTGGGAAATGCCAGTGACACTTGGAGAGGGGTGATCGGGAAGAACGGCCCCCCTGATCTGAACCCGAGCGGTGTTCAGTTGTTGGACTTCTGTGCCAGTCAAGGTTTGTCCATTACGAACACTATGTTCGAGCACAAGGGTGTCCACCAGTGCACGTGGCACCAGGACACCCTAGGCCGGAGGTCGATGATCGACTTTGTTGTCGTATCATCTGACCTTCGACCGCGTGTCTCGGACACTCGGGTAAAGAGAGGGGCGGAGCTGTCAACCGATCATCACCTGGTCGTGAGTTGGATCCGCTGGCAGGGGAAGAAGCCGGTCAGACCTGGCAGACCCAAGCGTATAGTGAGGGTCTGCTGGGAACGTCTCGCTGAGCCCCCTGTC